GGTTTGTGCCCAAGGCAGCGCCTCACCTGGACCCAGCCTGGAGGCACGGGGGAGGGGGAGCCAGGAGAGCTGCCCCCCCTTCTCCGGCCCCCTGGAGGCAACCTTCAGCCGAGGCCCGAACAAGCAGGACCTTCGGACTCTGCTGAAACCCGAGGAAGAGTGTGCTGGGCAGAGGGGACAGCGGCAGGACCCAGCGGGGTGAGTTCTGGGAGGAGAGGGAGGTCGGCGTGGCCTCCACTCGGGAAGTCTGGGCAGAGAGGAGGAGCTGGTGCCCGAAAGGTCGGCAGAAACCAGATGACACTAGCATACAGGCCAAAGTGAGGGGTTAGCCCTTTGTCCTAAACGCAGGGAGGGGGGCAGGGGAGGGTGTAAGCAGGGTCTGCCTTAGGCTTATTCCAGGATACTTTGGCTGTTGAGTGCCAAACAGACTGGGGTGGGCGGGAGCAACCTTAAGACTGACCGCAGGGAGACGGGGGTGGGGGTGGGGGGTGCTAGTCCCCCAAGCAAGAGACACGCCTGGCTGGTGTCCTCTGAGTTTGCTACTGTCTTCTCCCTGCAGGCCTCCAAGGGGAGCTTGTAGTCTTCGTTTTGCAGGAGAGGAAACCTATGCTCAGAGAGTTTAATTGTCCTGCTCAGGGTCCCCGCTGGAAAGCAGCAGAGGTCAAGTTTGAACTCAGGTCTTTAAATACCCAGCCAGGCCCATTTTCTGCCCACCTATCTCAGAAGCAAGGGCTTAGATCACGTAACTTCAGGCGAGCCTCAGTTTTCCTCATCTGTAGTATGGGTCACATTGTAGCCCCCACTTCCTGGGGTCCAGGGTCAAGGCAATGACTCCGCGCACAGGCTAAGCCCTCGGTGACTTCTGCCTTAACAGGAAGGGGAAGGCCCTTTCCTTCCACCCACTTCTCTCTCTCCGCTGGTGCTCCCCCTAAAAGGAGAAACTTGGGTATTTGTTCTTCAAACATTTATTTTATTTTTTAGGTTTTTTTTTTTTTAGAAGGGGCCAGATTGGTGAAGGTAATCAGTTTTCGGACTTCAGATAAAAAATCGCAGCAAAGGGTCGACTTGACTTTTTATAATTAATGGGGCGGCTTGTAATAGGATTCTCCTGCCTGTGGGGCTCCCAGGAAACACCTTTTTACATAAGATATTGCCCACGCCGGAGTGGCAGGGGTGATTTATGGGGTTCCTTGCTCCAGAAAGCCTCTCCTGGGGTTGCCCAGCCGGTGGAATTTATCAGGGAGTTTGGAAGCCAGGCGAGAAACCTGCCCGTGACATTTTTGGTGGAGTTTAAAAAGCACAAACGCTGGGAAAGGGAGAGGCCGATGGGACAGGGAGGGGCGGATCCGTCTGGGTTGGCTTTTCACAGGCAGAGACTGAGACGGGGATTCTTGGCTGGTGATTTCTTCTTCTTCTTCTTCTTTTTTTTTTTTTAAGTGTGTTTTTATTGATTTTGAGAGAGAGAGGAAGGGAGAAATAGAAACATCGATGAGAGAGACACATAGATTGGTTGCCTCCTGCACTCCCCCAAAGGGGATCAAGCCCGCAACCTGGGCATGTGCCCTGACCGGGAATCAAACCGGTGACCTCTTGATGCATGGGTCGACGCTCAACCACTGAGCCACACCAGCTGGACTTGGCTGATGATTTCTTAAGAGAGGGCACAGAGCAAGGCGGGGGGGGGGGTGAACACAGTGGTGGTGGGGTTCAGGTGGAGTCTGATCCCTCAGGACTTTGGATAGCACCACAGAGCTGGGTGGTGGATGAATATTAACATTAATATTCAGGGATTCTTTGTCCGTTGTGATGATGTGGTAATGGTATTGTGCTTACATTAAAAATGTTTTGCCCCCCCAGCCGGTGTGGCTCAGTGTTTGAACGTCGACCCATGCACCAAGCGGTCGCCAGTTCGATTCCTGGTCAAGGCACATGCCCAGGTTGTGGGCCTGATCCCCAGTGGGGGGCATGCAGGAGGCGGCCAATCCATGTTCTCTCTCATCGATGTTTCCGTCTCTCTCTCCCTCTCTCTTCCTCTCTCTCTAAAAGCAATAAAGAAAAAGAAAATTTTAAAATGTTTTTCCCTATCTGTTAGGAGTCCTTACGGACCATGAGTGAAACAGCATGACACCCAGCATTGCTGTAACAAAACCCACAAGCCCGCGGGTGCACACACAACCGCACACAGATGAGTTGGAGTACAAAGCAGGCCTGAGGGTTAGCCCGTCTGTGCAGGCCCTGGGGCGTGCGCCCTGCCCACTGGGCTCTTGCCCAGGCTGGGAGGGCGGAGCAGCAGAGGCAGGACCGTGTCCCCCTCCTCACACCCCTGGCTCGCCTGGGCCAGCTCTGGGGTAGGAAGTTGCCCTCCACCAGCGAACAGCTGGATTCCAACCCTCTGTGTCTCCCTGGCTTTCGGCCGGAGTGAAGGACTGGATGGAGGTGAGGCCTCCAGAGGCAGGGGGGTTAGAGTCACCCTGATGGGGGAACAGAGGAACCTTCGGCCACCAGAACCCATAGGCCACCAGGAGAAGGGCCCCAGCTGGGCGCAGAAGCTGGGCACATCTCAGGCAGGGGCACTCCTGGTGGCCCAGCGTCCACTGCCCTCTCCACAGCCCTGGCCAGCACCGGGAAGTCCTGCTCCCAGGACCCTCCGGCAGGCTCCCTGTTTCCCGCTGAGCAGGCCAAGGGGGCAGAGACTGAACGGCACTGGGCCTGTGGTGCTACAGCAGGTCATAACATCCGTGGCATCAGCTTCAATCAGCCTCAGCCTCATCCTCGCTCTCTCCCTGTGCCCCCTCCCTGCCCTCACGTTCCTGGGGTGTCAACCAGGACGGGCTAAACTGAGGTCACTGACGTGTGTTATCTGGATGGAGTCAACAGGCCCCCTCAGGTCCTTATCTCCAGCTGGCCGAGCCCAGGAGAGGAGCAAACAGCAGCTGACCAGTCTCCCAGGGATGCAGCCAAGGGCCTGGGAGCCAGAGCACCTGGGTGGAGGTGCGCTCCGCCATCACCGGGAGGAGCACGGGGGGGAGGAGACCATCGCAGGCTGAAGCAATCCTGGAAGGCTTCGGGGAGGAGGTGCCCTGCTCTGGGACTTGAAGGATGTGTAGGATTTCGAAGCAGACAGGGCATGGCAGTCAGGGGACGCCACTCAAGAGAAGGAAGGAGGGGTGAGAGCAATGGGGGAGCGGCGTGAGCTTCAAGGATCCAGACCTGCTCTGTGCCTCAGTTTCCTCATTTGCAAAGAAGAAGATAAGAGCAGCGTCTACCCTGTGGGCGGCTGTGGGATTAAATGCAATGACTGCTAAGGCCCAAGGCACACAGTAAATGCTCAATATATAAACAAATGCTAATTCCTCCATACCCTTCGTCACTGGGGAGGAGGGTTCAGGGGAGAGGGAGCGTTGACCTTTATCAAGAGACGACCTCTGCCGGGTCCACAGGAATCACCCACCAACAGCCCATTTTACGGAAGAGAACACGGAGGCCGTGAGTGGAGCGGCGTCCGTTCAGGGTCACCGGGCTCACACGCAGGGACAGGGCTCAGGTCTGGCCGAGTCCGCCAGTGGGCCGTGGGCGTCCCTTCCGTGGGGGAACTCACACAGTATGACCCTAGGGAGACAGGGCTGGGTCCTGGTGGCTCCCGGAGGGGCGACCCTGGCACCATGTCTGGGTCAAAGACAGAATGAGCCCAAGGCAGCCAGAGAAGCAGGGGTCACTGACACTCTCGTGCCCCCTCCTGAGGAAGGAAGAGGCACCGGGTGGAGGGCACAGCTCGGGCACAGGAAAGGAGGTGGCGCGTGGTGAGTGGGCTTCCTCCTGAGGCCCAGAGAGGGGAGGGCACTTGCCCAAGGTCACACAGCCTTCATGAAGCAGGGGAGCCTCCGTGGACCAGGAGGTGGATTCTGCCAGGGGCCATGGCACCAGCTGGGCCCTTCATGCCCTCAGCCTTATTCCTGCAGGGCTATGAAGGGTTGGGTAGAGCTTCCCCATGCCAAGGCCTTGGGCCCCAGCCATCTCTGGGACCTCAGCACCCTCCAGTTGGAGTGAGGGCCCCCTGAAGGGTGGAGTCAGGGAAGACCAGAGGGTCGGGGTGGCCTCCCTGCCCCCCCACCCCACCCCACCAGGATTCCCATTGGTGGCACTTTGCTGCCCCCTGGTGGCTTAAAGAGAATCTAATTTCCCCTCCTGTGTCCTAAGAGATCCTTCCCAGGAGCCAGAGGGTTCCAAGACCAGCACACACCCTCCTGTGACCCCCAGGTGTGTCCGGACCTGGAGGTCCTCCCTCCCTCCCCAGTGTCCCACCGCCACCAACCCCCACACAAAGAAGGCCAAGGTCCTAGAACTACAACGTCATAGTGTTTGAGCCTGACGGGGCCGCCTTGCAGTTGTGCGACCTCGGGCGGGTTGGGTCACCTTCCCATGCCTCAGGTCCCCCATCTGTGGAACAGGGTGGTGACAGTGGTTTTATTTCATAGTGCCGACGTGAACCTCAGGGAAGAAAGTGAGTAGGCAGTTCTTAGAGGAGGTTCTGGCACATTCCAGTCCCTGGAAAAGACTGGAGACACTGTCCTCCCCGGCCAGGCCTGAGAAGTCACAGAGCAGCCCCTCCCCCCCGTCCCCCAGGGGAGGCAAGCCCTGCCAGGGGCTCAGCGCGGCCAGATGCCCTTAGAGACCTGAGTTCCGAGTCCTTGGCTTTGTTTCTCAAGCTGTGTGACGTGGAAAGAGTCGCTTCGTCACAGAGGCTGGCTTGGCGTTGCCGTGTGCCTTCTATGAGCTCATGGAGGTGGAAAGACTGGACCCACCAGAGTCATAAACTCAACTCAAGAAGGGCTGGCCAGGCTGCAGGGGAACTGAAGGGAGCAGTACTGGAGGGCTTCCTGCAGGAGGCGGCCAGCACAGAAGCACAGGGCAGCTTCCACTGCCATCCAGGAGCACAGCGACAGGAGCATCCATGGGCCTCGGGGTCCTGGGTGTGGCCAGCCCTCCCAGGCCAGCAGCCCTCAGCTCTGGCCCAGCTGGGCTTTCAGAGCCTGCAGCTCCCGGCTGTCGATGCTGTTGCCTCCACACACGATGACCACAATGGAGGCCAGGGCGGGGCTCAGGCGGCCCTCGGCCTGCAGCCTCCCCAGCAGGCCTGAGTAGACGGCCGCTAAGGCTGCCCCGCAGGCAGGCTCCACCAACATGCGCTCATCATCTGCCCCGAGCAGGGGGTGGGGAGGAGGAGAGGAGAGAAAGGGGGAACCGTTAGCACTCAGCAGGCTCTGGGCATTACAAATCCATGAAGCCAGCCAGCCAGCCATCCATCTCACAGTCTATTTGTCTGACTCCCTCTCCATCCATCAATCTCTCCTCCCATCCACCTTTCATCTATCTATCCATCCATCTATTCCTCTATCCATCATGAGACTGTCTGTCCATCTATTAGTGTAGCCTTCAATCAACATATCCATCCATCCATCCATCCATCCATCCACCCACTATGCATCATTTGACTGTCCATCTGTCCATCCATCAATGTGTTCATTAATCAGTGTCCATCCATCTATTCATCTCTATGTCATTCATCAATTCCTTGCCCCATCAATCCATTCGCCCATCCATCTGTCCATTATCCACCTTTTCACTCATACGTTCATCCATTCATTCGACACATCTTTGCTGAGCGCCCACTCCCTGCCAGGCCCTGTTCGAGGAAGGCCCTGGGGACACAACAGTGAGTAAGACACACCAGCCCCTGCCCTCAATGGGTCCACACTCAGTAATGCAGATGGATAAGAATCCGGCAGTTATGAGGTTAATGGGATTGGTGCACAGGAAGTCCCCAACCCAGGTGGGATGGGGTGAGAGATCAAAGAAGGCTTCCTGGAGGAGGTGCCATGGTGGCTGAGTAACCCTTAGTCACTCACATGAAACTGATAGGGAGCAGGGCCAGGGATGGGCAGCCCGAGGGACGAAGAGCCTGTACAAAAGTCTGGAGGCTACAGACAGACAGCACAAACGCGCCTCGTTGACCCCCACTCCACCCATCTCCATGTGCACAACTGCCCAGCTCCTGCGTACCCAGCCCTGTGACAGGCACTGAACACAGACGCGAGAACGTGCTCTCGCTGGGGGATCTAGGGACCTTGCAGGTTGCTGAGCCCAGGCAGGGGACGGTGCTCACTCACCAAGGAACCGCTGCACAGCATTCACAGCCTCGCGGTCCTCCACCATCTCGGAGATGATCTCAAACTCCTGCATGCACTCCAGGGCCCGTGCAGCCACCGTCTTGGCCCCCAGGCACTTGGCCACACTGGTGGGGCAGGCGGGACAGGGGGTGCAGGGGTGCCGGGAAGAGCTCGTGAATCATGCCTCCTCCTCACACAGACTCAGCCCTCCCCTCCCCCAGGCATGGCCCTGCCCACACCCTAATTTCAGACTTCTCGCTCCCAGGGTTGCGGAAGAATACGTTTCTGTTGTTTGAAGACCCTGAACTAATTTGCGGTCATTTCTATGGAAGCTCTAGATGACTCCTACAGCGTCTATGATGTTAGATGGGGGTGGACACAGTGAAGGATACAAGGTGGGGCAGCGTCTGGAGGCTGGACCACTCTTTGCTAGTTTATAAGAACTTTTCCTCAGTTGATGAAAATCAGTTGCAAAATGCAATGGGGGGAAAGTTCTCTAGTGATGTTGCCAAAAAACAGAAATAAACTATGTACGTGTTCTATAATATGAATAGAAAAACAGAGGTTACAAAACTGTCTGAAGGCTATAATCTCAATTTTTAAAAATATATCATTGATTGCCCAGCCGGTGTGGCTCAGTGGTTGAGCGTCGACCCTGCACCAAGTGGTCGCCAGTTCGATTCTCAGTCAGGGCACATGCCCAGGTTGTGGGCCCGATCCCCAGTGGGGGCATGCAGGAGGTGGCCAATCAGTGTTCTCTCTCATTGATGTTTCTATCTATCTCTCTCTCTCCCTTCCTCTCTCTCTAAAATCAATAAAGAAAAAATATTAAAATATATATATATATATATATATATATCTTCTTGATTCATTGATCATGTCACATACATTTGTTGAGCAACTACTATGTGCCAGGCACCTTTCACTTGTATGCAATGACCGGGGCGGGGAATGCAACCCAGTGTCTGAGCAACGTCCATCTTTGGACGGTGCAATGAGGGTGACATTTGGTTTTCTGGTTTTTATTACTTGCCTACATTTTCAAACTGCTTTCGAAAGCTTGTTTTATTAACTGATGAGACTTCAGTGTGCCAGATCCCCCACCTGCTTTGTTATCACTGCCTCTCATTTAGGTCCCCATTGCTGTGGTTGGCGCCCCAGGTGAAGGAGACCCTCGTGAGTGTCCCCCACCTCCACTAGTTGGGGCCGGGAGGCCCTAGGGCAGCTACATCCTCACCCCCCAGCCCCCCACAAATGCCCAGCTCGTGTCTACCTGGTGATGTTGGGCAGGGTGACCAGCCTGCCTGCCTCCACGGCCGCATTGAAACTGTGTGCCCCTCGGGTCTCCATGGCGACAATGGGCACGTGTTGCCAGCCCACCTCCGCCAGGCCTGCTGACACCCCGGCCAGGAGCCCCCCACCCCCCACCGCCAGCACCAGGGCCCCTGGGGGGGTCCCCAGGGCCGCCTTCAGCTCCCGCACCAGGCTGGTGTGGCCTTCCCTGCGAGAGAGCAGAGCAGATGAGGGAGCCCCTCGGCCCAAAGGCTTACATGCACAACCTGCCTCATCGCCATCCCCTCCCCAGTCACAGAGAAGGGACCGGAGACCCTGCGGTGCTCAGTCCACTCAGCTGTCGTCACCGAAGTTATTCATTGACTCCTTCTCTGCCTGCACCCCCCGCCCCGGGACAGCATACTCAAGTTCCTGACCTGGGACCCAGTGTCTGCCACTGACGAGCTGTGATCTCAGACAGGTCACTCGGCCCCTTTGCACCTGTTTCCTCACCTGTAAAACACCTACCTCTAGGGCTTCGGGGTAGATTCAATGGACTAAGTGTGCCCCCAAATACACACTCCACAAAGGGAATTTATTACTAGCATTTCCATTTTACACGCGGGGAAACTGAGGCACGAGGCGGTGCGGTGTCTCACAGAGCCATCAACTCACGGTGGCAGAGGCAGGGTCTGAACCCCCGTGTGCCCAGACTCGATGCCTCTTCTACTCTCTGGGCCTCAGTCTCCCCTTTTGTCCAATGGGAGGACCCCGATTCAACCAGGGTTTCTCAACCCTGAGCTCCCTTGGGGGAAGGGTACCAGTCTTACCACACCAGAGGGTGATCGAATGGGGGGACAGCCACCCAGCCATCCCTCTTGGCCAACTCTTGTGCCCTCAGATTGGCCTCGTCCCAGACCTAAAGAGAAATTGAGTCAGACTGTTGCGGGGGTTATGTCAGGGTCCGCTCCTGGGAATCATTTCACAGGGACACCTCCGGCCAGTCTCCTCTCCTAAGGGGTAGAGGGGGCAAGGGGGCCAGAATCAGCTCTGCCCTTCCTCTGGCCCTGCAGAGCCCACTCTGGGCCTAGCCCTGTGCCAGGAGCATTCGGAGAAGACAAAGAAATGGTCTCTGCCCACATGGAATCCCCCATCTACCTGAAGAGATGGGCCTCATTCTCTGGAAATATTGAAACGAAATGAGCTTTGAAACTGCGCGGCCCTCGATGCCTCTCACCTGGACGCCCACAGCACACACCTCACTGTTTCCCTGCCTCCTGTCCATGGCCCCCCAGCGGCCAGAGTGAACATCCAACCACGTCCCTCCCTCCCTCATAATCCCTTCATGGCTCCCATGGCCTCAGGTTAAAACTCACATCAGCTCACCTACAAGCCGCCCTCCTGGTCAGCTTGCCTTGCCTTTAGCACCATTGCCCCGCCCATGCCAGGCTCATGCCTTTTCCCATCACTTCCCGGACCACCATCCCTCCCTTTTCTCTCTCGGGAGGACTCATATTTCTCCCCCAAGACCCTTCCCCCCAGAGCCTTTCCTGGATCCCCGCCCCAAGTCCAAGGCACAGCCCGGTGCTGGTTGGGAGCATCACCCAATCCTTCACCCCCACACACTCAGAATCAACATCCACACCCTCTGCCATGTGACTGCTCTAGTTCATCAGAAGGCAAAGGGGACGATCTCTTAGGGGTGAGGTGGGGTGAAGGGGTCCTTACCTTTCCAGTCAGCTGAACCTCGGCCCCCTCCCCCTGCAGCCGTCTCACCACAGACTGGGAGGCGCCCTCGGGGAGCACAATGGTGGCAGGGATGCCCAGCTTCCGGGCGCAGTAAGCAGCCGCGACGCCTGCGTTGCCCCCTGGAGGCAGCAGCAGGAGGTGCAGTGGGCAGTGTTGCATTAGCCTCTTGACAAACCTTTCCCCTCCTCCCCCTTTTCCCTTTGTGACCCACCCCTCCCCCACTCAGATGCCCTCCCGCCCACGATTGAGTCCTCTCCCTGGCCTTGGAGGTGATCTTGATTGAGCCCATCAGAGAGCTCAGTCACCAGACCCATGACTGGTTCAGGGATGAGCACTTGACCCAAGCTGGGTCAAAAAGACCCATCCATGAATTGAGGAGAGCCATCAGGAAAGGGTGCCCCCTTTCCACTAGGGTTGGTAGGATGGCAGGAAGCAAGCCTGAAACTCCTGATGGCCACCTTGCTGCCATGAGGCCCGTATGAGAATAAAGCGAGGATAGAGGAAAGAAAGCCAGGAGAAAGGAGGGACACAAAGGAGAGCTCCTGGATGCAGCTGTGCCTGAAATCCACCTATCCCAAGAATTTTCAGTTCTTAGAGCCTGTAGCTTACACCTATATGAGTTGGGCTTTGGTCACTTCTGCTACGGTCCTGAATGATGGGAACAGGGACAGGGCTGGGACAGGATGTACAAAATGGCCACCTGATCATGACCTTGATAGGCTGGACCTTTAAGAGGAGGCTAAGCCCTGGACATCTATTGCTGCTGCAGGCAGCTCCTCCTCCCCTACACCCAGCCCTGAGGACCCTCATAAAGCAGAAAGGGGGAGATCACCTGAGGAGCACACCAGGTGTCTGCAACCCTTCTTGGCCATCTAGGAAGAAGAGAAATGGCGTTGGGGGCTAACCCAAGCAAGTGTCACGGAGCCCTTAGTGGAATGGAGTTAGAACCTCCCCATCCCATTCCAACACTCCTCACCCCTCACCTGCCCACAGCTCTCTCCTCCCATCTCCTCACTTCCCCTCCCTGCCCTGGGCCGCTGCCAGTCTGCACCCCTCCCCCAGCCTCCCTCCTGTACAACCTCACTTTTCCCCTCCTGCCCGCACACCCTCACCTCCTGGCAGAAATGCCCGATGCCCCGGATCTTGAAGGAGCCAGCTGGCTGCACATTCTCACACTTGAGGAAGACCGTTGTGCCCACCACCTGCGACAGTGCCCAGCTCTCCAGCAGAGGTGTGACCAAGTGGAAGTGCTCACCCTGGGCACACTGTGCCAGAGAACCGTCCATTCCAGCCACCAGGCACTGACCTCTTCCCTCAGGCTGTCAAATTAAAAAACGACAACAGGCAGCACAAGAATAGCTGCCTGGTGTGAATGAATCAAAATTACACCTATTTTTTCTGTCAGATCGGCAACAGATATATTCTTGGTGTGCCGCAGAATTTTAGTCGTTCGTTTGTGTGTGCGTGAGAAGCAAAGGGTGGGAAATCGCTGATCCCGTTCTGAGATAGGTTCCATTATTAACTCCCTGTGGTAGAATGAAACTGAGGCCCAGTCCTGGCCAGTGTGGCTCAGTTGGTTGGGCATCAACCAGTACACCAGAAAGGTTGCCAGTTCTATTCCCGGGTCGGGCACATGCCCAGGTTGTGGGCTCAGTCCCTGGGGGGGGGGGGACATGCAGGAGGCAGCCGGTCAGTGTTTCATACACATCGATGTTTCTCTCTCTCTCTCTCTCCTTCTCCTGGAAAATTTTTTTAAAAAGAAAAAGAGCTCTGGCTAATCAGCCAGTGGATCAAAGGGTCGTGGGTTTGTTTCCCAGTCAAGGGCGCGTACTTGGGTTGCAAGTTTCATACCCAACCCCAGTCAGGGTCATGCGGGAGGCAACCAACCATGTGTCTCTCTCACATCGATGTCTCTCTCTCTCTCTCTCTCTCTGTCCCCCCCTCTCTAAAAATCAATAGAAAAATATCTCAGGTGAGGATTAACAAAAAAATTTAAAAATTTGCAAAAGAAAGAAAAAGAAACTGAGGCTCAGAGAGGTTAAGTAATTTGCCTAAGGTCACACAGCTAGAAATGGCACAGCCAGGACCCAAACTCAGGCAGTGTGCTTTGGCACCTGTGCTCATAACTACAGTGCAGGGCTTGGGTTCAGGTCCCAGCGAGCATGACCTTGACCAGGTCACTTTTTCTCCCTGGGTACCACCCGTTGCATTGGGTGAAGACCAGCTACCTCTTCCACCTCCTTGCCCCTCAGGCTTTTCCCCAGAAGCCACCTGGGTGACCCTTCACAGCCCAATCCATGGGAAACCTCGGCTGGCCCCTGGCTGGCAGAATGCTCAGCCCTGCCCCTCCGGCAAGCAAAACCAGCTCCCCTCTGCAAGACAGGCTGTGCCCACGGTGCCCTGAGTTGAATCAATATTCCTGGGAGGGCTTAGGTTACTATCACTCTCTCTCGCTTTCCACCTACTCGGCTGGGACTTTGCCCCAAAATCTTTCAGACTATCCCCAGGGGCCCCTATTTGGGTCCCGGGCATCCTTACCTTCTTTCTGAGAGTCCCCAAACCAACTTGGCCACAACCTGCTGCCCACCAGCCTAACTGGCACCAGCGGTGCCCAGCCTCCGCAGCCTCCTATGGCCTTGGCCCCTCCTCCCGCGTTAAAGAGACAGCTTCCAGCCGGACAGCAAAGGAGGGTGAGATCCACCCTCACTGTGCGCCCACAGATGCAGGCACTACCTAGTCCCATTTGACAGATGAAGAAAGTGAGGCTCAGAGAATGAAATTCCTCTGGCCAAGGCCACCCAGCCAGTGAGAAGCTCCCTTTGTCTCGCACCCTGGACGACCTCTTTCACGACCCAGACGTCTCCAGATAAACGCTGGTCCCAAGAGAACAACAAAGAAACCATTGTTCTCCCTCGTGTGACGAAGGCACGTTTTTCTGAAGTGCGGCCTCATCTCTGATGTTTCACACCCAACACAGGGGCCCGGCAATTATTTATTTTTCAAATGAATGACTCTGGCAATTGATTCCTTCGCTCGACAAATATTTGTGGGACCCCTACTATGTGTCATATCCCGGGACCTTTAGCCTCAAACAAAATAGCGTGTTCCCTGTCCCCACAGAGCCCCGAGGCGCCACTGAAGAGTAGTTACAACCAGGGCTTTGGCAGGGCTGTGGGTGTCCAGGTACCTCACTTGGCCCCGGGGGCTGGGAAGGCTCGCTCAGCCGGGACTCAGGAACATGTAGTGCAAAGGTCCGGAACTGAAAAACACGGTGTGTTCCAGGAACGGAGAAGCATCTGGTGGAACTGGAGCCGAGAAGGCAGGGCCCAGGAGCAGGTGGTTTGGGGCTGCAGAGGTAGGCGGGGATCAGAGTCCACAGGTGTGGCTCTGCCAATCCAGAGCCTGGGCCTTACCCAGGGCAGTAGGGAGCCATGGGAGGCTATGGGCAGGAGAACAATTTAATCAGATTCACGTCTTATCTCTTTCACCCACTCACTGGGTGACCCTGAGCTAGTCACATCCATCTGGGCCTCAGGTTCCCTCTATGTCAGATGGGAGGTGAGGTCCAGGGAGGGTCTGGCAGCGCAGATATTCTGTACCCTTCTTGGACTTTGGGTGACCTCCTCAGGTTTGATGATTAACTCCCCGCCACCCGGAGTCAAGTCGAGCCGCTCGGCCCTGATCCCCTGATGAGGACGCTGGGCGCTAGGAACGGAGGTGGTAAAACACAGGTCATGCCCTGAGGTGGCTCCCAGCCTGGAAGGGAGAGAAAGACACCCAATTCAGTGACAATTCTAACACCGCTAGGAGGACAGGGAGCAGAAGTCCCCGCAGGACTGCTGGGGGTGGGGTGGGATCACGGAGGGCTTCCTGGAAGAGCAGGGCCTCAGCACGCAGCTCAGGCTTGGACAAGACGCACAATTGCTGCATTTATTGCATGCCTCCTGTATGCCAGCCTTTTCGCGTCGACCAGCATGTCCTAAAGGCTTTTTAATAGTTGGGTGTTTATGTGTGCGTGCAGTAGGAGATAATCAGACCCATAGTTTCATGGGTCTAACTGCTTAGGAAGAAGTTAGGCAGGTATTAAAGTTTAATAATAGTCTTTTTTTTCATCTTCAGTAGCAGCACTGGTCGCTTCTGGCATGAAAGGCAGTATGGCTAATAGTTAGAACGCAGACCCTGGAGCCAGGCTCTGGTACAAATGAACACCAGCTCTGCCACTCACTGGCTGTGTGACCTCGGGTAAGTTAATTAACCTCTCTGCTTTGTTTCCGCATCTGTAAGATGGGGATAAAATGCTTCCCTAGTGGAACTGACAGGAAGATCAAACGAGTTACTGTACGTAACCCATTCAGAACAGCAGTGAGGGCTCTGTGTTTACTGCTGTGGTGGCTCCTACGGTTATTGTCACTATTCTAAAGTGGTGTGACAACAATGTGACAGCCATTGCAGTGTCCAAAGTTTGGGAACACGGCCTCATTCTATCACAGAATGTTCCTAGCCCCTGGGGGCGGTGAGTATTGTAAGGAGCTCTATCTACATCGTAGAAGCAGACTTTGTTCAGAAGGGTCAAGTCACTGTCCCTAGGTCACACAGAAGCAGGAACCAGGACTCACACCCGGAGGGACCAGGCTCCAGGCTCCTGGCTTGAGAGAGGCTGGGTGGGGAAAGCCAGGGCAGCTACATCAGATAAGGCTGGAGAGATGGACCAGGTCGCTGACCCGTCCCCTCCTCCCAGGGCCACCTTCGTCAGCCAGCCCCTGTCCCTGATACCACAGGCCGCCACACACCCGCCCTGGCCAGCCCCTTGGGTTACTCATTAAGCTTCCTGTCGTCACCCTCACCCCCAGCTGACTTTCTTGTTTGCAGGGTGAGGGAACTCCATGGCACCTGGGGAGCAGGCGATTGGCCCTCCAGACTTGCCGGGTGAACTGTGGACGCGGGCCAGGTGTTTTCCAAGCCACGAGACCCAGTTCAGCTAAACGGCTGAGAGAACGGAGTCCAGGCGGCCGTGCACGCAGCTAGCGAGCAACCCCGCTGAGGTTTGGACCGGGGGCTCCTATAACACCTGATCCGTCCTAGGGAACTTCCCAGACCCTTGCCAAGACCATAAATCATTCTCGAGCAGAGAGGGTCTCCAACCTGGGGGCCCATTGCTGCTGGCTGGAGCTGAGTCACTCTGTCCTCCTTGGAGGGACACGGCTCTTCATTGGCACCGCCCCCCCCTTCCTAGTGCACTTCCAACACCCAGCGGGCCTGGGCCTGGCCCTGTAGAGATTCGAGTTCGAGACCTGTGAATAAAGGAACTCCAGGCCTCTCCTCTTGCCCCTGAATACAGAAGGAGTCCGTGATCAAGGGAGAAACTGAGGCACAAAAAGGTTAAGCAATTTGCCCCAGGTTGCCCAGCAACTAGGCCATGGGGCCACTCTTCAAGGGACCCCTCCATCCAACCTGGGTGCTCTTGTCCTAAGAGACTGATAAATCCATAGTCACGGTGTCTGAGCTGGGAGAACAGCAAGGGCCAGACAATGCACCCCTTTTGTGGGTGGGACCCCTTTTGTGGGTGGGACCCCTTCTGTGGGTGGGAAACTGAGGCCCATGGAAGAAAAGGGGATTGTTTGGCATCTGTCCTCAAGGCTAAGGGAAAATCAGGTCCATGTGAACCAAACTTTCATTTATTCTTTCAGCAAACATGACCCCAAACTACCAAAATCTAGGCCCCGTGAAAGGAAAGATGGACACAAATAAAATACACCCCCCACCCCCGGACAATAACACCTCTCCCACCGGGACCCACGCGATCTCCTACGCAGATTCTCTGGACAAGTCTAATATGTAGCCACGGGCCACCTGTGGCTATTTAAGTTACTAAAAGTGAAATAAAATGGACAATTCAATACCTCGGTCTCACAGGTACATTTCAAGGGCTCGGTAGCCACGGTGGGGGAGTGGCTGCCTCTCCCTCCTCCCACCACCCCCGCTGCCCCAGAATGATCTCCAGGGCCCTACCGGGACGCACACCATCCAAGACTGGTGATATAGCGGTCACTCTGGTCATTGTCCTTTGTCAACCCAAGTCGTTACACCTGTACCTATTGTTCTTCCTTTTCTCACTTCAAATGTATTGTGGTCGTTGTTTGGGTTCATAGGCTCAGACGCCATTTACTCTCCCAGAGGCCACGTGACTGCCGAGTAGGGTGCATCACGGCTAGGCAACCGCTCCCAGCTTGAGGGCACCCCAGCTTCCAGTATTTTCGTTCGCTTGCTGTTGCTGCCCCCTAAACAGCTCGCAATAAACACCCTCATACCCCTATCCTTACCCTCTGGCACTTTTTTGGTTTTGTTTTTGAGACTATATCCCCCCAAGCGAAGATTTCTAGGTGAAAGGGATGGGTGTTTATAAAATCGTCATGGACATCGACAAGTTCGTTTCCCCAAAGGAGAGAGCAATTCCTGGTCCTATCAGCAATGTGCAAGGCGACTATTTTCCCTCATACTCACCAGCCCTGGCTGTTATTATTTTTCTGCTTTTTAAATTTTTGTTGTGTGTGTGTGTCAACTGAAGGGTTTAAAAAATAGCATGTCAGTGTTGCTCTCATGTGCATTTTTCTGTTGCTGCATCTGAAATGCCTTTTGGCTGCTCACGGCCCCCGGGGAGAGATGCCGGGCTGCACAGTCCCGGAGGCTCCAACCCAGACTTGCCCACAGGAGACATGAGTGAGGAACCGGGTCTGGAGGGAGAACGCGGGGAAAGGGGATCCAACGGGGTGGGAAAGGTCTGGATAATAATAGAAAGACCAAAGATCATCTTAATAGCAGCACTGTTCTCTGGGCCCTTACTTCGTGCCTGGCACTGGTCTGCCATCTCTCGGAGTCTTGTGATACCTAGTGGCTGCTACCGTCCCCGTCTCTCGGGGCAGGAAACTGAAGCTAAGAGAAGTTAGGCGACTGCCCGACCTCACGCAGCGGGGTGTCCGTTTCAGCCCAGGTATGATGGACTCAGGAGCTGGAGAACTTAACCAGTCAGGAGTCCGGGGCCAGCTTCACCAGCCAGGAGGGCAAACAGAGGTGAGAGCTGCCCGTTCCTCCCGAGCTGTGAAAACAACCGTCAGAATCCCCACCTCCCACAGCCAAGGACACAGTGATCTGGCCATCCTCAGGGACACTTCCCAGGAGGGTGTGATGTAATAACGGCTATCGACACTCGGGTGCCAGTCACAGGCATGAACAGATCTCCCGAGGTTTGCACAGTGACAGCAGCCAGCCTCCCCCAAGACCCTCCTGCAGCTGACAGGTCAGAACGATCCCGTCACTTTGAGACTCTGCCTGGTTCTGCTCCATTTCCTCCCCAGGGTGACCTTGGAGGAGGCCCTGGCCCTGATAAGGTCTCAAATTCCTGTCTATGTGATGGAACACAGAACCCACACAGATCATATATTGTATATATTTTAAAATGAAGATATGCCCGAATGGCAAATTTCCATCAATGACAGATAAATAAAATGGGGTCTATCCACACAACGAAATACTATGCAACCATGAAAAGGAACGAAACACCAATATACGTTACAATGTGGGTGAACCTCAAAAACATGGTGCCGAGTGAAGAAGCCCAACGCCAGAGGTCACATATTGTCTGATTCCGTTTATATGAAATGTCCAGAACAGGCCAATCTATAGAGATGGAAGGCAGGTCGGTGACCGCCAGGGGCCGGGGGAGGAGGGGAGTGACCGTTAATGGGTATAGAGTTTCTTTTCGGGGTGATGAAATGTTCTAGACTGCTACTCTGTAAATGGATGCGCTGTATGCTACGCGAACTAGATCTCAGCGATATGCCCGCCCTGCGCAGTTTGGCTCAGCGATTAGAGTGTTGGCCCGTGGACCAGAGAGACCCGGGTTCGGTTCCCGCTAAGGGAGCGTACTTCGGTTGCAGTGTGTCCCCAGCCCCAGCTGGGGTTGTGTGGGTGGCAACCAGTCCATGTTTCTCTCTCTCTCTTCCCCCTTCTCTCCCTCCCTCCCTCTCTCCCTCCTGCTCTATCTGAAGATGAATGCAAAAATGTCCTCAGGTAAGAATTTAAAAAAAAGGATATGCCCAAACAGGATGTCAACAACAGTGATGTATACTTTCTCTTTCCCTCTTTTTTTCTTGTATGGTTGATTTTCTTCCTTTTATTTTAGAGAGGGAGGGAGGGAAGGAGAGAGAGAGAGAAAGAGAGTATTTGAGAGAGAAGCATCAATTGGGTGCCTCCTGTACATGCCCTGACCGGGGACCAAACCCGCAACCTTCCAGTACACGGGACGGGGCTCCAACCCACTGAGCCACACCGGCCAAGGCTGACTGGTTTTCTTCATTTGTTTTTTACAGATCGCAACAGGGGCACATTCTTGTTGAGACAAACGGAACAATATAGAGAGGTTTAGAGAAATGAGGAGTGACCCGATTCCCCGCCCTGGCAGCCCCCACCATCCAATCACGCCCGTTGCTGCGGAGCAGGGATCATTCAACACTAAGATAGCGCTGCCTTCGCTGCCATCGCACTGATGGCTGGGAGGACCTCAGGTCGCACGCCTACATCTGAGACCCCTACTGTGACCCCTAATGGCCCTCCCAACCTCATTTCCACCCTCTCCGTCAGAATCCCTGAGTTTGCCCCTGCCACCTGCCACCTGGGTGACATGTTACTCCACCTCTGAGCCTGTTTCTCGACCTGTGACATGGGACTCAAAGCGCCCACTCACCTAATTGTTTGAGGAGAAAGTGGCACCCCGGGTGGGAAACACTTGGCATGAGATCAGGCACCAGCTGGTGGGGGGCAACGTGAGCACGAGCTGTACACACTCAGATGCACACAGGAGGCTGCGTGTCTACATGTGAGCATCATGGCACCCAACACAGGCCTGCAGCTGTCCCACTGGGGAGGGGGCTTGGGCGTGCCTGTGGAAGGTCAGTGGGGCTGCAGGAGGGGACAGCTTGTCCCACAGAGAGGGACGGCTATTTGTCACTGCCTTCTGGCTCATCGATATTCTTGTCCCCGCCGACTGAACAAGAGAGCTTTGTTGAGGGGGCCAGGGAGAGAGCTGGCCAGGGCTGTGTGCATGTGCGTGTGTGTGTGTGTGTGTGTGTGTGTGCCACCCTGTGTGCAGACAGTCCCCCTGCTCACAGCCAGGGACAGACAGGAGGCTTGGCATGGGGCAGGGAGTGACTTCCAGTGCAAGACCCTTCGTCCTGTGATGACGATGACGACGATGATGATGATGATGATGATGACTGGTGATGACTACGGTGCTCACACTTACCGAGCACTGACTTCGGGGCCCTTGCATGCATCATTATCATGCCATCTATTCCTAGCAGAGCGGTACCATTGTCATCCCCATTTTACAGAGGAGCAGAGGGAGGCTCCAGGAGGCAAAGCGACCACCCGGGGCCACACAGCAAGTAAACGGCAGTCAGGATTTGAACCCCGGTCTGCCTGGGTCTTACCCATAATGCCACCTGCCCCTTTATAACAAAAAGTCCTAAAAGGACGACAGCAGAAGGCAATAAAGAACTGCGTTCAGCCCTGGCCGGTTTGGCTCAGCGGTTAGAGCATCGGCCTGCGGTCCAGAGAGACCCGGGTTCGGTTCCCGCTAAGGGCATGTACCTCGGTTGCAGTTTGTCCCCGGCCCTGGTTGGTCGTGCGGGTGGCGGCCACTCGATGTGTCCCTTTCACATCGATGTTTCTCTCTCTCTCTCTCTGTTCCTCTCTCTCCCTCCCACTCTATCTGTGCAAAAAATGGAAAAAAGTGTCCTCGGGTGAGGATAAATTTTTTTTAAAAAAAAAAAAAAAAAAAAAGAACTGCGTTCAGGTCGCACGTTTGGGAGTCAGACGGCCGGTTCAAAGGCCCGCTCATCCGTCTTGCAGTCTGGGCCCTGGTGTCCGGCTGTAAGGGGGTGATGACCGCACCGGCTGTGCCCGGCTGTGCCCGGCTGTTCCCTGGGCGCCTGTTGTGCACCAAGCACACGCTAGAGAGGAAGTAAGGCATTCTCTCTCACCATCCTCCCGCAGGCCTCCTCGCCCGCCGGGGAGGTGGGGAGTGTCCTGTTTGCAAATGAAGACGCTGAGGATGGGGAAGGGGAGGGCAGGCGGACAGCAGAGAGGGGTGGGGAGAGCCGGGAGAAAGCTGCCGAGGGAGGAGGGCGGCCTCCGGCCAGGGGGCGTGTCCTGGCGGGGGTGTGACCGGCCCTGCAGCCCTATTGGCTGCCCAGAGGCACCCAGAGAATAAAGCCGGACCTGGTAGCCCTGGGACAATTCAGAAGACAGTCTACCTGTCCCTCTGCCCTCCATCAGCCCATCCATCTGGGCCCTCTCCAGTCTATCCCTGCCTCTCGGGTCCAGCCTCCCAGCTCCATTGCCGTCGCCCCCCACTTCTTCCGGCAATGACTTCCCGGGAGCCCCTGCACGTGAAGACTCCCATCCGAGACAGCGTGGCCCTGTCCAAAGTGGCCGGCACCAGCGTCTATCTCAAGATGGACAGTGCCCAGCCCTCGGGCTCCTTCAAGATCCGGGGCATTGGACATCTCTGCCAGACGGTACAGGATCCCTCCGGGCGAGGGTGGCAGGTCCTCTCTCCTGGATGGGGCAGGGCCGGGGCCACGTGAAATCCAAGAAGTTCCAGGCTAGGTCCTGCTGACCCCCGCGATGCCTGAGCACCCACCATGAGCACTTCTTCTGGGTCAGGGGTGCCCGTCAGGAGGATCCCCGAAGGGCCGACCCCAGAGCTACCAGTTACCAGCCTCTCCGTCGTCCTTCCTTGAGCCAGGCTCTCTGGGGAAGGAAGATGTCATCTGAGAGGCTAGGGCAGTACAAGTGCCATGTGAAGGGACAGACTTCAGTCGGGACGTAGCCCAGGTGAGAGGGAAGAGCTGGGGGACAGCCTGACCCCCTCCCCTTGTCTCCACAGTGGGCTGAGCAAGGCTGTAAGCATTTTGTCTGCTCCTCGGGTAAGTGGGCTGGACGCCTCTTCCTGTCCTCTGCTGTGTGTCCCAGGGCCAGCGGCTCCGCCTCTCTGGGCCCTGGTTTCCCCAGCCATGAGCCATTGCAAATATTTGCAGCAGGCCCAATTTGGAATTCCAGGCGAAGGCCTGAGGCCACCCAGGGGGTTCAGAGGCCAGAGTTGGGTTCCCAGGCCCCCCGCACTGACACACTCTCCACCCCACCCTTGGCAGCGGGCAATGCAGGCATGGCAGCCGCCTACGCCGCCAGGAAGCTGGGCCTCCCCGCCACCATCGTGGTGCCCAGCACCACGCCCGCCCTCACCATCGAGCGGCTCAAGGCTGAGGGTGCCACGGTCAAGGTGGTGGGTGAGGTGAGTGCCGACCTGGGGCAGGGGCCCCCGAGGGCAGCTAGTGTCAGAGGAGGGTCCCCTGGCCCCTCACCTCTTCCTGCCTCCCCTGTGGTCTTGCAGATGTTGGATGAGGCCTTGGAGCTGGCCCAGGCCCTGGCGAAGAACAACCCAGGTTGGGTCTTCGTCCCTCCCTTTGATGACCCCCTCATCTGGTACGTGAAGCCCAGGGTGGGTGACATCCAGCTTCTACACCATTGGGTGGGCGCCTGCCACAGGCACGTCGTCACATTGTCACGCACAGCAGTTACACACGTGTGCACACACCATCGCGTAGACGCCCACACACAGGCCTCAGTGCCCATTCTCCACGGCCAGGAGCGAACACGGGCGCAGACACACAGATGTCTGCCATTGGGTGTCCCCGGAGCAGATCCCAAGACAGGATTCAGAGAAAGCAGTTTACTTGGGAGGTGACTCATCAGAGGAGTGGAGGAGGCAGAGGAGGAAGGAAAGAAGCCACTAACTGGGGCTCTGATGGGCAGGGGACCGCTGTGGGAGCTGGAGCTGAATTTTTGGGGGGCCCCTGGGAGCCAGTGTGGAACACGAGCCAGAGCTGCCCACAAGCAGGAGAGGATGCTGGGTGTTTATTCACCAACACCTACACTTCTGAGTTCGCACAGTCACTGGGTGAGGGTGTCCTCAGGGCTGTCATCTGTTGGCACTGCCGGCTGCCATGCTCACAGGCAGCGCTGGTGGCCCGAGGAAGCCTCGGGTAGGGGTGCAGACGGCTGGCAGCTAGAAATCAGGGTGGAGTCAGGAGACACCGCGGCCTAGCTGTGCGTGGGGTGAAGACAACTGAAGGCAGGTGGCACCTGCAGGACCCCTGCCCAGTGTCTCAGGAAGCCCAGCCCTGACCTCTCCCCCTCCCCACCCCCCAGGGAAGGCCACACGTCCATCGTGAAGGAGCTGAAGGAGACGCTGCACGAAAAGCCGGGGGCCATCGTGCTGTCGGTGGGTGGTGGGGGCCTCTTGTGCGGAGTGGTCCAGGGGCTGCAGGAGGTGGGCTGGAGGGACGTGCCCGTCGTCGCCATGGAGACCATGGGCGCCCACAGCTTTCACACCGCCATCTCTGCCGGCAAGCTCGTCTCTCTGGCCCAGCTTACCAGGTGAGCAGCCGGGGGAACCTTCGTCGGGGGCTCAGCAAGCCTTGGGGCACCTGCCTTGGTGCAGGCTGAGGTAGGTCCCGATGTCCCATTTTACAGGTAAAGAAACTGAGGTTTGTTCACTTGCCCAGAGTCACACAGCCAGTGAGTGGGACTGCGGGACTGAGCCCGTCTGTGTGAATGTACTGATTTTAGAGAGAGGATGGGAGAGGGAGAGAGAGACAGAAACATTGATGAGAGAGAACATCGATTGGCCGCCTCCTGCATGCCCCCCGCTGGGGATCGGGCCCACAACCTGGGCATGTGCTGTGACCGGGAATCAAACTGGCGACCTCTTGGTGCCTGGGTCAACACTCAACCACTGAGCCACACCGGCCGGGCAGTCTGTGTGACTGTGTTCCTCCTACAAAGTCTAATATTAACCACGAGCTGAGCTCCTCTGCGGCAGGGCTTTGCGCTCTTCATTAATTGACCGGCCATTTACTGAGCCCCTAATATGTGCGAGACACTGGCCAATCCCAGGGAGAGCGGGGATAAACACAGCTCCCGCTCCTAAGCACTTCATATCCCAGCCCCAAATCTCTGACACACGCTGTTTAATTAGGATTCAGTTTGGCTGCTTTATACAGAAATCCAGAATAGCAGCGACTTGAACAAGATTGAATTTTATTTCCTCTTATTAAAATAAAAAGAAAGAATTCTGCAGGGGTGGGGAACATTCGGCCCGTGGGCCTTATAAGGCCTGTGAAATCAATAGCAGCTGATATTACACACCTCACCAAATTAGCCTGACCAAATATAGCAGGCTAATTTTTAAGTCGATAATTTTGTCTGGCCCGTGAATGATGTTATAACTATCCAAAGGGCCTTTAGCAGAAAATAGGTTCCCCACCCCTAGGAGGTAGGCAATCCAGGGGAGAACCATGAAGCCAGGGGCCCAGGTTCCCTGAGTTTGTGCTCCATCATTTTTATTGTGTAACTTCATGGGCCAAAATAGCTGCATAAGTGCCAGCTATCACACCCACACTCCATCTGGCAGGAAGAAGGAAGCAGGGCAGAAGCTAGGCCCCCTTTCTTTAAAGACAGACACAGTACTTCCACTTACCTCTCCCCATTGGCTAGAACTCAGTCACATGACCACACCTGTGCCAAGGGAGGCTGGGAAATGTCTTCCTACCAGGCATCCACGTGTGCAGCTAGAATATTGGGAAGACTAAACCCAGGTAAGAACTTCCTCCGGATTCCTGAGTCCCACACCCCGGAGCTACCGTTGGGCCTCTGACTCTACAGTGTTGGGAGTGAAGAAATAATTGCTGAGCACCTGCCATGAGCCATATGCTGGGCTAAGGGCTGAGTGGTCCAGGCAAGGAGATGCGCAAGGGCGAGTGGGGACATGAGCCGGGAATAGAGCCAGTGGTCTCTCCGGGGGCTGGGGTGACACGAGCACACTGATTACAGTGCAGGTCCTGGGGGTCTGGGGGCCCCGTTTGAAGCCCCAGCACCGCAGCCCCCTGGGCAAGTGACGGCACAGGCTCTGCTTCCATTGTCCCTTCTACGAAACTGAACCACCGAACCACCAAACCTGTCGTGAGAACGAATACTGCTTGTGAAGTGATCGGCACCCAACACTTTCTCAGGAGGTGGTCACTGTGTGTGCGATGGGGAAGATCATTTGAGAATTCCACGTGGGCCACGGGACTGAGTGCTTCCCCTGGAGGACTCCTTGGAGGAGGCAGCCTTAATCCTGAGCCCTGCAGGACAGGGTGGGGCCTGGGTAGGCAGAACGGTGCTAAGCTTTGTGAGGGTTAAAAGCAGGTGAAGGTGCCCTGGCTGGTTTGGCTTAGTGGTTAGAGCGTCAGCCCTCAGACCCGAGGGTCACTGGTTCTATTCCCAGTCAGGGGCACGTACCTGGGTTGCAGGTTCAATGCCCAGCCCTGGTCAGGGTCAAGCGGAGACAACCAATCAATCTTTCTCTCTTGCATTGATGCCCCCACCCCCACTCCACTCTCTCTAAAATATCAATGGAACAAATATCCTCGCCAAGGATTAACAACGGGGTGACTGCCTAGAGCCGAGGCTGGGCATCCTATCGGGGCACCACAGGGCCTTTCAGGCATTTGTTCCTGAGTCATGTCGAACAGAAATGATGCTATTTAACCCCAGAACAGTCTCAGGAAGCCCCTGCGACTTTTCAGTACTTTTTAGCTATAGAGGGCACCTCTGTCCCCACGCCCACAGACCCCAGTTCCTCCTCCCTCTCACATCCAACTTTGTCTCTGTCTCTCCTTCCCCACCCTGGTCTCCACCTCCCTCCTCTCTCCTACCTGTCTCCCGTCCCCATTTTCCACGCCCTTCCCCAGTGTGGCCAAGGCCCTGTGCGTGAAGACTGTGGGGGCTCAGGCCCTGAAGCTGTTTCAGGAACACCCCATTTTCTCAGAAGTCATCTCAGACCAGGAGGCTGTGGCCGCCATTGAGAAGTTTGTAGGTATGTGCCGAGTCCTTTCGAGACCCAACCTGCTGGTTCAGAACTCAGTGGCTGTCCCCGCCTCTCGGTATGGAGGGGGATTCCATCGCTGCCTAGAACTTCCCACTGGAGATAATACAAGGCAGCGGTAAAAACAGAAAGGCCGAAAGCACAAATGAAGGCGGAAGCCTGATAGCGTGACAGCAGGGAACCATAACTGAGTATTTAAAAATGTTGCTGCTGAGCTTCCTGGCAACCAGGGTGAAAAAGGAAAGTAGAAGCCTCACTGATAGATTCAGAAGTGGGTCTGTAACTAGGCTGGACTCTTTCTGGGTTCAGCCTAGGACAAGGATGGCGCGCGCACTCACACACACACACACACACACACACGCACACACACTCGGCAGCATGTAGGCTATCACTTACTCTCCTGTAGGAGCAGCCAGTTTGGCTAATCAACCAGGGCACTCTTTCGCAGATGATGCCTCAGAGTCCTTTTCAACACACTGCTCAAGCAATTACAATCACTGTATCAACGTCAGCACTAATGATGAAACCTAGCCCCGCCTCAGGTCTTGGAAGGTCAATCTAGGGATGATGGAAGGACCTGAGTCTGTGGCCAGGGCTGACAGTGCCCGTGCCCCCTGCGGAACTCGGGCCCTGCCCTCACCACCCCCTCCTCTGGCAGATGACGAGAAGATCCTGGTGGAGCCAGCCTGCGGGGCCGCCCTGGCCGCCGTCTATAGCAACGTGGTTCAGAAACTGCAAAGGGAAGGAAAACTCCGCAGCCCCCTGCCCTCCCTCGTGGTCATTGTCTGCGGGGGCAGCAACATCAGTCTGGCCCAGCTGCAGGACCTCAAGAAACAGCTGGGCATGAAGAATGATCTGCCCAAGTGAGGATCCTCCCCGGCCCGGGAGAGCCCTGCAGGGGCTGGAGTTTTATCCAGCGCCTCGTTGTGCATATCATTCTTGTGTCTGGCTGAGCCTGCGCCAGGCGTCAGTACCTGCTTGTGCCCACGAGCCCACTGTGCCAAGGGGCCAACGCTCCACGGTGGAGGCGGGAAGCCAGCAGCCAGCGAGGCTGTGAACTGAACCCCTGCCACTGTGTGACTGCTCTGTGACCGTCCTCAGCCACCTGCCGGGGTGATAGCTGCCCACATGCCACATACCAGGTCCCCGGAGTAGAGTGGGCATGAGAGACATTCCGCCTTGGAGCGAGGTGTCCCCACCCCGGGCTCTCAACCTGGGGCGGTAAACAGGGCCATAGCCCAGGGTCGAAGAGCCACCTTGTCCTTGCTCCCAGGAAGCCCAACCCCACCCTTACTCATTTTTCTAATGTGCAAACATTTTCACTGAAACGTTAAAATAGATATTTAAGCAAAGATCCTTTGTTTTCCATCATCACTGTCTTCCTCCCTCCCTCCACCCAGCCCTGCTGTCAGCAGTGAGCGCCCCAACCTCCATCCCCACCCCTAGGAACCCTGGGACCCCACATGGAACTCAAGCCCCCGCCCAGAAGGCGGGGAGCCAGTGAGGCAAGTGGCGCTGAACAGGAGGGGCCTGGGCTGGGACGTGCCTCCCTCCGGTGGGGACAGATGCAACCACAGAACCACTGGGAGCAGCGTAGCGAGCCCCCGGCCCTGGGGGTGTACACTAACACTGGACAATCACCTCGGGGACAGGGAAGGAGAGGACATGAAGCCAGTGGCAGGCAAACCCTCAAGAAACATGAAACCCTCTCTTCCAAGGTGTGCTGAAGCCAGCATGTAAGAGGAGCCTCGAGGTCTGGGGGGGCCACCCCATCACCACTCAGCAATGTCCCCGTACCACCTACAGAGGCTGCGGGCACCTCACTGGGTCCCCAAGTTCAGAGTGAAGTCTGATACCACTCAGACCTCTCGGGCCCAGGCTTGCAGAGCCCCACCCGCACCCCAACAAAGAGCAGAGGCTGTGCGGTTTCGGGGGGGTGGGGAGTGGGGAGCCCACCCCAAGCCCACACTGGCACAGGCCCACCTACTGATTCCCACATGCACTTTAGACACCCAGGCACAGGATGCCAGGGAAGGCCTGGCAGGAACAGGAAATCATCAGCCCCGGCTCCAGAGCAGTTCCTGGGGACAGAGTGGAACCGAATGGTACCCACTCAGGATAGGATTGCTTTCAGCTCCCACTGTCCTGCCTGGGTCGGGCACAGAACCCCCCACAAGGCAAGGGGGAGCTGGGCTGGGGGCCAACCAGCTGACCAAACCCCTTTCCATCAGAGAAGGGCGGAAGCCACAGACGAGCCAGCAGCTGCCACTTTGAAGCAGAGGACTGTGGGAAACTCCCAGTGCACAGGTGCTGAGGGAAGCTGCCTTTCTGCAGCTCTGCAAGGGGTCCTGCCTTTGCTGGGTCGGCTGAAGCCCAGGCGACCCCCTGCATGTCAGTGGGCATCACTCTGGCTCCACGGCAGCCCTCACCTCCCACGAAGCAGGAGGGGCCAGAACCACTCGGGAGGATTAGACGACAGTCTCCCCTTCCTCCGGAACGGCCCCGGGGGAGCTCCACCACCACCCCGAGCCTCCCAACCTTGTTTTATTTCCTCCCGGACCATTTCTCAACATCTTACATACATATCATATTTATTTTGTTGACTACCTCACCAACCTAACCCTCCCTAAGATCGGGGACTTTTGTACCTTTAGTTGTAAGTTATCCACAAGACCTTATAAAAGTGCCTGGCATGTACTAGAGTTCAGTAATGCTTACTAGTGACGAATGTCGGTGTGTGAGCCCCACGTGGGGCTCACCACCACTGCAGCAAGTCTGTACGCCCTCCCCCACCCGGGAAGTGTGGCTCACAGCACCCCCCATTTCAAGAGGAGGTAACCAAGGCTCGGGGATGTTGGGCCCACAGCTGTAAGAGGTGGAGGCAGGCTGTGGGCCCAGGTCTACTCCAGAGCTGCGCGCGTTCCTCTCCCCAAGCACAGCACTAGGCGAGTCTCATCTCCAGTGTGGGTTTCAGGGTATGAACAGACAGGGCGGGGCTGTTTCGTGTTGATCTGTACCCCACAGTAGGACTTGGGAAGGTCTTGTGGTTAACAGGGTCCTAGAACAGGCCCCAGAACAAACGTAGGTGCTCCATAAACATCAGATGGATGGATGGATGGATGGATGGATGGATGGATGGATGGATGAATATGGACGGATGAATAGATGCATGGATGGATGGATGGATGGATGGATGGATGGATGAATGGATATGGATGGATGAATAGATGCATGGATGGATGGATATGGATGGATGGATATGGACGGATGAATAGATGCATGGATGGATGGATGGACGGATGCATGGATGGATGGATGGATGGATGGACGGATGGATGGATGGATGGATGCATGCATGGATGGATGGATGGGTGTATGGGTGTATGGTTGGATGGATGATGAACGGATAAACGGATGGCTGGAAAACGGAGGGATGGGTGGTGCGTGGATGGACAGGTGGGGGTGGGTGGATAGAAGGATGGAGGAGTACGCAGATGGACATGGCTGGGTGGGTGGACAGACAGGACAGGCAGGAGATGCAGGAGGGTGGCGCAGTCTTGCAAGAAGGCGTGGACCCAGCCTGCCCCACTGCCCCACAAGGCACAGCACAGGGGCCACAGCCTCTCATTTAATTCCGCCACAGCTGTGATTTGGGACCTGCAGCAGGGAAACTGAGGCCAGGCGCACGCCCAGGTTGGGGGCAGGGCATGAGGCTGGAGCGTGGGGCTGACACTCCTCCCTGCCCCTGCAGAGAGGACACTCAGGCCCTCCAGCCACAAGTCACCAGAAACTTTGGTTTGTGCGTGTTTTCCAGTGTCTGTCCTTGAGGACGCTGTCCAGGGGGGAAGCGGAGCTGCTGCCCAAGGGGCTGAAACCCTCCGGGCCCAGGACCTGATCCCTCAGCAGGGGCGGCGTGAGGGTGGGACCCAGGGTGCAGCAGAGAGAGAAGCAGGGAGAAGAGGGAGAGAAACAGGGAAGACGGGCAGACGCAGAGAGGCAGAGGGAGACAGAAATGGCACTCACCCACTCCAGGGGAGAGGGGTCAGCTCTGGGCCCCAGCGGGGTCTGTGCCCACCTAGGAGGGGATGCCCAGGTGAGAGTGAACCTGGCAGACCCAGGTCCCAGCTCTGGGCACAACAGGGGGCAAAGGCCACAGATGGGACGAGCAAGAGGTCATGGCGGCGGGCGGTAGGGTGGCCCCGCTGAGGTCAGCAGGGGCAGAAGGCAGCCAGGTAGACGGTGCGTCAGTCCCATCGGACCTTGATGGGCGAGAACGTCCAGAGGTCGGGCTGGCCCATGTGTAGCAGGCCACTGAAGGGTGAGGTGCTCCACTGGAAAGGGGGCACCTGGTCCCACGTGGGGCCACTGGCTGCCACAAGGCTCAAGGCGTGGGCCAGTGCCATGCTGGTCACCTGGGCCAGGGCAGAGCAGACCCGAGTGTCAGCCGGCTGGGCTCCAAGCTGACCCCACCCTCACTGGGACCCCAACCACCGCCCAGTTCTGACCCTGACTCCTGCCCTGCCCTGTGCAGGGACCCCCGCCCGGGCCTGGGCGGCAGCACCTTGACGTCGATGCCCCCGTGCGAGCGCTGCTGCAGGGCCTCGAAAGGGTAGGAGCCGTTGGCTGGGTTGAGGTCTGAGCGGGCCGAGATGGCGTTCTCCCCGTTGGGCTGCGGGCTGCAGGCTCTGCACAGTGACAGGGGGTCGTGCAGGAAGTCGTTGTACCTGGAGGTGGGAGGGAGAAGCGGGCGTGTTGGGAAGGGGAAGCCAAGGAAGGGGCCACGCTCCAGGCAGCAGCCCAGTCACAGTGTGGGGGTCCCTCCCACTGCTGGGGACCCTCGGCCTTCACCCGGCTCTCACCCCGCCCCCGGCACTCAGACCCCAGCTCAGGCATCCCGTCCTCTGGCTCCGTCGCAAGTCGGCCAGGGACCCCGTGTGGCCCTCTGTAGCACTTCTGGGGACCGAGGGCTGGTTACACACCCACGCGGGTACGTGCCCGATGGATTTCTACACCTCACGAGGCAGGTGGCACTGAGGACAGTGGGGACACGCCGTGTGCCTGTGTCTCCAGCACCAAGCACAGAGCCCGGCGCAGGGTGGTCACTCAGCGGCAGATCCGTGTCCCCACCGGTGAGGACGGCAGCAGGGCCCCGCCCTGCTGTCCCGGGTGTTCCACACGTTCGCCAGCCGGCCCCCGGCTTGTTGTGAGGGTTCAGTGGGTGACGACGGAGAGCACAGAGCACCCCGGGGCTCCGGCTCGCCGCCCCTCACGCACCTCATCAGCTGGATCATGGAGTCCATGTCGTGCACCAGAGACTGGTTCCGCTGGAAGATCTGGGCCCGGGGGTTCTTGTCATAGGAGAACCAGTCCCCATACCGGGCCACCAGGGCCTGCAGTCCACTGGTGTTGAACACAACCTCAAAGGACCTGCCGGGGATGAGGACGGTCACTCATGACTCCCACTGACCTCACCTGGCCATGGCCAGGAAGGTGGCGGGGCGGTCACACCAGAGCATTAGCAGTGACAACCATGTCGGGACAACAACAACAATGTCTTTTGTTTGCGCCGGGTGGGTGGCTTGGCGGGGTGGCCAAGCTTGGGCTCTGGGGACCCAGGAGACACAGCTTGCAATCCTAGCTTCATCACTGACCAGCTACGGAAACTTGGGAAAGTTAGGCACCCTCTTGGGGCCTCGGTTTCATCATCTGTGAAATGGGAACAGGCGCTGTGGCCAGCACGGTGTAAGGCTCAAACGACGTCACGCAGGTCAAGGGCAGTGAGCGTCCCCAGGGGAAGGAGCAGCAGCCCAGTTAAAGCAGATCCAGCCGGGGAGCCATTGCAGGGGTCAGCGCCTGAGACAGGCCACCCCATCACCCTGCACACTGGGAGGTCGCCCGGATGCTGACCTAAGCCCCATGACTGTACCCCAAAACTGCCAGGGCCTTCCTGGCCAGAGAGGGTGGGGGGTTTCTTGGCTCTGTGGGTTTAAAGAATCACTTGGGAAAGGCCCCCACCAGCATGGAGAGCTGAGCAAGGGCGGGGCAGACGCAGGGCGGGCGGGGAGGGAGGGACACGTACGGGATGTTGTAGCTGGCCCAGTAGCCCTTCTTGTAGAGTTCCGAGGTCTTGTCGGCCACCACCACCATGCCCCTGGGACCAGCGAGATGGGCAGGAGGGGAGAAAGGGGCTGTGTGAGCTCTGCCCTGCTCGGGACCCCCGATGGCTCCCACCCTCTCTTCCAAGCGCACCCTCCTTGGCTTCCTCCCACACGCGTGTCAGCAGCCTCCGGGCTTTGCCTGCGCAGCCCCCTCTGCCAGGAGCGCCCTGCCCTTCCCCAGCACTCACGGGATCTGCTCCAGGACGGTGAGCACCCTGCTCCCAGGGCTGGGCCCGCCGGGCACAAACGCCTTGTAGTCCACGATCATCCACTGGTTGTTGTACCTGCCGTGCCCCAGGAGGGAGGACTGAACGGACCCTGGGGCCACCACCCCCGCCTCCCCTCCCCCCGCGCTCCACACAGCCAGGAACCCTGTGGCACAGGTAGCCGAGGGGGGAGGGGCTGGCCATGGACTGTCACTCAGACACTGCAGCTTGACCAGGTGCACTCAGACTCTTCCCTCAACATGCTGTTTGCCTGCAACAGAGGACTCTATGGCTCCCTAGTGCTTGCTCAACAAAAGTCAACCCGCCTGACGTCCTCAGACCCCACACTACTCAGTCCAGTGTCCCTGGTTCACGGGGTCCTCATCCGCTCATGTCCACTTCCTCACGCGGCCCTCCCCATGTCCCCAGAGCTCTCAAGTTCCAAATTCTCTTCCTGTCCTCCCCCTGGAGAGTTTCACCTGGGTGGAGAAGCCACACGAGCGGGGCAATGCTGTCCCTCCTGAGCCTCAGTTTCCCCATGTGTAAAGCAAGGGAGGGGAGTCGCGAGAACCGCGAAGGGCCCTGCAGAGGGCGGGGCACGTGGCTCTGGTACCACCTGAAGCCACTCACGTGCCACTGTTGAACCTCTTGAAGGTCTCTGCCCAGGTGTCCCCGCTGGAGGCCAAGCGGTTGGCCACGACGTTGCGCACCCACTCCATCACGCACTGCTGGGGCTGCACGTACTTCCACAGGGCCGGGTTCCTGTTGCCGATGGTGGTCTCCAGGGTCACCTGGAGGACAGCCAAGGGGTGGCGGCGGGCCGAGCCTCAGGACTCACCCCGGGGCGTGCTGCCACCAAGTGGCAGTGCTGCGTCCGTCACAGTTCAGAGGTCGACTAACAGAGTTTAAAACCTGCTGTTGTGGTTGAGTGGCAGCTCCTCACCGGTTCCCTGGATGAGACTGACAGGCTTCGCGACCACGCATCCAGCTTTGCCCTGGGGAGCCACCCCCACCACGTCGGTCGACTGTCCCGGGGAGAGAGCAGCCCGTTTCTACCCCTTCCGTGCAGCTCTGCAGGGACAGCTGGGCTGGCAGACCACCATAACCTCCCAGCACTCAGCCCCCTGGGAGAAACAACACGGCTACTCGTGCCCTTCTGGCCGCAAGGTAAACTGAGGACTGACGACGCAAGAGACTTGTCAGAGGTCATGGCTGGGGAGTGGATGGACCAAGACTCGATCCCCAAACTCCCAGCTCTCAAGTCACTGTCTGTTGCCCTCAGCAGGGTATTCGCATGCTCGTCCCTCTCCCTACAAGCCGGGAAAGGGCTAAAACGCAGCAGTCGCCCTAAATGGGATGTTAAGAGAGGAATCTGCAAAGCAAGCCTGAGTGGCAGCCGCCTCTTCCCCTCCCTCCGCCCTCAGCATCCGAAGCCATCACCAGGGTGAGGACCAGCCTGGCCCCCAAAGCCCTGGGGGGCTGGGCGGGGAGACACTTTCCTTTCTCCAGCAGGGGGTTCTTCATGTGGGGCAGTACTCAGGGAGTCTGCAGACTTGGATGGGAAAAACATCACATTTCTATTTCCACTAATGTCAGACTGAAATTCAGCATCTCCTCCATTGTGAACACAGGTGACGCACCACAGAGGTATTAGGACCTGATACTGTCACCAACAGAAATCACACGTTCTCCCGCCATGTGACAGGGTTGCACATATCTCAAAATACTGTGTATGTCCCTTGTTACTTCTAAACGATGGCAGGCAGCACCTGCTACCACATCTCTCTTTTTTTTTTTTTTAAATCTTCAGATAGAGTAGAAGGGAGGGAGGGAGAGAGAGAGAAACGCCGATGTGAGAGAGACACATAGACTGGTTGCCTCCTGCACAACCCCAACCAGGGCCACGGACGAACCGCAACTGAGGTACATGCCCTTGACCGGAATCGAACCCGTGACTCATTGGTCCACGGGCCGATGTTCTAACCACTGAGCAACCCAGCCAGGGCAACATCTTATTTTATGTGCTCTTAAAGCAGCACAAATATTTCAAGTTGATTTTGATAAACACGTTTCAATATAATAGGTTTCCTTTCTGATCCCATATATTTTGGTTTACACACTGAAAACATTATTTTGGAATGGGGTTCATAGCCACCCAGCCAGCCAAAGGAGTTTGTGGCATAAAACCAGTTAAGAACCTGGATGTGCCCTGGCCGGGGTGGGGCAGTGGATTGAGCATCATCCCATCAACTGAGAAGTCCGGGTTCGATTCCCAGTCAGGGCACATGCCTGGGTTGTGGGTTCGAACCCCAGTAGGGGGCGCGCAGGAGGCAGCCAATGGGTGTTTCTCTCTCTCATTGATATTTTTGTCTCTCACCCTCTTCCTTCCATTCTCTCTAAAATCAATGAAAACATATTTTTAAAAAGAACCCAGATGGAAGGTAAATTTCCCACTTGGACACTTTCCGGGTAACTAGACTCAACCATTTCAATTGTTCTTCCTCACTGTCCCCACCAAAACCTGCAGCAAGGGGGTCCCCTCATCCGCTGCCCGGTCCCGTCATGCCTCCTTCAATTTAAGGGGACACACTCCCACGCTCCCCTCAAAATCAAATAGGAAAGAGCCCTCCCCTCCCCGCCCCGAACTGGCGTCTTCTGCCGCAGGGGCTCAGAGCAGCTTCCTCCTCCCCAGTGTTGCCCTGGCGACGCGGGGCTGGCTGCCTGGGCAGGGGTGCCAGGAACACACTTCTAAACGAGGCTGGACCCCAGCCAGGAAAACTGGTCAAACGACGACTGTACGCGACACTTACTCAGCAAACCTGGCCAGCTTAGGGGGGTTTTGCGGAGAGAGAAGGGGGTATTTCAGAGCAAGGTGCTGAGGACGAGGACAAAACCAGTCGCTGAGGTCAAGGATGTTCGTGAGGGCCCGGAGCCGAGCGGTCTCTGAGAGCTGTGTGCCAGGGCGGAGGCCGGGCAGCCGAGGTCCTGGGCCCAGGCAGGGGTGTGCGTTCAGGGTGTGCCACCCTGTGGGTGGGGACTAGAGGTACCGGGCAGTCACTCTGTAATTTATATATATATGTCTAGTCACTAGGTCGTACACCTGAAACTAATATAAAATTGTATATCATGCCCTGGCCGGTTTTGCTCAGTGGTTAGAGCGTCGGCCTGCGGTCCGGAGAGACCCAGGTTCGGTTCCCGCTAAGGGCGTGTACCTCGGTTGCAGTTTGTCCCCGGCCCTGGTTGGTCGTGCGGGTGGCAGCCACTCGATGTGTCCCTTTCACATCGATGTTTCTCTCTCTCTCTCTCTCTCTTCCTCTCTCTCCCTCCCACTCTGTCTGTACAAAAAATGGAAAAATGTCCTCGAGTGAGGATAAAAAAAAAAAAAAAAGTTGTATATCAACTATAACTGAATAATTCTTTTCAAAAAGAAGCCCCACCCAGCGGTCCCAGTACCATCACGAGAATGGGCGTTGGCCCTGGGACGGCGCTGGGGCTTCGGCCACAGGGAAGAGCGGCGACACGAGAGGGAGACTCACCAGCCCGCTGCCCAGGACGTAGAAGTCATCACAGGAGAAGATGGTGCCGGGGTAGGACGAGAAGACCACCTTGTTCCCGGGAGCCAGGGGAGAGTGTTCTGCAGGGGAACAGGGCCCGGGGGGGGGGGTCAGAAAACCCACGTGGGGGCCCAGCACCCCACCCATCGAGATTTGGGAGTCTCAAGGTGGGGAGCAGCAGGCCTCAGTACCTTGTTTGGAAGAAGGTAGATGTTTGCCCACCCTCTCGCCACCTCCTGGCAATAGTCAGTTTGTGAGCTTGGCCAAGAGGGAGGTGCTACGAACATCTGGCGTGGCTACTTCTGGGGCTGACCCTGGGGCTAGGGACGGGGCGCTGCGGGGTACTGGGCCTCAGCCGCCAGAGTTCACCTTTGACGGGAAGAGTACCTCCGTGGGTCCCTCCTGCTCGCGCCCGCACCACCGCCACGCACTCTGCAGCTCCCACGTGCACTGGTGGGGTCTGCTCTCCGGACTCGCTTTGCGCATCGGATGCTATGCCAGTTGCTTGACCAGCCCTCGGGAGGCCTTCCACGCCCCCCTGCCCAGACGTCACGTGGACTAGCCTGAGCGGGCCTGCGAGCCAGCCATGAAGCTCCACTGCCCAACAGGCCAGCTGACAGCCACCCCCGAGCCCGGGAACGAGGCCCGATGGCCCTGGGAGCATCGATGACAGTCAAGACCAGTCAGGTCTGCCCCAGGACGGCCACAAAACCACCCAGCTGACACACAGACATGTGACAAAAGGAAATGGTTGCTTTAAGCTTCTCTTGTTTTAAATGTGGGGGTGGATTGTTATGCAGCCCCAGCTCACAGATACACCTTGTGAAATAAAAACTAGGAGGAAAGTAACATGCTAAAAGTAAGATGATCCCAGCCAGCGTGGCTCAGTGGTTGAGCGTTGACCCATGCACCAAGAGGTCGCCGGTTTGATTCTCGGTCAGGGCACATGCCCAGGTTGTGGGCCTGATCCCCAGACGGGACATGCAAGAGGCAGCCAATCGATGTTCTCTCTCATTGATGATTCTCTCTCTCTCCCTCTCCTTTCCTCTCTCTCTAAAATCAATAAAGAAAAAACAAAACAAAACCCAGTAAGATGAGTACCTCGGTTGCGATTTGTCCCCGGCTCCGGTTGGGGTCGTGTGGGTAGCAACCACTCAATGTGTCTCTCTCACATCGATGTTTCTCTCTCTCTTCCTCCCTCTCTCCCTCCCACTCTATCTAAAGATAAATGCAAAATCCTCAGGTGAGGATAAAAAAAAGATGAGCTCTTAGATACAGTGACCACAGTGTGTCCAGGGCCAGGGCCGACATCTCCCAGCCTTCCCCCAGCCCCACCACGTGCCCACACCCACCCACCTTGGGGGCCTTCCCGGAACTGGAACCAGTACTTCTTGATGATGCGCAGCATGTTCTGGTAGGAGTTCCAGGTGTTGTGGGCGACCAGGAGGTCCCTGTGGCCGGGCAGCAGCTTGATGAGGGCAGAGCAGGAGCCAGCGCCCAAAGTGTGCCTGGCCTTGGTCTTATTCAGGGCCAGCTCCAAGTCTTCCAGGTCCCCAGAGAGCTGCAGCAGGCTGAGGAGGGCACCGCGGGTTATCACACCTGCTCTGCGCACCATGACGGACCCATTTCACAGAGGAGGCTACTCAGCTCCGGGGAGGCCAGGTGCGCGGGCTGAGCCCATGTAGCCAGGTCTGTGTTTATGAAGTGTGTGGCCCTCTCCCCGACCCTGCCCACTCTGGGGGTGGCACTTACAGGAACCCCAAGGGTTTGATGGTGAACTTCCCCGTTGGGAAGTTCACACTGCCTTGATAGCTGTCCTCGAGGCCTTTCAGCTGCAGGAGGGTCAGCCGCACCTGGGGGGCAGAGGGATGGTGAGGCCTCTCCCCTTCTGCAGTGGGAAGGGCTCTGGCTGGGGGGTTCAGACAGCAGGAGAGGCCTAGGTGCTCCCTCCAGGCTCCAGCCAGCCCTGACACCCCCTTGCCCATCACCTACCCCTCTATGCCAAGCACCCTCCTGACTTCAATTAATTAATTGAATGTCCCTGCCCTATGCCAACTCTGAAATCACAGCCACTTACGAGCCCAGCTCAAAGCCACCTCCTCCAGGAAGCCACCCAGGCTGTTCTGAGTTTAGCTACTGGCTGTGCTGCTGCCTCAGGGCACCTGACTCATGTGGCTGGCTTCTCCCCATCATCACTGTCATTGTTCTGTAACCATGGAGCATCAACACTGTGATCCTACAGGGTCTTGACCTGTGCTGGGCATATACCAGGCACTTAATAAGCATCTACAAGATGGATGGTGTGTGAGTGGGTGGATAGATGAGTAGGTGGATAGATGAGTAGGTGGATAGATGGGTGGGTGGATAGATGGGTGGGTGGATAGATGGGTGGGTGGATAGATGGGTGAGCGGATGGGAAGACAGATGGGTCAACAGCTGGGTGAATGGGTGGGTGGATGAATGGGAGGGAGGAGGAGCCTGTTCTAGTGAGGGTATGAGTAGGTGGATGGGTGGACAGTGAGAAACCCCACCTGCCCTTGGCGAGTGGAGGTGCTCACAGACACTAACAGCCACTTTCCAGAGACCGCCTGGCTGTGTACTTCACAGGTCAATTCTTGAGGTGTTGCAGGGAACCCATAAATAAACGACTTCGTTCATGATCTGGCCAGTGGCCCAAAGGCAGAGCCCCGACCTGGCCTCTCGGCTATTCACCAGCTCATTCAAGCTAAGGAAGGCCACAGTCACTGTGCCCAAACTCCCTGGGTGTTCTAGTTCTCCCCTTTCCCCTTCTCTTTGATACAGACTTTTCTAATGTAATCAATCAGTCAAGCCACTCCCCGTCTGCGGAAAAAGAGTGTGCTAACAGCGACCCACGGTGACAGGAGGAGGGCTGCAGGGACAGGTAGGCTGGACAGCTGGGGTCCCATCATGTGGATGGTTGGAGGGATGGAAGGAAGGACAGGTGGAGACTGGACAGATGGATGAATGGCAGGTGGGTTAGGAGGGATGGAGACAACAACGGACACAGAAGTGCTGGCCAAGAGGGGCGGGAGACAGGCGTCCCAGCTGGAGCAGCAGCCCCAGCCCCTGAGCACGCGGCCACGCCCACCTGGTGCCAGTAAGCAGAGTCCTTGTTCAGCTCCACCTCCTTCTGCACCCACTCCAGGTTGGCCTCCAGGAAGCTCTTGAGCTTCTCGCAGTAATCGGCTTCGTACTCGAAGGGGCCGCAGTAATTCACCACCGTGTTCATCCAGTGCATGTAGATGAGCTGTGGGGTGGGCGAGGGCAGGGCAGCCGGTGCTCTCTTCCCTGAGGGCCCCGCAGGCGCCTCCCTCAGGCTAAGGGCGCTGCCCTCATCCGGGTCTCCAAGGAGCGGAGCACTGATGGGGCCACCCCCGTGCCTCTGCTCACACTGGTTCCTCTCCCCAAAGGCCCTTCTCTCCCCTCCAGCTCTTACCCCCAACAGAGCCCGACGTCTGGACAGCTCCCTCCTTTGAAACCTGTTAGCATTCAAAGTCTGTCCTAGATTACACCTCTGTTACGGGGACCCCCAATCTACATATGTACTCAGTTGGTCAGTTAACACAGCGCAGGCCCAGCCCAGAGTCTGACCACCTCCCCAGACATCGGGGCGCCCAAAACTGCCACCGGGTGTCAGAATGCAGAGTGTGGGTTTATAAAAAGGCTGCCACGCTGCATAGTGTCCTCTGTGATGCGCTCCTCCCCTCTCGCCACCAGGCACCTCAGATGCACCCGTATGGCGCACTCACGCTCACTATCGTACTGCACGGCCAGGCTGCACCGCCCCGGTTACCCGTTCCCCCGCTGGTGGTGTCTGGGCGCTCCCACCTTGGGTCTGCTTTGAATACCTCATGCACATGCTCGGGTCCCCACTAGGGACTGGGGCATGCGCATGTTTGACGACAAGTTGATGCCAAAGTATTTTCCAAAGTGGGTGTCGCACAGGGTGGGGTCATGGTCACCGCACCACAGCCCCCCCACTTCTGACACTGTCTGACTTCTGAAATTTATGATGATCACTTTTGTAAAGATCACGCTCATAAAGATCCAAGTCAAGTAAAGCAAAATCATATGCTGTTTAACAGTTCATCACAGGTCATGAAACTCGCTTAAGAAAAGTTAGGTAGTGGAAATAACCCACGTGTCCACCCACGGACGAGTGGGCCGGTAAAATGGCCCAGTCACACCGTGGAAGACCGTTTGGCCATAAAAAGCCACGAAGTGCTAACACCTGAGACAACGTGGACGAACCTTGCAAACACCGTGCTCAGTGAGAGGCCAGTCACAAAAGGCCAGATGTTGCAGGATTCCACTCAGATAAAATGTCAAGAATATCCGTGGGGACAGGAAGTAGCTTAGGGTGAGAGTCCGGGGCTGGGGTGAGGGGGGAAAGGAAGGTGACTGCCGATGCCTATGGGGTTCTTTCTGGGGCGGTAAGAAAGCTCTGGAATTAGAGGTGATGGCTGTACAAACTTACGAAGCTAGTAAAAAACAAAACAAAAAACACTGAATTGGACATGTTAAACTAGTGAGTTTTATGGCATATAAATTGTATCTCAATATAATGACTGACTGAATAAATGAATGAATGGGAATGGTAGTCACTACATTTAGTTTGGGGGGTGCCTCTGGGGGAAGGGAAACAGGGAGGGGGTGTTTGGGAGGGGCTTCAATTATATCAGTAACAGCCCTGGCTGGTTTGGCTCAACAGTTAGAGCATTGGCCTGCAGACCAGAGGTCCTGGGTTCAATCCCGGCCAAGGGCACGTACCTCGGTTGCAGTTCGTCCCCAGCCCCAGCTGGGGTCATGCAGGTGGCAACCAATCAATGTGCCTCTCTCACATGGATGTTTCTCTCTCTCTCTCTCTCCCTCCCACTCTGTCTGAAGATAAATGTAAAAATATCCTCGAGTGAGGATTAAAAAAATAAATAAATACTATCATTAACATTCCAGGTTTTAGTTTGGGTGCTCACTTTATTATCGTGCTGCTTTATAGCTTGGACTATGTTATGTGGTTGTCATGCATTACATAGTGCCCCAGGTACATGTTTGAGGAACGCATGTGAGCCTTCTCTTTCCAACTCGACAGAGGGCTGGGGTGGGGGCAGGGAGCCCACTCTGCACATACCTCGGCACCCCCCAAAGCTCCCTGGGGAGGACAGCCGGTGGGGTAGGGTAGGCGGGAGCCCCGGGTCTCCCCCTCCGGCCCTTACCTCCTCCGACACGGCGGCCTCCACCAGGCCCGCTGCGTAGGCCTGAAGGCTGTCGTTGTAGTGGCCATTTGTGTGCAGCTCCAGAAGGGCCCACCTGGAGAGGGGGAGAGGGGACCCTGGGTCAGCACAGGGACAGGAAGGGGCCAGCCCGCAGCTCGGCACACAGCTGTTTCCAGCATCAAGCCATCAGAGACAGCGATGAACTAACTGCCTTTCAGGTGAACGTCCGAACATCTGTCTGTCTGTCTGTCTGTCTGTGCACTTGTCAGGCTACATCCTTACAAGAGAAAATGCTGGGTCACAGGGAACCTGTGTTTTTCATTTTAATGGATATTGACAAGCAACCCTCCCCCAAAAGCTGTGCTAACCCTCATTCCTACCCCTACACTACCAACTGGTATCTACTGAGGTCTCCCTCTGTGCCAGGCACTACTCTAGTCACTATTAACTCTTTAATCCTCACGACAACCCTGCAATCCTACAAAGTCGTCACTGTCACTGGCGTCACACGGGAGGAAATTAGAGCACAGAGTCACGGAGCTGCTCTGGTAGAAGGCACTTCTGTCCCCTCTGCCCTTATCCACACCCTTTGCGGGGCCACTTTGCAGTCCCTCCGCGAATGACCCAGTGTCCTGCCCCCCCTGCTTGATTTGGACTTGGTCATGCCATGTGACTTGCTTTGGCCATTTGGAGACATGAGTGTGGGTGGAGTTACAACATCAGCCTTCAAGAGGACACCTGTGCCTCCACCGGCCCTCTTGGCCATGCGAAGGACATGCCCTGGCCAGCCCAGGAATGTGAGACACACGTGGCGCTGGCCTGGCTGCAGACCCGCAGCACAAAGCAGAGTTGCCCAGGCTGCCCCATGGGAGCAAAGAACAGAGCCGGGAAGCAATTCGAGGTGGGCTGGCCCCACTCCTGTGAAGTAGCACATCTCACACTCTAACGAGCATCCAGGTCACTGGAGGACCTTGTGAGGAGCCAGATTCTGACCAGGGCGTCTGGGGTAGGACCCAAAATTCTGCATTTCTCCCCGCCAGTCCGGGAACCACACTAGGGTATACACTGCCTTTCTCAATGTACAAACTCCTGTCTGCCCACGTCCTTGCTTAAAATGATTCCTATCACCCTGGCCGGTGTGGCTCAGTCGGCTAGGTTTCGTCCTGTGCACCAAAAGGTTGCCAGTTCCATTCCGGTCGGGGCACATGCCTCGCTGCAGTCTGAACCCCCGGCAGGGGGTGCGCAAGAGACAGCCGATCGATGTTACCCTCTAACTCCAATGTTTCTTTCCCTCTCCTTTCTTCTCTAAAAATCAATAAAAAAATAGTTTTAAATGATTATCAATCATTTTCATCTTTGCTAAGGTGACAGTTGAAAAATGCGATCATGTTGTGTTCATTATAGTCCCTTAATTTGTTAAGTTACATACATTTCCTTATTTTAAAAAAATATTTTATTGTTATTGGTCATTTACAATTCTTTGGTTTGTGTCCTTTACTCGTTTTTCTCTATTGTGTTTCTTTAAACCTTTTCTTACAGATGGTGGAATTCTCTGTATACATGTAAGCCCTTGGCTTGTCACTAATATTGAAAATATGTTTGCATTTTCATTGATCTTTGCCATATGGAGGTTTTCTTTTTTTTTATCAGTCTTCTCCTTTGTGGTTCTGAATTTTATCCTTGCTCCAAGGACCCCAGACTATTCATCCAGGTGACTTCGAGAACTAGGAGGAAACATTAGTTAAGGTCACTTCTATTAAGATCGTAAGGGCAACAGGAGACACTAATGTGACCAGAAGAGGCCACGGGATGGGGAGGAGCAGGCTCAGCCAGGACTGTCTCATGGGAAGTTGGCTAAAATGCCACCAGAGAACTCCAGGACAGGGACAGTTCTGCCCCAGAGGGTCTGCAGAGGAGACGACTATCAAAATACCCACACCCGATACTTCCAGCAAGCAAGCCTCTTGGAGTGTCTACCGGGGGCCAGACACTGAGGGCAGACAAGGATGAATGACCCCCAGTCCTGGCCTTCAAACAGCTAATGGGGGACGACGTGGCTGACATGTGAACAGATAATGACAGAGCAGGGTGTGGACGAAAAAGGGGCCACATCCTAGTTCTGACCAGCTCAGAGGAGGCCTGCATGGTGGCCGTGCAAATCAGAGACCTAAAGGAACCGCATAGGATGGTCCCAAATTAGAACTTTCTAACTAAAAGCAGTTTGTGGCAGGTAGTCATGTCCTAGGCCAGTATTATTCCTTAACAAAAGTCGATCTTTAACTTAACACAGCCTGTCTTTTTTTTTTTTAATTCCTCACCTGAGGAATTTTTCCATTGCTTTACAGATAGAGTGGGAGGGAGGGGGAGAGAGAGAAACATCATATGAGAGAGACATGGATTGGTTGCTCCCGCACGACCCCAACCAGGGCCAGGGATCAAACCTGCAACCCAGGTACACGTCCTTGACCGAGAACCAAACCTGTGACCCTTCGGTCCGCAGGCCGACGCTCTAACCACTGAGCAAAAGTGGCCAGGGCACAGCCTGTCTTTTTGCACCTAAGATAACATGCCTGTTAACATACCTTTGGAATATCACGCTACGTTCTCCCCCACCCCAAGCCCCACCCCCACCCCAAAGCACAACAACCTCATCCTAGCAGAGACCACAAATCCTCGTGGTTATTACCATCATGTGAATTACTCAGTGTTAACGATCCTGTATCCACCTGTGTAAAAGAAGGACGTGTCTATTCCTTTTATTTTTTACCCAGTCCCAGGGATCGCCCTTCGGCTTTCTCCCGCCTCCCTAATCTACCACCAATGGATTTCATGTAACCCCTTCCGGCTCCCCTTGGATTCCGATGTATAAAACAGGCAACACTGCCATTTTCCGGGACCTCGGGTCAGATGGCGGGTAGGTAACCGCAGTCTCGCCTTCTCCCACAACCACATCAAAGTTACAACTAAACTACAGAACAACCATCATTAAGAACCACCTGAAATCGTGCTGAATGGAAGTCCTACAACTATGGAATTAAAGCAGCAGCCACATCCAGACTGGTAGGAGGGGCGGAGGGACGGGCTGGGCCCACACCCACGTGTGGCGGATAAAAATCAGGAGACACCTCGGCTGGGAAGGTCCTCCCTGAGGACTGAGGAGTCCCTGTCCCACACCAGGTGCCCTGCTCAGGTTCCAGTGCCAGGAAGAGAATCCCCATCACTTCTGGCTGCAAAAACCAGCGGGAACTGAGGCTGAGGGAGGCCGAGGCTGTTGGAGTCCCAGGCAGCTCCTCTTAAAGGGCCCGCGCACGGACTTACTCGGACTCCACCCTACAGGCTCCAGCATAGGGGAGGCAGCTTGAAAGGTGCCAGAGACATACTGGGAAGAACTGAGTTGTTTGGTACTGGGCCGAGAGCTGGAGGGGCAGCTTTCTCCCGGACAGATGTGCTGGCAGAGGCGGTTGTTCCTTTGGTGAGCCCTTCCCCCATGGGGCAGGCAGACGGGCACCATATCTGGGACTCCAGCACCTGGCTCACACTGTTTGCCCTGCCTGGTGATTCCCTGAGGCCCTGCCCCACCTAACTTTCAGGGCCTCCCAAGCTGTTGCCAGTGGTGTCACCATAGAACTGGCCTGTCTTGGCTCCTGTTTCAGATTTTCCTAGATTCTCTCAAACAGCATCTGGCCTCAGCAAGCCCCATACCTCTCACTAAGTGGCCCCAGGCCTGGCACTAGAAGCAGCCAGCTTTGGTTCACAGCTTGGCTTTGCCTGGGCACCTCCAAGCCCAGCACAAGAAACTTTGTAGCCTATGCCTGGTGGCCCAGGTAGAACACAGGTAGTGGCTGGCCTTGCCCCAGAGCCGGCACACCCAGTGGACAGCTTCAGACCGGTCATGCCAAAGCACCACCACCCAACCACCTCCACAAGTGACACACTCAAGGAGTGGACTCAGTGGGTACCAGAGTCCTACTGAGTAAGTCTTGCTCAGTGTGATGGGCCCCTGCACAGCTGATCCTCCAACGCAGTCCATGTTCAGTGGGTACAGCCAGTCCTTGCACCTGATCAGCCTGAGTAATAGCCCATTGACGTGCCAACAGCAATCAAGACTCAATTACAACAGAAGGGTGTACAACAATGAAGCTGCACCTCGAGGCCCCAGCCAAGGTGACTAGGGAGGCTGGGCCACTGGACCCTACAGGACACCTACTACAATAGGCCACCCTACGAAGCCTAATACATAGAAACAAACACAGGGAGGCAGCCAAAATGAGGAGACAGAGAAACACGTCCCAAATGAAAGAACAGAACAAAACTCCAGGAAAAGAACGAAACGAAATGGACATAAGCAATCAATCAGATGCAGAGTTCAAAACACTGGTTATAAGGATGCTGAAGGAACTTAGTGAGAACTTCCAGGAAGTTAATGAGAACTTCAAGAAACTTAGTGAGAACACCAACAACATAAAAAAGGACCACTCGGGCCCTGGCCAGTTTGGCTCAGCAGTTACAGCATTAGCCCATGAACCAAGGGGCCGTTCAGGAGGCAGCCAATAGATGTGTCTCTCTCACGTCAATGTTTCTCTCTCTCCCTCCCTTCCTCCCTTCCACTCTATCCTCAAGTGAGGATTTAAAAAAAAAAAAGGAGCAGTCAGAAATGAAAGATGCACTAACTGAAATAAAGAATAATTTACAGGGAATCAGTGATAGAGTAGGTAAAGCCAAGAAGCAACCCATCTCTGTGGGATAGGGGTAAAGGAAGAGATAAACCAAAGAACATACGCATATATGTATAACCAATGGACAAAAACAATAATGTGGGGAAGGCAGGAGAGGGGTGGGGGCGGGGGCGGGGGGGCTAATGGGGGCAAAAATAGGGGACATCTGTAATAATTCAACAGTGAAGCTAAGTTTAAAAAAAAAACTAAAAAAAAAACCAGCCATTTTCTGGAGCATTTTCTCAATCCCTTAAGATTTTGCTTCCCGACAATTGTCATCAGTTTGGCTCAAAGAAACTTACAAAAATTCTTATGGGTTTGTATGTTTCTTCCCTTGAGGGAGCTTTACCTCTTACATCCCATCCCATCTTTCTAAACTGCTGGAGTTTTTTACCATGAAAAGTTAATTGCTTTTATAATAATTGCCAAAATGTTAAGAAGTGTCTTCTTTCAAGCTGGGCAGAAAGCAGAAGGGTGAATGGAAAGTGACAATCTCACCCCAGCCAGGCGGCAGTACTGCAAATGTGGCATTAGTCACTGCCCTTATTCAAGAGAGTGCTCGCATTCCAAAGGGCCACTGGGGTGCTTCCGTTGAGATGGCTTTTATTCCTTTTTGCCGGAGTCTTCAGAAAACCTGGATGGGTGGGTACCCACCTGCCTTTCCAGAAGGCCTCCAGTGAGGGAGGTTCCCATTCGTGAGGTTTTGCTCCCACCGACCAAATTCTGTGCTAGAGTTGCAGGGGCTTGTTGCCAGGCCCTAAGCCCTAATCAGGTTCCTTCTGACCAGTAAGGTTGTCACTATCCTCAGCAGAGATAAGGCTGCCATCCCTGTCCCCGGCCACCTATAGCAAATGTCCTAAACCTCTCTGATCGCAAAGCTGAAATTCTGCCTCATACGCATGCATTCCCTTGCCCTTCCAGCCTCAGCTCCTCATCTGTAAAATGGGAAGGCTTGGACGTCAGTAGCTGCGCCGGTGGACAACTGTGAGAAACTGTACCTCAGTCCCTGGGCAAAAGAAAAACGCCGACAAGAGGGTGTTTCCAAAGCTAAATGTCCATTAAAGTCTGCTCTTTATTCTGAGATGTGTCTTTCCTACTTGCTTGGTTCTTTTTTGTTTTGTTTTTTTATCCTCACCCGAGGACATTTTTCCATTTTTTGTTCCGACAGAGTGAGAGGGAGAGAGAGGAAGAGAGAGAGAGAGAGAAACATCGACGTGAAAGGTGCCCATCGAGTGGCTGCCACCCGGCACGACCCAACCAGGGCTGGGGACAAACCTCTACTTGCTTGGTTCTTGAAACAGCTGATCCCTTATGAGATAAAATGGACAGAGGTCGATAAATGGCATTCTGTTTTGGTTTTAATGTGCTTGTTTGACAAAAATAAAAAGTTGGCAGCATTGGACCCAACGCTGAAGCCAATCGTTTTCCACACCGTGATCTTATGTCGGGGGCAGCTAATGCCTCTGTGATCACTGCAGGGCCTAACCAAGAAGTCATGGTTGGGAAAATCCAGACCTTCTGTGTGAGATGAGCAGGGGGTCACTGCCTGGCTCCTGTGTACAGCATTCCCTGGACTTCCACCCAAGTAGGGTGCCCACCTTATCTGTGGCTATCGCTCCTCTCCCATTTTTTATGGCATTGTTTATCTTGTGTCACTTTTCAGAGAAATAGCTGGGTTGTTTTTATCCATTTTACTGGGCTGGGTTTCTGTGTGTTGGTTGGTGGATTTGGGGTGTTTGCTGGCTTCCCAATAGGTGAGTTCCCTCTTATTGATCTCCACTTCCTCTCCTAACTGGAAGGTGATTTGTGCAAACAGCTGGTGGGGAGATCAGATCAGGGAAGGAGGAAAAGGTGAGGCTGCAGGGTTCGGCCTCCACAGGACCAAGGCCAGAGCTGGGCTGGCACAGGCTCCACCCATGGGGCATCTCTGATCCCCAAACACCAAATCCTAAATATTTCCTTGCTATGTGGGGAGTGCTGGTCCAAAGTCAGATACAGCGCAACTGAAAGAGGATGTGGAATGTATCCCCAGATCCCCAGTGGTTAAATCTGGGGTCCAGAAGAGAGGGATTCCCCATTCCAGGAGAAGATAAGTCAAATGCCTGATCTCCACCCTTCACAAACTGAGACAGTCACAAAGTGAGACAGCAAGGGGCTGGGCACCCATGGGATAAGGTACAATCGAGAAAGTGAAAGTTAGTTTTCTGGAGAGCTCACCACTCCACAGCCCAGGGCATGGGGAAGGGGAAGTTATTGGATTACCCACCTGCCATGGACCCCGTCTGGATGGAGGCAAAGGAAGTGGTCTCTAGGGGGACAGAAGTACTGTCACCCCAGGCTAAAGGCAGGAACCTGGTCCCCATCAGTTGAGGGATGCTGGATTAGCTCCCTCCCAGCCAGGGACCTGGTCCAGAGGGCGGTGCTGCCTCCTCATAACAGGAAACTGACCTCCAGGGAGACAAGGGCACTATCACTGGCAAGAGGCTGGTCCTAGGGACAGGCAAGGCCCAGCGCCCACACCACCACCCCCGGCCGGTCCCGGGGGCGGTCGGGTCAACCCTTACCCGGTCTGGTGAATGGTGTTCGTGAGATTGGCCCAGGCCACGGAGTCAGGCTGGTGGCCATCCACCAGACGCAGCTGGCCCGTCCCGGCGTCCAGGACCGCCGAGCGGCTGCGGGAGGGGGGTGGGACCAGCCCCTTTGGCCCCCAGTCGCCTCTCGGGGCCGGGATCGCGCCGGTCAAACCGCTCAGAAACAGCCCGATCAGCAGGGCCAGCACCAGGGCCAGCGCCAGCGCCCAGGCCAGGCGGCCACCGTGGCAGCCGTACACCGGCGCCACCATCACCGCGCGGAGCCTGGCACCGCAGCCCGGCTCACGTGACAGCACTCCGGCGGGCAGCGTGGAGGGCAGAGCGCGCAGGCCTCGGAGGGGGCGGGGCTTGGGCCGAGCTCTTCCGGGATGGGCGGGGCCGGAGTGGACGTGAGGGGCGGGGCCCATCTTAAAGAGCCCAGCACCCTCGTCCACCTACAAAACCCTGTCTAGCACCCTTCCCCCAAACTTTTTATTTTTCAAAATTTCAAACCGCGAGCAAAGTTGCAAGGAGAGTAGATACCCATATGCCTGCCATCGACTGCGGATATTTGGTTACCTTGAGTCAGTTTCTCTCTCTATAAATATTTTGCTCAACCATTTGAGAGTGAGTGGAAGGCATCGTGACGAGTCAATCCTAAATGCAGCGGGTGTACAGTATCTCACAAGAGAAAAGACATCACCCTATGTAAGCACAATATCTCATTGTAATGTTAAGGAGATTCACCATTCACTTAATACTATTATCTAGTGCAGGGTTTTAATCAGATTTTTCCATTTGTCCCCCAAATGCTCTTTTTCTTTTCTCTTGATTCAGGATCGGCTCCTCACACCATACACAGAAGGACGAATACTGCATGATCTCACTTACATGTGGAATCTAAATGGTCAAACTCATAGAAGCTGCCATAAGGTGGTGATTTCCAGGGGCCGAGGGGAGGGGGAATTGGGGAAGTGTTGGTCAAAGGGTACAAAGTTTCAGCTATGGAAAATGAATAAATTCTGGACAGCTAATGTCCTGCATGATGCCTATAGTTAATGACACTGTATACTTGAAATGTGCTAAGAGAGTTGATCTTAAGTATTCTCACCACACACCAAAAAACGATAACTATGTGAGGTGATGATATGTAAATTAACTTGATCGTGGTCATCGGTTCACAGTGTATATGTATATTGAAACAGGTGCTACCCTATCACAGTCCACTTTTATTTTTAAAAAAGAATATTGCATTTTATTATCAAATTTCATATTTGTAAAATGAACAAAAATCGCACACTGAGTTAATGGTTCGGGCTAAGTGTAAAGCTCAAGCAAATCTTCCTGGCTGGTGGGGCTGAAGTTAAAAAAGACACAGAGGCCCTGGCCGGTTTGGCTCAGCCGTTGGAGCATCGGCATGCGGACCAGAGAGTCCTGGGTTCAGTTTCCGCCAGAGGCACGTACAAAAAAACAAAAAAGACACAGAAACCCACAAAGAGATGATTCCAAATTGTTCAGTTCTTCAATTCTGTTCAGAATATTCGCAAATCAGTGTGTGACTGTACCTCTTGATCACTGCAGTTGATTAGGAGGTGCAGGAAAAACAGCCCATCCCAAAGACCATTTGAACGAATAATGAAGCTTTTATACACGATTTCAACAAAGTTAGCCCAGCGGACGCGATGACGTCTTTGATAAGTTTGGGTGATGTTCCAGTTCTTACCAACTGCATCCATTTAGGTATGGATTTAGCAGAGCCTTCAGGGCAAAAGTCTCAATGTCAGTCAGTTTTTAAAGTCCCTAGCTGATCAGGTCGAGAGGCCAGGGATCCAGGGCAGTGAGCACCCAGGCCTGCTCAGAGATGGCCCGGTCAGCACTAGGTGGCCCCCCTGCTATGACAGCATTGCTCAGCCTTTGACCCTCCCATATAGGTCATGTGACCTCCTGTGGCCATCGCTGTGGCTCAGGTATGACCAGTCATCCAGGTGTGCTTTCTGTGACCACTGAGCAATTTTGTGCTGTAGACAAGACAGTTGGCCACCTGCTGGGCATGCCCTCATTTAATCTTCCCAACTACCCTGAGCACTCCCTGAAACCTTAACCCCATAGTAACGATGGAAAACCAGAGTCTGAGAAGAGAGGTGACTTCCCCCCAGGGACAAACTCAAGTTGGGGGCCTGGGTCTAGCTGATCCAAAGACCCAATTCTTAGCCACTACATGTTGGGGGACCCCAAGGGAAGTGTTCTAAGAGTCTTACCAAAACAGACTTAACAGTTCTGTGCACAGCAACTACGACAAGGCCATTCCCAGACCCTTAGAGCGTTTTCAACTGTTGCTCAATCGTGACAGTTGCGTAGTAAAACATTCCTGTGCCCAGAGCATTGTCCAAATCTTTCACTTCAGAAAAGCTCCAGGAGCAACAATGGAAGTTCTGTTATTTTTTTCTTTATCGATTTCAGAGAGAGAAGAAGGGGGAGGGAGAGAGAAATAGAAACATCGATGAGAGAGAACATTGATTGGCCGCCTCCTGCATGCCCCCACTGGGGATCGGGCCCACACCCTGGGCATGTGTACTGACCAGGAATCAAACTGACGACCTCTTGGTGCATGGGTCGACGCTCAACCACTGGGCCACACTGGCCAGGCAACACTGGAAGTTATTGAGACTGACATTTATTCACTGTCAAGTCACTTTCTAGATGGATTAGTCCCATGGAGACTCCTCCTGGCAATGCCAATGGAAACATTCCTAACACTCTGACCAGATAGTTCAGTTGGTTAGAGCATCACCCCGATATGCCAAGGTTCTGGGTTCTGTCCCCGGTCAGGGATAAGGAGAAACCAACAAATGTATAAATAAGTGGAATAACAAATCAATGATTCTCTCTCTCTCTCTCTCTCTCTCTCTCTCTCTCTCTCTTTCTCTCTCCCCCCTCCCTTCCTGTTTCTCTCTAAAATCAATAAATAAAATTTTAAGAAAAGAAAAAAGAAAAGAAACACATCCTCGCAATTCAAACTGGCCCCTGGCAATTGGGCCACCGTGGGAGGTAATGAGCACCCTGTCCCTGCGGGAGTTTAACTATGGGCCATGCAGCTATGTTCTCAAGGCTGCTAGGGTCAGGAGGGAACTTGCAGGTGAGACTTGGGCATCTTAAGGAAACTTCCAAGTCCCTGAACCTCTTGGGCTAAGACTGAGAGTTCTGATTCTCTCTTCCCTCTGCCAAGTTCCCCTCACTCCTTACTACTTCCGCTCATGCTTTCCCCAGGGCCTGGTGTTGTTCCCGGAGCTGCCACCCACGCCCTGGGCCTCCTGAACCGGGTGCAAATTCCGTCTCTCCCGCTTCCCAGTGAGCCTTGGGGACACGTTGCTTCATCTCCCTAAACCTCAATTTTCCTCCTCTGGGAAGTGGGGATCACTGCAGCTCTCACCCCACAGGACTGTTAAATGAGACAGGCATGGGGACACGTACTAGAAATGTAAGTCTTCACTAAAGTCATCACTTCTTTTTATTGGTTTGGGTTTGTTCACAAAAGGCTGAGGACGAGACCAGCCCGCATATGACGCTGTAGGCAGCTTTCTGCCCTGGGGGAGTTGAGGGTCCTTTTTCCTCCTACCTTCAAAATATAGCTCCCTTCTGCTGCTCACTGTGCTGCCTAAAAACCACCCTCAGTCACCTCTGTGGACAAAGGCCTGGTGGCAGATTGCATTTCCCAAACACAGACACATCGAGAGCTCACATATCGCTATGTGGCAGCGGACACATCGAGAGCTCACATATCGCTATGTGGCAGCGTCACATCCACAACTAAGTCATAAAAGGCAGGACAGCTTCTGCCTTGTTCCCTGGAACCCTCCCAGGAGTCCCTGAGCTGCCTCGTCTTCTGACTGTGCCATTTGAACAGCCCAGCTGCCCGAGGCCACCACACTCTGAGAAAGCCCAGAGATCAGCTCTGGGGAGAGAGTTCCCGTGGAGACACCCTGAGACCCCATGAAGAAGGAGAAATGGCCAGGCAGCCCCTCCAGCTGAGCCACCCTTTGACTGTCCCCACACGAGAGACCCGTGTCGGAACTGCCAAGCTGAACTCATCCCAAATTCCTGGCCCACAGAAACCCTCACAGATAATAAAATGCTTCTGTATCAGTGTGGTTGGGATGCTTTGTTACCCAGCCATAGATAACTGATACAAGCACAAACCCTTCTCTTCGAGGAAAGGAAATTAACATCTCACCTACTGAGGGCCACACTGTCATAGGTTCTTTGACCCTCAGTAATAATTATGATGACAATAATAGCAGCTTCAATTTGTTCAGCTTTAACAAGTACCAAGCAATGGGTTATGGGTTTTATTTATTAATTAATTTTTTTTCATGGGTTTTATTTTTCTTTTTTTCTTGTTATAGAGTGGGAGGGAGAGAGGGAGAAAGAGAGAGAGAAACATTGACATGAGAGAGACACATCGAGTGGCTGCCACCCACAAGACCCCAACCAGGGCCGAGGACAAACTACAACCAAGGTACGTGCCCTTGTCGGGAACCAAGCCTGGGACTTTCCAGTCCGCGGGCTGACACTCTAACTGCTGAGCCAAATTGGCCAGGGCTGGGCTATGAGTTTCAAATATATAATCTCAGTGCATGCTGACCACAGTCCTGTGAGTGCCCTAGAGGTGCCGTTTTTAGCCCCATTTTCCAGATGAGGCTCCAACAGATGAGATGACTTGATCACTGTCCACCGAAGCAGAGGCAAACCAGGGCTTGTCCCAGACCTCACTTCTCCCCCCTCTGTGCATCCAGCGATTCTTTTCCTTGGATCTTTCCAGACTTCTCCCACAGGCACTCATTCCGCCCCCGCCCCAGCCCCTCCCTGGCCCCTGGGAGGCAGGAGGTAATGGTCTCTGCCTGCCCAGCTGACCTAGGATGGCGACATCGATCCCTACCCTGGCTGGGCCCCTGAGTGCCAGAGTCAGGGCTCCTTGGGGAAAGAGGACTCGGGCTCCAGACTCGGCAGTTCCGGAGCTACTTCCGCAGGCAGCAGGTGACTCGGGGAGCCGCTGACGCTGGTGCAGGCTGTTATTCCCACACACGGACACTAGCTGTGACAGCCCCTGGGCTGGCTGCCGGGACACAGGACGAGCTGGGCCTGCACCTTGCTGTGAGGGGGGACACAGGCAGGTAAGTCACTACATTGTAGGACTAATGGAATAATAGCAACGACACTGTATTTGGAGTATTTACTCAGCCCAGGCATGGGACTTGGGGCTTTGTCCAGTGCTGTTTCATCATGCAAGGACCCCATGAGATAGACACTACTGTCATCCCCATTTGACAGGGAAGGAAACTGAGTCCCAGAGAGTCTGAATGTTTACCAAAGGTCACACAGAAGCCCGATGCTCTGAGATTCCAAACATACCATGCAGGGAACAAGAGGTGTGCTCTCTCTACAGGTAAGAAAACTCAGGGCGCCCTGGCTGATTTGGCTCAGCGGTTAGAGCGACAGCCCGTGGACCAGAGAGGCTCGGGTTCAGTTTCCACGAAGGGCACATATCTCAGTTGCAGTTTGGCCCCGACCCTTGGGGTCATGTGGGCAGCAAACACTTGATGTATCTCTCTCACATCGATGTTTCTCTCTCTCTCTCTCTCTCTCTCTCTCTCTCTCTCCCCCTCTCTCCCTCCCTCCCACTCTATCTGAAAATATATGAAAAAAAAAAAAAGTCTTTGGGTGAGGATAACAAAAAAATTTTTTAAAAAAAAGAAACCTTAGGGGTAGAGGGGCCAGAAGGAGGGTGGAGACCACCTGGAGGACCACCTGGAGGCAGTGGCTTTTGAGCTGGGCCTGGCAACATGAGTAAGAGTTTGTCATGGAGAAGGGAAGGGCTGACATCCGGGAAGAGGACTCAGAAGGAGCAGAGGTGTGGCCATGTGTAAGTAATAGGGTGTTCAGAGAATGGGGAGCATTTCCAGGGCTAGAGCAGGAGGGGATGGAGGTGGGGATAAAAGAGGAAGTCACCCTGGCCGGTTTTGCTCAGTGGTTAGAGCGTCGGCCTGCGGTCCAGAGAGATCCGGGTTCGGTTCCCACTAAGGGCACGTACCTCAGTTGCAGTTTGTCCCTGGCCCTGGTTGGTCGTGCGGGTGGCAGCCACTCGATGTGTCCCTTTCATGTCGATGTTTCTCTCTCACTCTCTCGTCCTCTCTCTCCCTTTCACTCTACCTGAACAAAAAATGGAAACGTGTCCCCGGATGAGGATAAAAAAAAAGAGAGGAAGTCAGAAAAGGGCGCTAGGGCTGGCAGGTGAAGGGCCTCAGTCCTGCAGGTGATGAGGAAGCAGACAGAAGTCATGTGTGGCAATTGTGGAGGTGGGTGTGGGCTGGAGGAGCGGCATGGGAGGAGACCTGGCTCCCAGCCCCATCACCCCTGTTCCAGCCCCGGTGCTCACACCAGCGGCAGGAAAAACAGAGATGACCAGAACTTCCCCGGAGGCTGGGAAACTGGGGAGGAGGACTCCCAGCAGCCAGGAGATCACTAAGTCCCGCGTCTTGACCTATTTGCCTCACTCTTCTCTTAAAAGCGATGCTCCTAGAAGGAAATGCTCCCCTCAACTAGAGATTTTCTCCAACAGAGGCATTTGAGGCGGCACCGCTGGAATACTTGTGGGTGAGCCTCCCCCCCGCCCCCCACTCCTTACCACCCTCCATTACCAGAAGCATTCTGGCAGTCTTCTTGCCTACCCGTCCCTCGGGAATAGAACAGAACCCCTTAGTTTCACTCTTTAACTTCCCCCTCCGGCCTCCAGCTGTCTTTACCTATCTGGTTTCAGCTCCACTTCTGCTTTAGGGGCGAAAGCAGAACCAATGGGCAAAGGGCTCAGAGGAGGGTGGCGAGTGAGTTAGACCCTCGGGACCTTCCTGGGAGCCTGTGCCTTTAAGGGCAGGGGCGGGGCGAGCCCTGGGGGCGTGTCCTCGGGCAGGGGCGGTGTAAGGGGCAGTGCCGGAGCCGGGCGGGGACCAGCTCCGGGACCCGCCCGAGACACTGCCGGGGGCGGGGCGCCTGGGCGGGCGGTACCGGGGCGGAAGGCTGGGCCAGCGGGCGGGGACTGGGAAGGCCGCGAGGCCCGGCGAGGTCGAGGATCGGAGGTTACGGGTCCGAGGCCCGGCACGAGGTAAGGGGAGCCTGCCTGCCCGCTCGGGCGCCGCGGGAAGACCCCGCGCTCCGAGTCCACCTTGCCCACCTCCGTCGGGCTGGGGAAACTGAGCGCCTCGATGCTGTCGGGATCGCGCATCTAGAAAGTGCAGCCGCAAAGGTGGTCCCTGTCCCCATTTTCTGCCCCGCACCTTCCTATTACTCTGCAGAACTTCCCGACCGTCGGAGCTCTTGGCCCCGGGTGGGCGCCGGGGGGCACTCACACGCCCCCTCGTGCGCGAGGACAAGAAACCCGCGATCGATAGACAGGAGGCGCCTGCCGATCCTCAGGTCGGGGGCACCGACGGCGCGAGCGTTTACGGAGCCCGCTTGCTTGCTCGGATGGGCCAGCGTCGGTCTCCATGTTCTGGGAGAAGCAAAGGCTCGGAAGGGTGAAGTGATCTCCCCAGTGCTGAAAGCTGGAGCCTTGCAGATCAGCGCTTCCACGTCGGTGGCAAGTGAAGTTGAGCAACGAAAGAGGTTAGAGTCAACAAGTGAGGAAGGAGAGCTGGGACGGGCCCGTCCGCCCGTCTGTCCCCTTCTCCTCCGGCCTCCTCTGCCCCGGCCTGGGCATTGAGAAAACCTGTGCAAAGGATTGCAAAAAAAAAAAAAAAAAATCAGCGTTGTTTTCTGGGCTTTTTTCTTGATGGCAAAAATAAAACGTGTTCATCTATGCTACATGGAAGAGCCGAAAGGACATTAGTATGCCAAAGCTTTTTTGTTTTTTGTTTTGTTTTTCAGTTTAATGTCTTTGGAAGAAAAATGAAGTCGTTTTTGCCCTGGTGTTGAGGGAAGAGGCAGAGCCCAAAGGGGACCTGCTAACATTCTGTGAGCAATTCGTTTCCCTCTGGGTTTTGTCACCTCCTTGCTGTGTGACCTCAGGCTGAGTATGCCACTCCTCTGAGCCCGGGTCCTCCTCCGCTAAAGGGGTGGTGGGGACCATAACCTCTCCAGAATTGTTCTGAGAACAAATGAGGGAGGCAAGGTGTTGTGGTTGAGTGAGGCCAGGACCTGGCTCTGTGCCTCAGTTTATTCATCTGTAGAATGGAGTAAGAGCAGTGCCCCCTTCAGGCCAGTTGTGGGGATTAAATGAGTCATCAGTATCAAGTGCTTGACTCAGCATAAGACATAGAACAACAGTATTGCTTAGTAGTCTCAAACTGGTGGCCCAGAAGCTAAATCCACTCCCCAAAGTGTGTTTTCTTTGTTCTGAGGACTTGCAGAATCCTCAGCACTGCCCACTTCCTGTACTTATCTAACTCAGCTGGCCCCTGGAGGCAGCAATCTCTGGACTCTGAATCTCAAGATAGTCCCTTCCAGCTTCCATATTCCGGTTTCGGGTGAGGAGGGTCATAGGTTTCCATGGAGACATTACTGGGGGCACAGGAAGAAGGGCATCTCAATCTGTTTGCTGAATGAGCAGCGTGGGGTGAGTGGTGTGGGTCTCCCCAGTAACCTCCACCCCGAATGTGTGTTTCCACGGGGGAAGGGCGGTTCCTCAGTTGAAAGAGTTTTCAGGCCCCTCCTGCTGGGTGTTTGGGTCTTCAGTGACACTGTCCCTCCTTCTCACCCCCAACCTGCAGGCAGCTGGAGCTGCCAACCACTTGCAACTGAAACGCTGCAGAAGGGGAAGCAGAGGGTGAAGGCCAGGTCCTGTGTGGGCTGATGGCCAGCAGACGACTGTATCTGCACTGGGTGCTGCCTTTGTTCTGGGTGCTGCTGATGGTGGAGACACTGTCCGGGGCCTATGGCCCACCTGCAGGGGCCCACACCAGCCTTCCATTTCCAGCCTCAGGTGTGAACCAGACCCCTGTGATAGATGTGAGTATCCGGGCGGGAAGCTGGCATTAAGTGGGAGTGTATTCATCCAATCAACACATGTTTATTGAGCATCTACTATGTTCTAGGCACTAAGCTGATCCCTGGGCTATACCAGGGAACACTAGAGACAAAAATCCCTGCCCTCATGGAGCTAACAGTCTCCTGGGAGGTCAGATAAGGAAGTAAACATGTAAAGTTCAGGTGGTGAGATGCTGTGAATAACAGGATCAAGTGATATTGAGGAGGTGGGGGTATAAGGGGGAGAGTGTATTTATAATTGCTTCAGATTAGGTGGTCACAGGTGGCTTCTATGAGGAAGTGATCTTTGAGCCAAGCTCTGGATGAAGAAAAGCCCATCTGTGGGGAGAGCATTCCAGGTAGGACACAATAGCAAGTGCAAAGGCCCTGATACAAGAACAAGCTTAGTGTGTCCCTTATAGCAGTGAGGAGGCTGGAATGGCTGGAACAGAGTGAGTGAGGGGAAGAGAGTTAACAGATAAGGATGGAGAAGTAGTGATGGCCAGATTATAAAAGGCCTTACATTCTGAGACTAGGAGGTTAGATTTGTTTTATGATAGTGGGGAGCCAATGGAGGATTTTCAACAGAGGGATGTCAAAATCAGATTTATTTCTTCAAGGGATCTCTCTGGCTTCTCTGGGGAGAATGGATTGAGAAGGATGAGTGGCAGTATGGGACCCAAGGGGAGGCTCCTGCAGCTATCTAGATGAACCATGATGGGTCTGAGAGATAGGAAAGAAGTGAGATTTGGGATAAATGCTGGAGGCACAATGGGTGGGATGTACTGATGGATTAGGCGGAGGGGCATGGTGGTGGGAGAAAGAGAGGAGTCAAGGATGACTTCAGATTCTTGGCCTAGGCCACTGGGGGATGGTGGTGACACTGACTTGGATGTACTGAGTGAGAAACAATGGGGTCTCTTGGGTGAGAGGTGAACAGGCTTCCTCCCCAGGCAGGGAGGGCGTGGGCCAATGAGAACGTGGGCCATTGAGAACATGCGTCATTCCATTCTGAGGTCTGTGAGGGCAGGAGAGGTCACAGTGGTCCTGGAGTGAGTGATTGAAGGGAGGGGACTGCTCAGGATGACCTGGGACAGTTCTTCCCCACTGGTACCTAAGAGTGTTTAGTGCCCACACCACCTTGGTGGGGCAGCAGAGTGCTTGCGTGCCCACCCCCAGAGGCAGTTGAACAGCAATTACACCATTTTACAGATGAGAAAGTGGTTTGTGGTCACTGTGTTATAAACCAACTGCTGCCTCTCGGGGTGCGCTCGTTGCCGGGCCGGAAAACCGGCGTTAACTGTACTTTGTGCTAGGTTATCTCTGAGTTGGTGAGCTCTGCCGAGCTCACCAAATTCTCCCCAAGCCCCCTGAAACGGGTATGCTTATCTCTGTGCTGTAGATGAGGACACTGAGGAGCAGGGAGGGGAAGCTGGCCACGAGGGAAGGGACAGAATTAGAGTTTGAACTCTGTGGCCTCCTCGCGTCAAATTCAGTCATTCGACAAATATTTATTTATTTATCGTTAATCCTCACTCAAGGATCTTTTTCCATTGATTTTTAGATAGAGTGGAAGGGAAGAAGGGAGGGGAAGAGAGAGAGAAATATCGATTGGTTGCTTCCTGCACGACCCTGGCCAGGGCCGGGATCAAACATGAAACCCAGGTACCTGCCCTTGACTGGGAATCAGATCTTCGACCCTTTGGTCTGCAGGCTGACTCTCTAACCCCTGAGCCAAACCAGCCATAAAGGGCTAAGGGCTCAACAAATATTTCTTGAGCACCTACTGTGTGTCAGGAACTGTGCCACATGCTGGAGGGGTATAACAGTTTTGCAGCTTCTTTTATGCATTTGAAATGCAGGAGAGAACTCCAGAAGTTTGGAGAAAGCAAGGTGGGAGTTGGATTATAGGATAATTAGCAAGATTCAGTGCTCTTTTGAGAGTCAATACCCACGTCGAGAGGTTATTACTTCTGGTATTTCAAAGGTATGTTAACTAGATGCACAAGAAAAATGGGCAGGGCTGGCTTAAAACCTTTCACTGAAGAAGTTATACCGGCCCGACCAGGCAGGTGTGGCTCAGTGGATGAGCATCGACCCATGCACCGAGAGAGAGCTGGTCCGATTCCCGGTCAGGGCACATGCCCAGGTTGTGGGCCCAATCCCCAGTGGGGGGCATGCAGGAGGCGGCCAGTTGATGTTCTCTCTCATCGATGTTTCTAGCTCTCTTTTCCGCTCTCTAAATATCAATAAAGAAGAAAAAAAAATTTTTAAAAAGAAGTTGTACAGGTCTGGGACCTAGTCAGGTGACCTTCCCAGTTAGGAAGTTGTGATCTGATCGCCCTGGGAGGTTACTCTCCAGGACCCTCTTTAAGGCCGAGGGCGTTTGCCTAAGCATGTATGGCATGACTGCATAAAGGGCTAATAGCCGTTAGAGAGAGAGCTACTCCGAGTCACTAAGAGAAAGCAAGCACCCCAACAGAAGAAACTTGTTCAAAGAAGGGATGCCAGTGACTAGAGCACCTAATTTCACAAGCCCTCGGGGGCTGGCGGTTGAGCGTGGAGGTTTCTACCACAGAGTGCAGGTGCGGCTGTGGACGAGCCCAATTCCCATTGCTGGTGGGAGAGGGTGTAAGCCCAGCTGTGGGGAGGGCATTTTGGTAAAATCCCTCAGTGTCTGAGATGCTTACCTCTCTGCAACAAAGCAAGTCACGTGGATCTTTGGGCTTCTCAGTGCATATAAAAGCTAAGTTCGTACTGCACTGTATGATGTTAATGAACAAGTTTGAAATAGCGCAAGAATTACCGACACGTGACACAGAGACACGAAGCGAGTAAATGCTGTTGGGAAAACGGCGCCGATAGGCTTGCTTAACGCAGGGTTGCCACAGACCTTAACTTGTAATGCACGCGTGTACTGAGGTTACGTTCTTGTCTCTGGGTTGCCGCTGGAGGAACCCAGTCTAGGGTCTGCTCTGACTCAGCACTTTCACTTCCAGAATTCTGTGCTGGGAGAGTCATGGGCATGGAAGTTCATGGTGGCTATTATTGGGAAATCAGACACACCCAGAATGCCTACTGGTAGGGAAATGTTACCTCCACTATGTATCATTCATGGTCTGAAATACTATGCTTCTGTTAAAAAGACACAGTGCCCTGGCCAGATTGGGTCAGCGGTTAGAGTGTCAGCCTGTGGACCGCGGGTTCAATTCCGGCCAAGGACACGTACCTCGGTTGTGATTCGTCCCCGGCCCTGGTTGGGGTCGTGCAGGAGGCAGCCACTCGATGTTTCCCTTTCACATCCATGTTTACCTCTCTCTCTCTCTCTCTCTCTCTCTCTCTCTCTCTCTCTCCCCCTCTCTGTCCCTCCCACTCTATCTGAACAAAAGTGGAAAAATGCCCTCGGGTGAGGATGGAAAAAAAAAAAAAAAGACGCAGTAATGCAAGGCAAGGGTATCTGATAGTAAGAATAGAGGTTCTAGGGTCTCAAATAGCCTGGGTTCCAAGCCTGACTCTATCACGGAGTGGAGCCAGGGCACTGCCTTCATCTTATCTGTCTAATGGGCATGATAACAGTACCTTCCTCACAAGGCTGTTGTGCAGATGAACTGAGATACATTTGCGCTCCCGGCATTGTGCCTGGCATTGTGCCCGGCATCTAGAAAGCACTCAGAATGTTTTGACTTTTGTTGCCCTCTTCGTCACTGTGTATCAATATATGGCATGTAAGTGAAGGGCTAAAAGCCCATTGCAGAAATAAGGCATTTCGCATGGGTCTGTGTCTTTCTTCCTTTCTTTTTCTTTTTTAACTTGAGTTCTAGCTGAGAAACAATTCACAGCCAAGACTCAAACTATGAGAGGAAGTTTATTTAGAAAGTCACAAAGGTAGAAGTGATCCGTAGAAGAAATGGGCTCAGTAGACAAGCTACAGAGGCAAAAGAAGGGCCTTGGAGCTCGGGGGGCGGGGGGGGGGGGACACACCTGGAGGAAGTGGGTAGAGAGAGGCGCAGGTGTGCTCCAGAGAAACGGTGCCTAGGACGGATCCGTTCCTGTAAAACAAACTGTAAAATCGGATCTATAAACAAATGTCATCGAACTGAGAAATGTCTGTAAGGGTACACTTCAAACTGATCATGGCAGGACCTTTGAAAAGAGGTGGGATTATGGTGGGCAGGGATAAGAAGGGGTAATTTAGAAATCTTTATATAGTGTTTGTTTTTTTGTGACAAACATGTTCATGAATCACGTGTGTTAATTTCAAACACAAGTTTATTTTTTAAAAATTAAAGGGTATGTATGGTTGGTACGTGGAGGACCTGGGAGGCCTAGAGGCCAGGTTGGAGGAGGTTATCTTCAGCTGTTTAGATGGGCCTGGTCTAGTCACTCTTGGGGTGTCAACCCCTGAGGTCCCCCCTTCCTTTTGTCCCTGCAGTGTCGTGATGTGTGTGGCCTGAACGCCTCTGACCGCTGTGACTTCATCCGGACCAACCCCGACTGCCGCAGCGAGGGGGGCTACCTGGACTACCTGGAAGGCATCTTCTGCCACTTCCCCCCCAGGCTCCTCCCTCTGGCTGTCACCCTCTATGTGAGGCCCTGCCTTGGGGAGCTGGTGGGCGGGGCCGGTGGCCGGATCTGGACTGATCTGGACTGACGCCCCCTTCCCTCTCCGGCTCCGCCCAGGCTTTCTGGCTGCTTTACCTGTTTCTGATTCTGGGAGTCACTGCAGAGAAGTTGTGAGTTTGGCCTTGGGCTCGCGACCAGCTTATAGATGGGCAGATGGAGTCTTGAGAGGTTGACATTTGGGCATCCCCAGGTTCGGGGGAAGGGTGGGAGCAGGGGTCCCTCACTGTGGCGTCCTCACTGTTGGCTCGTTCTCCGTAGTTTCTGCCCGAACTTGTCGGCTATCTCCACCACACTCAAGCTCTCCCACAATGTGGCAGTATCCTTTTGCCTGGATCCTACCCCCAGGCGGGAGGGCGGGAGCGGCGGGGACACGGGGTGGCAGCGCATGGCCCGGGAGAGGCCTGGGCAGGCTGGGCCTCCGCATTGACCCCCTTGACACGCTCCCCCATGGTGTCACCTTCCTGGCGTTTGGGAACGGGGCGCCCGATATCTTCAGCGCCCTGGTGGCCTTCTCGGACCCACACACAGCTGGCCTGGCCTTCGGGGCACTGTTCGGTAGGAGTGGTCCTGGCTGCGGGCGGCGGGGCAGGAGGCGGCGGCCCAGGGCGGGCTGAGCTCGGTGTCTCCTCCAGGTGCGGGCGTGCTGGTGACCACCGTGGTGGCGGGCGGCATTGCCATCCTGCGCCCCTTCGCGACAGCCTCCAGGCCCTTCCTCAGAGACATCATATTCTACATGGTGGCCGTGTTCCTGACCTTCACCGCACTCTACCGTGGCAGGGTCACGCTGGCATGGGCCCTGGGTGAGCAGCCACAGGGCCCGGGCGGGGTCATCCCAGAGCGCATGGGTGGGAGGCACAGGGGGACAGGACTCCTTGGGTTCCAAGTGGCGGAAACCCTCCTCAAGCCAGCTCGAGTCAAAGAGGGGACACAGGTCTGGGTAACCACGGGGTAGGGCAGAGCCCGGGCAATGTCCAGAACGTTCACAATGTCTAAAGTTAACGAGCCGGGGAGTGAGGATGCGAACCGTGGCCCACAGGGTGCCAGCAGCTCACACATTGCACCCCGATGGTTCAGGTGACGGATGGAGGAGGAACAGTTAAGGAAACTAACAAGTGCTCCGAGATGCACAGGCATCCAGGGACCCACGACCCGGAGGGGCAGGGAATGGGGTGACTGACCCGGAGGGGCAGGGAATGGGGTGACTGGAGCCCAGAGCTGGTGCCACCCAGCGTGAGCCACGGTCGTGGAGGGTCCCAGGCCCGGTCATGGGCCCCACGGCAGGAAGGGAGCAGGGAAGGACCCCTGCGCCTTCTTTCTTGCTGCTAGGCCTCCCACGGCTGGCACTGTGCAGCCGGAGCTCAGAGATGCGTCTGCAGGGCTCAGCCTCCCAGGGCGCAGAGCAGGACGCTTAGCACCTGAATGGGGTTCTGGAGGCCACTGTCTGTGCCAGGCATTATGCCCTTGATTGCTGGGTTGTGAGGGTACCAGGTGGCCAGGAAGGGACAATGAGTCAAGGAAGGCAGGGGATAGGAGATGTCCATTTACCACTGACCCTGGGCTGGGTGGACATGTGCAGCCACCACGAACAGGCACCGGCGGTAGACTGGGCAGCCCTTGCTCTCTGGGCCTGCAGCCAGGATGCCGCTTGTGACAGCCTGTGCCCTCGTCCGCAGGTTACCTAGGCTTGTACGCATTCTACGTGGTCACCGTGGTTCTCTGCACCTGGATCTACCGATGGCAGCGGAGGCGGTCCCTGGTCTACTCGACGCCAGCCACTCCAGGTTAGGGGTCTGGATGGATCCCCCAAGGGAGCCCGGGGGGGCTGTCGCCCTCTGCACCCTTCACTGCCACCGCCAGCTCCGCTCGGTGCTTCCTCCACGCGTGCTGCCGAAGCCCCAGCTCTGTGCTTCTGCGCGTGCTGGTGACGCCTCGCCCGCACTTGCTTTGTCCCAGTCCACTAGCTACATCACTGCATGCGAACGTGCTTCGTGAGTTAGACCTTTTCACTCTGTGAGAATTCCTGAACGTGCATGGTGATGGCTGAGAAATCCAAAATACAGACGACCAGCCCCTTGCACCCTGCACGCTGCCCAGAGGGGCCCTGCTTGGGAATGGGGGTGGGGAGGGTCTGGGCTCCCCGGCTGGCTCCTGCAACACGCCCCTCTCCCCGGCAGAGATGCTCTCGGATTCCGAGGAGGAGGATCGGGTATCTTCCACTACCACCAGCTATGACTACCGTGAGTCCAGGGCCCTGTGCCCAGCTGGGCTGGGGGTACCAGGCCTGGGTTGGGGGTGGAGAGGTTCTAGGCCCCAGGAATAGAGCTGAAAACCTCTCATTGGGCCTCGGCTGAGCTGTGGGCCAGGTTCACCCTGCCCCCTGCCAGACACTGGGTTTTCCCTCCTTCCAAGGGTTGGGAGGACGTGGGGGAGGGGAGAGGCTCTCCTGGAGGCTGACCCAGCCCGGTCACCTGCCCTCCTGCCTTGCACACCCAGGGGAAGAGTACCAGCCGCTGTTGTTCTACCAGGCGACCACGGCTCAGATCCTGGTCCAGGCCCTCAACCCCCTGGACTGCAGGAAGTGGAAGAACAAGCCTGTATACTGGAGAGTCCTCAAGGTGCTCAAGGTAGGAGGGAGAACCCTGGAACCGGGCTCCTGGCTTCATGACCGCGGTGGCCACTCAACCTCCTCAAACTCAGCAAGGGGGAGGGAGGTCTGCTGAGACCCTCTTGGAACGAGATAAGCTGGGACTTGCTGGGGAAACTGAGTCAGTGAGCTTGGCTGATGGCCTGACCTGGGCTCTGCCCCCCACGGAAGGAGAGCATCTGCCCAGGGACAGGGAGAGAGGAGGAGGGGGCTCCTCCGGACTGGGTGGGGTTGGGGATCAGGTCAAGGTGAGTTCCAGTGAGAACAAACTAGAGTTTTTCTAACCACCTGCCGCTTCCCTGGGCTGAATGACCCCGAGGTCTGGATGTGAGCAGGGCTACCCAGGCTGGAGCACATGAGGGCACAGCTACACTGCCTGCCAGCCCCAGACCAAAGCCAGTGGGCACACCTCAGCCCTTCCCTCCTCCTGAAGGGACTGGAACTCTCCATCGTGGGTCCATTTTAGGCTTCCTCGGTCCCAGGGGGCAAATAATGGACTCTACTTGCACCCCACTGTGGCTCTGGCTGCATCATGACCTTGGGCAAGTCACTTCACCCCTCGGGGCCTCGCTTTCCTCCACTATAGAGTGGGGACAATGATTGTGCATTTCTCCTGCCGTGGCTGTATCAGTCAGTTATTGCTGCAACAAAGCTGCATAACAAATGACCCCGGAATCTCATGGACTTATGATGACAATATTCTGGGTCCTCTGAGGTCTCTGCTCAGGCCGTGGTCAGTGGTCAGGTCTGCCCTATGTCTCCTTCTGGGGCCAGTGGGTACTTGGGACCGTGCTGTTTTCTTGGCGGAAAGCCCGAGACAAAGCTCACAAGCACATTTTACACACATTTCACGTCACATTCACCAACAGCCCTTTGGTCACAGCAAGTGACATGGCCAAGTTCAATGACAAGGCGACAGGGCAGTACACTCTGCAACAGCCTCGTCCCTTGGCGGAGTGTGTGGGTGCTTCATTCCATTAGGGAAGGGACTGAAGAATGGAAACGGTATCCAGCCTACCACAGTGGCTGTAACAATGTAGTAAACCGCCCTGGCTGGTTTGGCTCAGCAGTTAGAGCGTCGGCCCGTGGACCAGAGAGACCCAGGTTCGGTTCCCGCTAAGGGCATGTACCTTGGTTGCAGTTTGTCCCCAGTCCCAGTTGGGGTCGTGTGGGTGGCAACCAGTCGGTGTGTCTCTCTCACATCAATGTTTCTCTCTCTCTCTTTCTCCCTCCTCTCTCTCCTGCTCTGTCTGAAGATAAAGGCAAAAATGTCCTCACCGGACAAAAAAAACCAAACACACAAAAAAACCAATTTAATAAACTAATACGCGTGGAGAGCCGAGAAGGGTGCCTAGCGCATAGCAAACACTCCATAAGTGCTGTTACGAATTTTGTTATTGGCTGTAAACACAAGGTGTGCAGCCTGTCAGAGCTGGCTCTGTCCCAGCTGGCTTTGTGTGGGGCTCTGGAGAGGTTCCTCAACCTCTCTGAGCCTCCGTCTTCATCTGGAAGGCAGGAAAACGGTAGTTCCTACACACGGGGTTGTCGGGAACAGTGGATGAGGTGCTGGGGTGGGCTGAGTCATGCCCCCTGAGCAGTCCCCGTCCCGATCCCCAGGACCTGTGGACGGTACCTCATGTGGCAGGTGTGAGGAGGGACCTTGAGGTAGGAAGATTAGTCCGCACTGTCTGGATGGACCCCATGTCACCACAAGGGGCTTCATAGGAAAAGAGGGAGGCAGAGGGTCAGACTCGGGAGATGGGACCCCAGAAGCACAGCTCAGAGTGACACGGGCTAAAGGAACGCACGCAGCCCCCGGAGCTGGAAAGGACAGGGAGAGTCTCCTGCCAACACCTTGAGTTTAGAATTCCATCCTCCAGAGCCAGAGGGGCAGGTCTGTGTGGTCCGAGGGCATCTGTGTGCCAGGGATCGAGCAGCCGTCGGGGCCTGATACAGGCACATGGCCGCGCTCTCCAGAAACAGCTCTGGGTGCAGCCCGCCAGACCCAGGCCCGCCTGGTGACGCCTTCCCACCTTCTCAAACCTGACAGCTGCCCGTGGAGGTCCTGCTGCTCCTCACCGTCCCCCTCGTGGACCCGGACAGGGAAGACAGGAACTGGAAACGGCCCCTCAACTGCCTGCACCTGGTGATCAGTCCGCTGGTCTTGGTCCTGACCCTGCAGTCGGGGGCCTGTGAGTGTCCCCTCCCCCAGGCCAGCCCATATTCCTGACTTCTCAGCCACACCGGGGCCCAAGGCCAGCATCAGAATCTGGACGGACAGCAGGCCCTTAATACTTGCTCGTGCCTTGAGTGTTTCCGCAGGCGGCCTCCAGACCTCCATGACTTTATAATGGCCTGGTGTGCGAGTGGGCTTCTCAAGAGAGGTGCTGGGCTCCAGAATCAGGGGGCTGAGGCTGTAGGGTGCAGCTCGTGCAGCGCCGCCACCCACTGGTGATGCCGCCAGGGGGCGCTGCTGGGAAGCATTTTGGTCAGTTAATGAGATGTGCCGCGGGGTGGGGGAGGGTGACACGGTGAGTGCTCTTTGTCATCCCCACGCCACCTCCACAGCAGGAGGCTCGACACGGTCTGTTTTTCACGTCTGTCTTTTTTTTCCCTTTTATTGATTTGAGAGAGAGAGGGAGAGAGAGAGAAACATCGATGAACAAGAACATCGATTGGCCTCCTCCTGCAAGCCCCCCACTGGGGATTGGGCCCCCGACATGGGCATGTGCCCTGACTGGGAGTCGACCGGGAATCTCTTGGTGCCTGGGTCAACGCTCAACCACTGAGCCACACCTGCCGGGCTTCACCTCTGTCTTTTATTTCCAATGTGACTAGCTTGAGGGCAGGAGCTGTGTCTTTAATTTCTCTGTCCCCCTGGAGTGCCTAGGACAGGGCTGGGCACATAGGAGGTATCTGTCTTACATCCCAACAATTGGGTGTAAGTGGGTTTTACTCATGGGTCTAACCCCCAACCTCCTCCATCACTCTGGGGAGGCCTCCAGGAGGCAGTGCCAAGTTCGAAGCTGTGGGGAGTACCAGCTCCCTCTCTCATCCCTCTGCAGACGGCGTCTACGAGATAGGCGGCCTCTTTCCTGTCTGGGGCATAGTGGTGATCGCGGGCACGGCCTTGGCAGCAGTGACCTTTTTTGCCACATCCAACAGCGAGCCCCCCAGACTTCACTGGGTAAGAATCCCGGGGTCTCCAAGCTGGGAGAAGGGACACGGAGGTCCTCCAGGCAGCCGTGCTGGCTGTGCCTCTGGGGTCGTCGGGCCAGTTATCACCTTCTGCGGTGACAGGTCTTTGAAACCACTTGTGAGGGCCATTGTGCCTGTTCAAGGTCCTCTTTCATTTTTCTTTCTTTCTTTCTTTCTTTTTTGGTCATAGCTTCATTGTATTGAGATGTAATTCCCATCCCATAAAATTCACCCATTTGAAATGTACAGTTCAGTGGTTTTTAGTACAGTTGGCCCTTGAACTTAGAAGTGGGCCCGCATAGTTCAAATCCGTGTTGTTCAGGGGTCGCTGTAAGTTCGTGGAGTTGCACAGTCATCACCACCGTCCACTGGAGAGCGTTTCCATCGGCCCCTAAAGAAAACCCATACCCAGCAGTCATGCCCATCACCCTCTTCCTCCATCCCCTGGCCACTGCCAGTCTGCTCTCCGTCTCTACAGATGTGCCTGTTCTGAGCATTTTATATAAAATCCCACACGATGTGGTCTTTTGTGGCTGGCTTCTTTCACTTATTAGCAAAATGTTTTTAAAGTGTGTCCACATTGTAGCATGTATTAGTAAATAGTTGTTTTTTAATAACAAACTAAAGACCCCCTTTTTTTTTAATGTTTTTATTGATTTTTTTTAGAGGGAGAGAGAAACATCAATCAGCTGCCTCCTGCACACCCCCTACTGGGGATAAAGCCCACAACCCAGGCATGTGCCCTGACCAGGAATCAAAGGAGGAACTCTCAGTCCGTGGGATGACGCTCAGTCCACTGAGCCACAACAGCCAGGCAATAAACAGTTCTTTTTCATGGCTGAGTAATATTCCATTATATGGCTAGAGCACATTTTGTGTATCCATTCATCTGGATGGACATTTGGGTTGTTTCTACGTGGGGATATTATGAATAGTGCTGCCATGAACATCCGTGTAAGAATTTTTGTGTGGACATAGGCTTTCATTTCTCTTGAGGGTATTTTTAGGAGCGGAACTGCTGGGTGAAGTGGGAATGGTGTGCTGACCTTCTGAAGACCTTCCTCACTCTCTTCCGCTAGAGCAGCCAGGTGCTCCTGGGTCCTAACCACTCACGGCAGTGATGGGATTGTTTCTTTGGGGGGGCCTTTTTCCGTTCTGTTCACCGGGCAGCACTCAAAGGAATTTTAGGCCGTTTGTCCAGAGACCTTTTCTTCAAAAACTTATATTTTCATTTTAATTTTTTATTGATGAAAAATGGTTATTTTTAGAAAGTCTGAAAGGAAGAACCAACCCAAAGGGGCTCGAATTTCCAGCCAATTGATCATTCAGAGAAATGGTTTCCACCGGTGTCTCTTGCTAGTGCCCTGACAGGGGTGTGCCTCTAAAGCATCGTGCTAAGTGGACACGTGGTCACGAGGGACCACACACCGTGTAAATCAGTGAGGCCATCGACACGCCATGTGTAATCCATCGAGACAGGAAGGAGAGTGAAGGGGCTGGGGTGAAGGTTGGGGGTGACTGCGAACAGGGAGCTTCTTTTTGTGGTGGTCGGTGGCCTTTGGTCCACAGACCGGAAATGTGACGAAAGCTGTGTGAACCTCTTCCTCACAAAACAGTAATAGTGAGCTAATATTTTTATTGAGCACTTACTATGTGCTCGGCTCTAATTTCATTGCATCTATTACCTCATTTTATGCTCATGACAACCTCAAGAGGTAGGTACTGTTATCGCGCCGTTTTACAGATGAGGAACTGAGGCTGTGTCCCTGTTGGGGGCCGGCTTTGGTCCCATGTGCACGCTGTCCCCTCCCCAGATCTTTGCCTTCCTAGGGTTCCTGACCAGCGCTCTGTGGATCAACGCAGCCGCCACTGAGGTGGTCAACGTCTTGCGGTCCCTGGGCGTGGTCTTCCGGCTGAGCAACACCGTCCTGGGACTCACACTGCTGGCCTGGGGGAACAGCATCGGAGGTGACCCAGGGCCGGGTGGCGTGCTGGGAGGAGCCCAGCCACATCCCTGCGCTTTGCTCCTCCAGCCAGAATTGTATGTGGGCAGGGACCTCCAGGGCACTTCCCTCAGCATGTGCTTAGTGCCCGCTGACCTTGTGGAGTGACCGTCACTGGGCACTGGGACTGCCCCTGAGCCAGGAGAGTCTGGAAGCCCAGCTGCTGCCCCCCTCTGACGCGTGGACTCTCGTGGCTCCCCGGGTCCAGGCAGGACATGGAGCCCATCACAGCCAGCCATGCTGAATGTGTACACGGCTGTGTGACGTCTAGTCATTCACACACACATGCGTAATCCTCGAGGTGCAGCTGCCCTGTCGGCTGTCCAGGCTGTTCACGGCCTGAGAGCACCCAGAGGAGGCCTGGGGCGAGGGGGCAAAACCTAGCTCTCCTTTCACTCGCCTTTCCCTGATTTGCACGGAGACCATACGTGCTAGCAGACGGGACTTGGTGAAATACTGGTGGTGGCACGTCACAGCTGCGGTTGCTTCTGCTGAGCAAGAGGGGTAAAGGAATTAAGGAGGGCTTGTCTCATGGAGCACTGCGGCCTCTCAAAGCAGCCGGCCAGCGGGTGCCAGGGCCGGGGGCGTTTGCCCGTTTGTTGACCGAACGGCTGTGGGTGAGAAGGGCGGAGGGAATGACCGAGGAGGGTCGGGAGCAGCCTCTCAAGGACGTCTCTGTTTCCACGCAGATGCCTTCTCCGATTTCACGCTGGCCCGCCAGGGCTACCCCCGGATGGCGTTCTCGGCCTGTTTCGGTGGCATCATTTTCAGTATCCTTCACGGGGCTGCCCGAGGGTCAGCTTGGTGGCAAAGGGCTCTGAGAGCCAGGGGTGTGCTCCGTGCCACCCTCGAATCGGCTCGCACTGTAACGCCTGGGGCAGGGGACGAGGCTGCTGGAGCCTCCGCTTCCTTGTCTGTAAAATGGGATTATTGAGAGGAGGGACCTCGGAAGGGTGGTTGTGAGGACTGAATGAGGCGACAGAAATGCTTGGCACCTGGTGAGCGGAGTGGCGGGCAGGTACTGCTGTTGGGGTTGGTGTTATTAGCAGATGCCCCCACGCTGAGCTGTGAGCCCTGGGGAACACTCTCTCCCTCTTGCTTATAGATCATGGTCTATAGATGCCAGGAGTCCGCAAACTTTCTCTTAAAGGGCCAGAAATGAAATATTTTAGTCTTGGTGGGCCATCCGATGTCTCTCGCAACTGCTCATCTCTGCCGCTGGCCGCTGAAGTGTGAAAACAGCCACAGGCAACACGTAAACAAATCGGTGTGCCTCTGTTCCAATAAAACTTTATGTAAAAAGTGAGCAAAGGACACGTTGGCCTGCAGACAGGGTTAGGCAGCGGGGAGCTGTGGCAAAGAACGTCAGTTCCAGCGCCGCCAGGAGCCCCCCTGTGCACCCGGGGCTTGGCGCGCATCTTAGCCATCTCTCCAAATGGAAGGCAGGTTGCGGTGAAGGCTGATGATGAAGTCAGGCACCCAGGAGCGTGCCCAGCACACGGCACGTATTCAACAGGAGGCAGACAGTGTTGGTTGTGATATTATTTGGAAGCACTGAAGGGCAGCTCTCCCCAAGCTCCACAGCGAAAGGCCGCTGACACCAGTCAGAACTGACGGGGACTGGGGGGGCGCACCTGCCATCTGTAACTCCCGGTGGCCCTTTGGTTCCCATGGAGACCTGCTCCTGACCTCTCAGGTTGGGGTGGGCAGGAGGGTGCCCTGCCTGGAGCAGTGTCCCCTAAATAACCCCTAGAGGTGGCCTTGGCCCGAGCTCCACCAGCAGCCCCCTGGCCTCAGTTTCTCTGTCTACTGAGTGCTTGCCAGGCACCGGACATTTCTGTCACCTCGTTCGGTCCTTGCAGATTGGGCGCAAACGCCACTGGACACTCGCCTTCTTAGAGGTGCTAAAACTGGCTGAGGGCTCTCAGGTAGGGTTTGGGGGCTGGGGTGGGAACAGGTCATAGGGAAAGACAGTGGGCTGGATGGTCAGGGTTTGGGGCAGTGGATCCAGCACATTTCCTGAGCCAGGCTGCAGATGTCCTGGTGGGAGTGGGCCTGGGCTGCCTGCTCCAGATCTCCAGGGGCCACACGGAGGTGACGGTGAGTGGCCAGATGCTTCTGCAAGGGACCTCCTGACCCTGCTCTCTCCTGGTCCCTCGGTCCTCTGGATGGGAGGCCTTCATACCTGAGCACTTGACACTTCCTGGAAAGGACTTGTCTAGATTTGTGACGAGTCTGATTTGTAGAATATCTTTAATATGTCTTGCATGTAGGGTTGGAAAAATGTATTTCTTCCAAATTCACAGCTTTGAGGGAAGGGCCCAGAACTCCTTGGATTCGGGTCTCAGTCCCATCAGTTAAGTCTCTTGCTATGTGACCTTGAATGAGTTAGGATAGCTCTGAGCCTCAGTGTCCTGACCTGTGAAATGGGTTGATGACCCCCTCTCCCCCCCGGCAAGCACGCATGAGGAAAGGGCCAACACGCACACACAGGGTGTACCAGGAGGACAGGATGAAGGTGCCACCTGCTGGAGACAGCCCTGGAATGGGGAGCCCAGCAGATCTGGAGAAGGTTCTGAAACACATCGCAGAGGTTCTCATTCAAAAATATCTGAGAATTGCCTTGGGGCTCAAGAGACCTCCTGCCCCAGGCATTCCGGGGGCGGGGGGGGGTGGTGGTGGCTGGAACTTTGCATTTTTAAGTAAGCTCCCGGAGACTGATGAAGGTAGGGCATTTGAGTGGCAGTGTTCTAGGTGGGAAATTCAGGTATGTCCCAGGCCAGGCAGGTAATGGAAATGCACCCGATTCAGGTGGGCCTCACAGGGTCAGGTAGTCCGGATTTTCTAAAGAAAGCACCCCGCAAGGCAGCACGTTTGTACCCCTGATCCCCGCATCTCTACTGGGAAGGGAAGGAGCTTCAGAGACCAAAGGAACGATTAAGACAAAGAGGGGTGTGGCCTAGGGGACAGTTTAGGGCTCAGCACATGAAAGCCCTAAAATGTCCCGAGGTTGAGATGGTGTATTGATGAGAGCACCCCAGCTCTCTCTGAGCCTCTAGGTCTTGAATAGGCTCTGGTGGCTGACTTGTCATTAGCTGGCAGGGGGGCCAGCCTTTCCTGGCGACCGCGCCCAGAAGCAAATAGCTACTTACCCTCTGCACATTTTGTTTATATTCTTCATGGGTTTAAGGGTTCCTTTCATTAGGATTCTCAGGCTGTTCCAGATAATGGGGCCTTAGGGTAAGGCCCCCTGACAGGAGAGTGTGCGTGTGCGTGTGTGCGTGCGTGTGCGTTCAGCATTCCAGCACCTCTGTGTGGAGCGTAGAGACTGCTGCTGCTAAGACATCAGGCATCCTGGAAGGTCATCGGAAGGATGTCCTTGGAGCACTGTTGGGTGCAAAATACAGGTTGCTCTTATCTGCTGATTGTATGAGCCCCGTTCTCTGATTTGGTGTAAAGCCCTCTCTGTGTGCGTACCCACACCTGTGTGCGTACCCACACCTGTGTGCATGTACGTATGTACACGGTGCAGGGAGGCAGGACGGTATTGGTAAGAGCTGGGGCTTTGCTGGGGCTCTGTCACTCACTCGTTCACCAGTTTCCGCATCTGTGGACTGGGGTGAGGCTCCCCTCAGGGGGTTGGGAGGATGGATGGAAGGCTGAGTGTTGGATAGATGCTAAGTCTAGAAGGAAGAGACAGTGACCGAGCCTCTCTCCTTGCCCCTCCCCAGCTGGAGCCAGATGGACTGTTGGTGTGGGTCCTGGCCGGCGCCCTGGGCCTCAGCCTCGTCTGCTCCCTGGTCTCGGTCCCACTGCAGTCTTTCCAGCTGAACAAGGTCTACGGCGTCTGCCTGCTCCTCTTCTACGTGAGCTTCCTCGTGGTGGCCCTGCTCACGGAATTTGGGGTGATTCACTTGAAAAGTGTGTGAGGGGAACTGTGTCCGGGTCCACCTGGTGGTCGGGAGGTGCCACTGCAGGCAGTGAGCTGGAAGATGGATGAGGGAAGACAGAGGCGCCTTCCGTGGAGCCGGCGCGGCATGCGTGGCGGGGAACGAGGTGTGGGCTCCGTGGGCGCCCCTTGCTAACGATCCCCAGGGGCTGCCGTGTGCAGGGAGAAATGTTAAGCCTCCCTTCTGAGGCTTTGGAGACTGGGCTTCACCGGGTGGACAGTTCCAGACAGAAGACTTGCTTGCATGACCTCCAGAGCCTCTCGAAGATCAGGGTGAGGGGGTGACTGGGTGCCTTCCAGGCTGGTGTTGGAGGACTTTCAAAGTGCTCAGGGCTGGAGCAACTACAGAGACCCGGGCTCCTAGCATAGGTGTCGCCTGCCGCCTTCCTGCCTCTTCTCGGCCGAAATGCTGCCGAACCCAGGTGCAGGGGGTCAGGACAGCGGGGCCCCCGTGGACACAGCGCCTGGGTGCGATGGGCCTCCGGCCACCGTGGGCTGGAGTGGGAGCCATACCTAATTCTGAATGTTCTGGTCGCGTTAATAAAGCGGAAAGAAGCAGGTGGCATTCCCAGGAAATCCCAGCGGTCGGCTGTGGCGCAGGCGCCCTTCCCGGCAGCCGCCCTGGCCTCCGGAACCACCCCCTCGGCCGCCGCAGACGAGGGACTCTGCCCTGCGCCTTCCTCGGGGCCCGGGCTGGGATTCCAGTGCCACCTCTCAGGACAAGGAGTCCCCGCCCCAGCACCTTCTGCCGTCAGTGCCCTCAACAGACCACTGAAGGACGTGCCGTTGCTAACTAGTTCAGGCACACAGAAAAGAACGTCATTCCACTGCCCAGGTCTCCCTTCCCCGGGCCGGCTGAGGGGCTGGCTGCAGGGCTGAAGGCGCTGGGCCTGACATACCGACTTCCAGGCACATGTGGGGTGGGGCTGAGTGGGGTCAGGAGGGGCCATGGATGGGGTATCCCCCACGATAGCAGACCACAGAATGGCACCTGGCAGATGTCACGAGGCGGCAGCCGCACTTACAAAGCAGAGCGCTTTTATTAATATGCTAGAAGTCCGGAGACACAGTGGGTTTTCTAGGTAACAAATCACCGGTGTACAAAACCTTACAGGGTCGTTCCCGCTATCCGTACAAAATGATTGTCGCGTGTGAGGAGTAAGGCTGGGTGGGGGAAGGAAGCAAGGATGAGGGGCCAGGTGGGGTCCCACCCAAGCGGGGCAGGGGCACAGGGCCGCCACAGCCACGACAGGTGGCTTGACCCAGGGTGGGTCCGTCTCAGCTTGGTTTCGCTCAACTATGACATGGGAAGTGAGGGCGTCTGAGCTGGATGATGTCCTGGGCCCCTCAGAGCTCAGCCCTGGGTGACACCTGCTCCCGGAACCTGTGTGAAAGCGCGACCAGGCCACAGGGCACCCCGAGGGGACAGCTGTCTTTAGCCTAAGGGACGAAGGTGCCGACCAGTGGCCAGAGCCTGGCCCTTCAGCACCATTGGCCCTTTGAATTCATCCCATTGTGGCTACACCCGGGCCTTTCCCAGGACAGGCCTAGGACTAGCTTAGACCCACCCCTTCCTGGTACCACCCTCACACTTGGGGGCTTCAAGGACCCTGGTGCCCCTCCCAGGTCTGCAGCCCCTGGGGGCAGAGGAAGGGACCACAATGAGGCCTCCTCGGGTCAGAAGCTGCCCCTTGACTCCTGCTTCCAAAATGCCCGTTTCAGTACACGAAAGCAACAAGGCACCCAGTTGTGCAAATGAAGTTTCTTCTCTGGAGAGGGAAAAGGGGTTTGGGAAGGGGCGGGGGCTCGGTGCCGAGCTGCCCGTGATGGCTGGTGGCCCTCCAGAGACAGGACATCAGCCTCCTGATCCCGGAGGGAATCTCCGTGGTTCCCGGTGATTTGTGTGTCCTCCATGGGCTGTGCTTAGAAAACGAGAATGCCCACCATTCTCCCCTGGGGAGGGCAGAGCTGTGCAGTGTGGGCCAAGGGGTCAGGCGTGGCCTTGGAGAGGGTGTGGGGAGCTGGGTACTGTATCACAGGCGCCAGGCCCTGCCCTGCTGGGAAGAGTATATGGCAAAGAGACCCTCTGCCCACTGGCCCTCCTAAGTCACAGGACGCTGTGGAGGCAGCTGGAGGGGTGGGGTTGGACCAGGATGCCCAGCGGGGGCTGCCCCTGCCCCTCCACCCCTGCATCCCACTGCGTCTGCCTTCTGCACCATGGAAGGTTTGCAGCCCAGGAGAGCTGGACCCGAGCTCCCTCCTCTGAGTTGGTTGTGCCACCACCCACCAGGGCTGCCAACCCTGGCCGCCTGCTCTGGATTCGAGCACGGGTCCTACCCCGACCACGAATCTGAGAACGCCCCAGGGCACCAGGGGAACTCGGGACCTGCGGGTTCACTTGAACCAGCTTCTGCACCAACCACTGCTCCCACTGAGACCCGGGGGTTCAGCCACAGGGCTGCTGAGGCCCACGGGACCTCGGTGCTCCTCGCTCGGTTCCAAGCAGCGGGCCCTAAGGATCTGTCTTGTCTGCAGCTGAAGCTGAACTAACCAACATGCCTTTGCGCCTGGACAGGATGGTCACAGCAGGGAAGGGGTTTGGTGGAGAACGCCCCTGCCAGGAACTGGCCCTGTCCCCTGCTCTCCTGCCCTTACCGGGCCTGGACGCCAAACAAGGCCATGTTAGGATTTCCAGCAACAAGTGGCTGTTCCAGAAGGTGACAGAGCCAGGGCAGCAGGGGCGTCCACACCACGCCTCGCTGCCCAGCGCCGCTGGGATCTGACCACACGGGATCATCAGGCCCCCGATGCCCCCTGGGCACGGGTTCCCCGGGGAACGTCCCATTACATGATCACATCTAGAGAAGCACGAGCCCTGAGGACAGGGGCTCTTTCCTTCCTAAGTGGTTTGGTCCGCAGGGGAGGTTAGGGGGAAGCTGTCGGCTGGGTCTGAAAGCGGCGCCAGGAAGACGGACTGGGTGTGGACGCGCGCAAGGAGGGCCGCCCCGCGGAGACCACCAGGGGCCTTCTGCTGAGGGGCCTTCCCGAGCTTTCTGTTAGGAAGAGCCCCTCGGGGCCTCACCGCCCCCGAGCAAACCGACTTCTGGGGTTGAGGAAGACGGGGCGAGGTGGCCACACACCAAACCCCACCTTGTCTGTCTCGTTCTCTTTCTCTATATAAATATGTGAATATGTGCATACTATACATACACACATCATCTCGATACATCGTAGGAAAATAATACTATTGTGTTATTGCATAGAAGAGATGGCTTCTGTGAGCGGCGGTTAGGTGAAGGTCTGGGAGCGCGGGCGGCGGCCCCGGGGCGGCTGGGTGGCGGCGACGCTGCGGCCGCAGAGCTGCTGCTGCTGCTGCTCCTCCTGCTCCCGGGCGTGCTCCTCGTACCACTCCTAGAGCACAGGGCAGACGGCAGCTGAGCGGGAGGCACCCCCTCCGCCCGCGCTGCGCCCCCCGACAGGGCCATCTGGCCTCCAGCCTCTGCCGCTGGGGGTCAGGGAGGCTGGAGGGGGCAGAGCTGCCAGCCCAGCTGGTGCTCTGCACGGTGTTCTAGCTGCCGATGTGGGGAGATGAGGCGATTGTGTTAAAAAAAAAAAAAACACACAAAACAAAACTGACTTCTCCCTTCTCTTAAATTAGAAAAAACCAAAGAGTCAAAAACCCCAAGAGAACCGCGGGGCACAGCAGGCCTCAGTCCCACGGGCATCTCAGGGGACCTGCGCCCCAGCTCGCGTGCCGCCCCTCCTCTGCCCCTCCCGGCTCCCGCTGTGTGCATTTCAGAGCAGGACACTGAGCGAGGCTCTGGAGATGCGCAAGAGGCCGTGACACGTGAAAGGCGCCTACGTAGGGGGATGGGTGAAGGGTTCAAGGCTGAGCCCCCAGGGCACCACTGGTAGTGGTCCCAACCTGCGACCCCGCATCTCCCCACCGAGGCTCCCCGTTGCCTGGGACAGGCCGGAGCGCAGCCTGCTCGGGCTCAGCAGCAGGGACCGTTCCAGGCGAGCCCTGGGTGGCCGGCCAGGGGCGCTCCTACCTGAATCTCCTCTTGGTACATCTTCAGACTCAGATCGCTCTTGGTCCTCGATCTCCGTCCCAGAAACACCACGGTGCTTTGCTATCGAAGGGCACAGGCTGAGGCTCCACCGTGCCGTGCCCTGGTACCCAACCACCACAGTGGCCTTGCCCCCTCCTCTGGCTTTTGCCGTGATGCCCCCCAAAAGCATCACCAAAACTTGAGGGGATGGGCAGTGGGGGAGCAACTACACTCAGCTACAACCTGGCCCCTCGCCAGACGGGGCCCTGCTGCTCACCTCATTTCTCTCCATCTGGGAGAGGATCTTGAGCAGCCGGGGGATGTCCGAGGCAGCCCCCCGGGCCTCCCGGTACAGCTTGAGGACAGCGAGCAGCTCATCCTTGGACATTTCCTTCTCGACGGTGATGCCACCGTCAACTGCGGGGAGGAGGGAGCCTGGGCTCAGAGTCCCCATCTGACCTGCTCGGGTTTAGCCGGCCTCCCGGCTGTCCCTGCAGGGATCCCAAGGCTCCCTCTCCTGCCGTGGGGAGTCCTGCTCCCTTCCCCTCGCTCTGCCGTGGATGTGAGGGTCAGCGGCCAGGCCAGCAGCTCACAGGGGCAGAGGGTTTCGGGAGGGAGTCTCCGAGCTACCAGTAAAGGCAGACAGCCTGATACGACAGAGACTCGGAGACAAGCCAGAACAGCGTGCGGCAGTTCTGACAGAGAATCTGCAAAGAATGGAGGTTCGGTACAGGAAGCAACGCAACCTGGGAGCAGCGAGGTGATTGATGGCCAGTGGTCACGCTGCGCAAAGCAAGCTGTGGCCTGTCGTCTACAGTGTGCCCCCCTTTAAGGAACGGGAGCCAGAGCCCTGGTCGGCTGGGCTCAGCAGTTAGAGCGGCGGCTCGCGGACCAATGAGTTACGGGTTCAATTCCGGTCAAGGGCACGTACCTCGGTGGCTGTGCCCTGGTTGGGTCGTGCAGAAGACGACCAGTCGATGTGGCTCTATCACATCGACGTTTCTCTCTCTCTCTCTCTCCCTCCCTCCCACTGTCTGGTGATAAACAGAAAAGTATCCTCGGGTGAGGAATTTTAAAAAGAAAGGAGAGAAGAGGCTGAGAGAGAAGCCTCTGGAGAGGGGACAGCTGGGACCAGCAGCTGCTCTGTCCACAAGAAGCCTGTCGGCTGCGTAGCTTTTCTTCAACTGCGACTTGTATTGTTTTTATCGAAAATGAGATCGAGAGCGTGCGTCTCCTGTTAAACAGCGGGTGATCAGCGGGAACAAGAGAGCCAGAAAGACAAGCCCCACACATTCTGTCATGGAACAAGAGTGCCAGGCAGCCCACAAGCTGACCGCGGGACGGACAGCCAGCCGGACAGACAGCGGAGCGGCCGGCAGGGGTGCTCCTGCTCCTTGCACAGACCTTCTGAGTCCTGGTTCTTGCGGCTGAAGTTCATTCGGAAGACAAAGGCCTCGAGGATGAAGGCTACGATGATAGTCATCACCACCTGGTGGGCACAGAGGGGCTCAGCGAGAGGGAGGAGTGAAGTGTGTGAGCTGCTCCCGCCCCCACAGCTGCACCACTCAGATGCGCTGGCCCCGCCCTCGCCGAGTGCCGCCCAGTGAGCAGGGGCGGCTGGGAAGGAGGAAGAGCACTGGACCTACCATGGTCACGATATAAAAGGTCATGAAGTAGAGGCGGCTCCAGTGGGAGGTCTGAGAGGTGATGCCTTCCTGAAGACAGAGGGAGGCGCCAGTGAGCGAGTGGCTGGGGGGGCAGGGTTGAGGGGATCACTGTCCAGTTAGGTTATTTCGTGGCCCCCAGAGCTGCCAGGCTTTTTACAGATCCTTCCTGATTTGCCTTTGGTTGTGAGGGACACAGGAGGGGGACCTCAGTCCCCTGGCTCTAAAAATTCCTCTGCATGAGCCTGGATGGTCCCCAGGACGCACAGGCAGTCTGTCCCAAGTAGAGGTGGCCCTTCAAAGTTTAAGCAATTGAAATAAAACCCAACAACTTAGCCACTCTGATTCTTGATTAAAAGTCTCTCCCACCGCGGGGCAGAAGGCCCGAGACCAGAGGCAAACGGGCGCCCCCTGGCTGCGGGGAGACGTGTGGGGAACAGAGACAAAAGCCAAGTCTGGCCAAGGGGTGGTTCCTGGGCACACGTGGCAGCCTCCCCACAGAACGCCAACACTGTGCGCCAGGACGCCACCCCTGCAGGGAATGGGGAGAGCAAGTACCCCACACTGGGCGAGGGGAGACTCAGAGCAGGCCTTGGGATGGTGGGAAGACACCCCGGGAGCTGACCGAGGTCCTTACCATGATGATGTACCAGTTGTTGACGACCGTGAGCTCGAACAAGGTCACTGCCAGAGGGAAGGGAAAAGGAAAGCATCTTGATCAGACTCACCTTTTCAAAGTCAGTTTCTGGAGGCCTCTCTGCAAAGATTCTGGGTACCATGCACCTAAATGATGGAGCCCCCTCTGCCAGCTTGGGCTGTGAGCTCCCATGACTGACCACCCCACGGGAGTGCTGTCATCTTGCCTGTCCCCAGAACGGCATGCCCTTTGAGCAGCCCATGATGAACCTGGTCTTGGGGCAGGGTGGGGTACTGCAGAAGGCGCACCCAGACCTTAATTGGTACAGATCTGGGGTGCCATGGGGCTCTCCCCCTCCTCAAGAAGCTGTCTGGCAGGCCACCTCCCTCCACTCTCCTGCCCCAATCCCTCCACAAACCCAGGAACAGAGCTGTGTGGGCCTGACCTGAGCAAGGCAAGGGCACCGTAGCAGGTCGGTGTGGCTGGGCCCCACCTGTCACTGCCGTGTTGAGACAAAGGAGTAGTTCCCAGCAAAGCGCCCGGTGGCTAAGGGGGCCCAGGGCCTGGCCTGCGCCCCTGAGGCTGAGCACACCACACCCACACAGGACTCAGGAAGTGTGGCAAACACCAGGGGGGAGAAGCTGCAGACGGCCTTGCTCCAGCACCGCTGGGACCCGTGGTGACAAAGGCCCAGGGAGAGCCCGGCCGGAGAGGTCTGCACTCACCGAAGCTGTTCAGGATGTTGTCGAAGTTGTTGAGATAATAGTAGCCGTCCTCCACGACGGTCCTGTTGCCCACGGTGTGGTTGAGCCAGCGGTAGGCGTCTGCCACGGTGCTCGTGCTGCCCGGGGAGACAAAGGGGCAGAGGGCACGGTCACCACACAGCTGGTCACCTCGACGGAGGCGGAATGTTTAAGGAAACCACGTCTGGCCAGGGAGCCCCGTCCTGGCCCCACCTGGCTTCCGGCCCAGCCCCCAAGCCTGCCTCCTTTTCTGCCTCCACTTGGCACGTCTCTGCTTCTGCTAGGCCCCTTCTGGGTCCCCGGGGATCTGCCCTTGAGGGCGGGTGAGGGGCAGCCACCCAGGGAGGGGACAGCTCCTCAGCTTCCTCCTGCACCTGGCCAGGTGTCTAATAGGCTGTTGCCTCTGTTCTGAGAGCTCATCTGCTATTTTACTGAAACCCTCAGGGCTCGTCTGCTAAAATCCCTGCCGACGGTTCTGCAAGGCTTGGCCAGGGGCACTCAGGCAGCCTGTCCAGAAGGCCGGCCCGCCCTGCCAGGCACACGGTGCCGGCTTCGCGGGGCGGGGCCTGCAGTCCGCACTTTCAGGCAGCTGCCCTGGTGACTCTGAAACCCGTGACTCGCTGTCCTGGGCTCCTGGTTCCAGCTCGGCCTGACACTCAAAACAGCTACCAGTGTCTCTGGCAGCTGTTTCTTGAGCAGCGCCCTAAGGACCGAATATTAAAGAGAACACTGGATAGCTGATGGCCAAGTCTGCGGGTTTCGTCCTGGTGGCTTGGAGGGAAGAGGGAGCAGGGAGGGAGAGGTTGGCTCCCCATTCTCTATACCTGTTCCCACGGACCTTCCCATGGGCGCCTGTCTGACTTATCCTAACTGGCCGCCCCTGGTTGGTGTGTCCGCCCAGGTCCCCAGCCACCCCTGGAGAGACGTGGAAGACAGCCATGGGACCTGGGCCTCTGGCCGCAGGCCACACTTGGTTCTCGGGGCCTGCAGCCCTCAGCCCGCAGCGGGAGCTGATGGAAGGCTGGTGGGAGGGTGGCCCCTGGTCCCTGCTTGGGGGACAGGGAAACTTGCTCAGATGTCCTCACCACAGAGAACTCTGCTTCCAGGTCCCTCATCTAGCTACTGCACTCAGCTGAGCCTGGAAAGCAAAGCAAGGTGATCCGGGGACTTGCAGGGCCGCGGGTGCGGGCTCGGACAGGCATGCCCGCGGGCTCTGAGGCAGAGGGGCCCACTGGGCCGGGTAAGGGCGCATGCTGGTCTGGGCTCTGACCCTCCGGAATGCAGGCGGTCTGGGCCGGGCCGGGCCCGAGTACTCACTTGCAGCAGTTGGGGTACAGGATGCCACAGAAGAACTCCATGCCCACGATGGCGAAGGAGTAGTAGAAGATGAGCAGGGTCAGGCCCAGGCTGGGGAGGAGGGGCAGAGGGGTGACTCAGGGCCGGGCCTCCTCGGACCCACCGCTCACTGGGAGAGGCAGCCCTAGCCGGGTTACCGACCGGGAGGGAAGTGCCTGCAGGGACGGGGCCGCGTGATTCGGGTCTGGGGTCAAAACGGCTCGAAGGAGGACTCTCTGAACAGATGCCCCTTGACCAGAGCTTCACCCCTTACCTGTGAAGGTGGACTCACAGGTGACCCCTTACCTGTGAATGCAGACACAGGTGGTGAGTGAGTTGACAGCTCCCTGCCCTCCCTACTAGTATTTCAGACAGGTCAGTGGAGGCAGGAGGTGCCGGGTCGAGGTCAGCCTCCTTGTAGACCAGGAAGACCCTGGACTTCAGTCCTTGTCGGGACTCCCCCCTCCCCCCTCTACCGCCCAGCTGCCCACCCCTCGGGGCACAAGCCATGGGACGCCTGGCCCTGGGGCGCAGAGGCAGGGCAGTACCTGGCCATCCGGGGCAGCAGCTCAAACATGGTGTCCAGCACGTTGCGGTAACGCTTTTTCAGCTTGAACAGCCTGAGCAAGGGAAGGAGGCCGGGTCACTTACAGACCAGGGCGCGGCTGCAGCGCCGGGTGGGAAACAGGCCGACCACCCTCACTCAGGACCTCGGGGCTGCACAAGCCTGTCCCCGAAGGGACGCGGAGCCCGTGTCAGTGTCTCCCTCGGGTGGGGGGTGCAGCGTGGCTGCTCACCTTGGCTCACAGCGCAGCCAGGGAGCGCTCAGTGGGCAAGGCCTCGCTCGGGACAGCGCGGCGCCCGCACCGCATCGGTGGAGAAAGGGCAGTGGTGTGGGGGGCAGAAGCTGACCACTGCCCGGCCTGGCCACCACCACCGGGCATGGCAGCAGGTTCTGCTACAGAGACGCCGCCCCGGACCCATCCCCCAGGAAGGACGGGATGGATGATGGACGTCTGTGGGACTGCGGCTGGACAGTGAGAGGAAAACCAGAATCCCAGAGACACCCAGGGCTCAAGACCCCTCAGCAGCGAGGGACAGCGTCCCGGAGCCATGCTTTACTGAGCCCCTACAGTGGTCCCTGGGGAGAAGGTGAGGCCGAGTGAGGGCTCTTCTCGACAAGAGGCTGCCCCAGAAAAGCAAGGGGGAGCCTTCGAAAGTTCCTTTGGACCCCAGAGGCTGTGCCTTCTGGTTTGTGACTGTGAGCACACGTGTTTCTGTGGCCACAGCGGCTAGCGCCACAGTGAGAGGTGACCAGTCCTGGTGACACGGAGACAGGGGCCCCTGGGTGCTGCTGCAGGGGGCACTGCGGTCTCTGTCCCCAGGCTCGTGAGTCTTCTGGCTCATCCGGTCACTGCTCAGACCAGTCCCCAGGCTTTCCCCGCCCTCCCCCTGCCCGCCTGTCCCCACCCCGACTCTGCCCTGTCACCTCAGCAGCTGGAGAGGGCGCAGGACCACGATGAAGTAGAAGGGCTCCATGTTGAAGGCCAAAGCCAGCAGACCCAGGAAGGCGAACGCTGTGACGGAGAAGTCGAACCTAGAAGGGAGGGGACAGCGGTCCGTCGGGCCCACCTGCACCCTGGCCTCCCCCACCACGGCTGGCGTCCCCGCCCCGTGCTCAGCTCGCCCTTCCAAGGAGCCCACACACCAACCCCAGCAAAAGCAAAAGCGTGCCCAGCAAGGGCCCGTGGCAGGCCAGGCAGGATGCAGCTTCCTGCCACCCTAGGGTTTCTGATTGGCATGGCCAGATGCCATCACAGCACACATCTCGGGCGTCAGGAATGCCGCACTGCCCCCTCCCCGAAGGTCCTGCACTGGTCTGACAGCAGACACTGGTATACTGGTGGCGGCCTGCCCTGATGAGGTCAGAGGGAAGTGGCAAGGCCCCCTGGAGACCAGCCCGATCAAGGCCGCGGACTCTCTGCAGCTCTGCACCGAGACCTGGACGGCCCCGCCTGCACTCTGCCCTGTGTAGCTTGTTTCACGCAGACCTCGTGAGTGGGGCCTGACTTCACGGGCGAGTTCATTTCAATGGGCAGTAAATGGGGTCTCAGTGGAACAGGGAGAAGGCCCAGCGAGGCGGTGAGACTCCCTCCCCTGTGGGTGTCATGTTCTTGTGGAAAGAGCACCGTTGTGCTGGGGTGGTGTGGAGGTGAAAGGACCCAGAGGCCATGGCGGGAGGGGCTGGGGTGGACGGCCAGAGGAGTGAGACAAGCGCCTGACCCCGGGCGCCCCAGAGCGCAGGCGGAGCGGCGGAGACAGAGAGCGTGGCCTGTCCTCATGCCTTCCCCCTGCGACTGCGGGCCGTGTGTGCGCGTGGGTGTGTGGGGAGAGGGCAGGCAGCGTGCACTCGCGTCGAGACCCGGTCAGGAAACGTGCTCTCCACTTACAGATTCCAGCCGGAGGACAGGTACTCGACAGGGCCCAGGCCGGCCACCTTCAGGAGCAGCTCCACGCCGTAGACTGTGGACAGGGCAGCAGTGAGCCGCACGCCTGCACGGCCTCCCACTCCTGGCCTGGCTCAGTTTCCTCTCGGAGACCCTTTGAGGTCTCCAGCCTCCCCCGCGGGCCGCGCCCTCCAGACAGCCACGGCGGGCCCGTGGCCCACGCTGAGTGCCCGGCCCAGGTGCTGTCAGCTGGCAACTTGCTAAGCAGGAGCATTCCCTCCCCATCTGGGAACGGCCCAGCCATCTCTCTCCACCCAGCAGGCATTTCCTGCCCCTCTTCTGTGCCAGGCGTTGTGTGGGCACTGGGCATGCAGAGCGAAGGGAATGCAGCGCCTATTCCAACAGAGCTCAGAGTGCAGACAGGAGGAGACTGCGTGGGTGGTGACGCCAGTGTGCGCAGGGACATAAAAGAATGTCCAGTGGGCAGAGGAAACAACCCGTGCAAAGACCCTGAGGGGAGACAGGGCACGGGGCACTCGGGAGCAGGACACTGTTCAGAAGGGCGGCAGGGTGGGGCACGGGTGCCGGCACTGGCTGAAGGGACCCGCGGGCCAGGCTATGGGAGCACATGCAAAATGGAGATTGGATCTGGAGGACAGAGGAGAACCGTGAGAGTTTGAAACAGGGTTGGGATGGAACCAGACTTGGTGTCTGCTCCCCTCTCGTTAAGCTTCTCTGTCTTAGAGACACGAGGTCCTAAACCAGATGCAAGTTCTCCTAGCCAGTGTGTAAGACAAGCCGGCCAGCAACGCCATGTGGGACACTCACTGGTCAGGAAGACGAGGGAACTCCAGGGCACGTGCTTGGAGAAGAAGTTCCCACCTGTAGGACGGAGAGGCGGCAGCTCAAGAGGCAGGCCAGGTGTGCCCACGGGACGGGCCAGTCCCCCAGCCGGCTCACCTTTCAGCATGAAGGTCTCCACGAGGACCCAGACCCCATTGACTGCCACCACCATGTCTGCAATAAACAGTCCCATTATCAGCAGAGAAAGCACAGGTGGGCACGGAAGTCTACAGGTCGCACCCATCGCCCCGGAGGCTCAGGGAACAGGGCTGCTCCACACACCCCTGTGCACGGACTTCTCTCCGCTCCCTGCTTTCACCACATGAGCTAAATCAGCTGGTGGCTTCACTCAGAAACAGCTGTGAATTTCTAAAAACTCTGTCACTGGAGGGATACCAGTTGTGATATTTCAGGAAAAGCTACAGATTATTCTATGTCGGTATAAACGACGGACAATACACAAAGGGTCTGAGTACGAAAAGTATTTGTTTTTCCTTGGAGATGTCTGACTTTAAAATGACTTCAGAGTTCCCAACATGCAGATACATCTGGCCTATCACTAACAATCCAACAGCTAGAGACCCAACCCAACGAGACACCAGCAGAAACACACCACCACGCACCTGACAGCTGTTCACCTGAGAACTACTTGTGATGGCAAAAGCCAGAAGTAACCCCCATGATCAATAGGGTGCCCAGTGGAATACACCACGACACGGTTAGGAAAGGTGTACTATCGCCCTGGCTGAGTGGTTCAGCTGGTCCCACACACTGGAAGGCTGCAAGTTCGATTCCTGGTCAGGGCACATACCTAGGTTGCAGATTCGAACCCCAGTCAGGGTGTGTACGAAAGGCAACTGATCGATGTTTCTCTCACATCTATGTTTCTCTCTCTCTCTCTCCCTTTCTCTCTCTCTAAAAACCAATAAGCCCAGCTGGTGTGGTTCAGTGATTGAGTGTGGACCCATGCACTAAGAGGTTGCCAGTTTGATTCCCGGTCAGGGCACATGCCCAGGTTGTGGGCCAAATCCCCAGTGGGGGGCATGCAGGAGGCAGCCAACCGATGCTCTCTCTCATCGATGTTTCTATCTCTCCCTCTTCCTTCCTCTCTCTCTCTAAAATCAATAAAGAAAAAAAATTGAAAAAATAAAAATAAAAATCAATAAGAAAACATATCTTCAAATGAGGATTAAAAAAAAAAAGTGTACTTTCAACTATAAAAAGAAACAGGAGACATCTTTATATAGTACTATGAAGTGGCCTCCAGGATATACTGTTAACTGAAAATAGAAAGGGGGAAAAAAGTATGTAAAGTATGCTATCGTTTATTTAAGACAGGCAAATATGCATATATTGGCACTTATTTAGGTTTTTAAAACATAGCCAGATAAGCCATAATAAAAGTTACCCACTGGGGGAGGTGACAAGATGTGAAAGAGACCTCTTCGAATCCATTTTTTTGCAGATCTGACTTGGCACCATATAAACACTTTACATAATTGCAAAACAAATTAAATGCAAAAAGCAATCCCTAAAATTAAAAATGAATGAAATAAAGAAACCTAATGTGATACAGGGACGACACCCCCCGTGGAGAGAAACCGTTCCAGGCAACCCGAACACGCAGAGCTCGGACTAGAACCCCTGCAGCGGTGTTCCTGGTGACCATCTCGTTGGGCTTGTGTTGGTATTATTTTTCGGAGACTGTTACATGTCTACTGCAGGATAAAGCAACTGAGTGACTGTGTCAGCGTTCCTGGGAACCAGGACTTTACGACTGGGAATCCAGGTAGGTGAGGGTGATGAGGTTGGGTAAAAACCCTACAGTCCCGAATTTGAATTAGAAATGTCAGGAAACACTCATCATATAGTTTATCTTTACAAATACCAAAACCCCAACTCTGTCCAGGGAAAGGCCTAGAAACAGTAACCAACGCCAAGCAGCGAGCACCTCCAGCATCTCAGACTGTGGTCTCTAAACAGCATCTCCCACTGCAAGGACCAGACTCCTCAAGAAGGCTCTAGATTAGTGCTGCCCAAGAGAACCTCCCGTGACGATGGACGCGCCCTCGCAGTGCTGCCCCGTTGGGAGCTATTAGCCACCTGCGGCTACTCAGCACTTCCAATGTGGGTGCCTTGCCTGGGAAACGGAATTTTTCATTTTTTTAAAGTATTTTTTCTTTATTGATTCTAGAGAGAGAGGAAGGGAGAGGAGAGAGAGATAGAAACATCGATGAGAGAGAACATTGATCGGCCGCCTCCTGCATGGCCCCCCACTGGGGATCGGGCCCACAACCTGAGCATGTGCCCTGTCTGGGAATTGAACCGGTGGCCTCTCTGGGCATGGGTCAACACTCAACCACTGAGCCACACTGGCCGGGCCTGAATTTTTTATTTTAATTAGCTTAATTTAAATAGCCACCTGTGGGCTGCCACACTGGACAACACAGTTCTAGAAGGAAAACACTGAATTGCAGGAAATAAGTCACAGAGAAAATGCAAAAACAAGACCGAAAGACAATGCTGCTTCTTCGACTACATATTGCAAGAGGGGAAAAGGGGCGGAGGAGGAACCTACAGATGAAAACAGACCTAAGTGACATGTCCACCAATCACACTCTGGCTCTGGAACCTGCTTCCAGAAAACCCAGTCTAGAGAGGGTCCAGTGAGCCGGAGGGAGTGCGCAGACACACAGGAAGGACTGGCCACGGGGTGAGAACCATCTCGGCTGGGTGACAGGTACCTGGATGCTCGTTAGAGTCTCCACTTTTATATACCTGCCTGGGACTGTCTATAATGAAAAGTCAAAACCACAACTGCAGGGCTGATCTCTGGCCTCATTACCCTCCGGAAGAGTGAGACTCGGGAGAAAAGGAGCCCAGGGCGGTGACAGTTCACACTTACACATGAAATACTGAAAGGCTTTGGACTTCACGAGGATATTAATTCCTGTGGGAAGAGAGGAAATGTCAACGTGGAAACTTTCATATGCGAGTGCATATTCCCCTACTCCACAGCACACGCGTGTAAGCGACCAGGGTATTTATGCCCAGGGGCGAGAAAGGACGGGCCTGTGCTGCCAGTGACGCCCGGACCCAACCGCACTGACAACAGCCGCTCTGCTCTGGGGACACCGCGGAGCCAGGACAAAGCGGAACAAGGCATTGCTGACCGCTGCTGAAACCTACACGACTGCTGGCCTCGCCCGGGACGATTCCTTCACCCACCTGAGCAACTGTCTCCCAGGCGAATGGGAAGCCTTCCAGAGGACGTGGGAAACAGCTGTGCCCGAAGCCCCAACCGGGAGAAAGCTCAAAAAAGGATACGCCACCTCTACTTGGGTTCGTCATGGCCCAGACCCAGGATTCAGGCTTTTTGCATGAGACTGACTCCCCGTGAGCTAACCACCCGCCGCGTGGAACTTCAAAACTGCCTTCAAATGAAGGGGCAACTATTAGGTCAACAATACGGGCTCTCCAATGTAAACTTTTTGAATTTTATACAATGCAAGGGATCATCTACACTAGGTATATATCCTGTCATGGGAGGATGGGCAAAATACGCTATAAGATAAAAAGGCAGGTTTCAGAACAGAATATGTAATGCAGTCCCATGACGTCGTAAAGTGTGCAGGGAAAATAACCAACATCAGAAGGAAACGCAGTAGAAAATGAACAGTTATCTCTGGGTGGGAAATTTTCATTTTCTTCTAAACCAGACTTGGTCGATTTTCTTTCGTGAATGAATATTCCACAAATGTCTTTTGGTTTGGTTTTTAAGTTACCAATTTCCTTCCTGGTCCAACATTTACTTCCCTGCTGGGGTAATCACACTCTGTCTCTTACACGCACACACCCCCTCTGAGCACGCTCTTGCAACGCTCGTCTGTGGTCTCTGGAGACTTCCATCCATCCCCAGCTGCCAAGATGCCGTATTTGGGGAACCTTACCTTTGAAGATGAGGAATGCTGTCCTGGGAAGCTCATCGAACCAGTGTTCTCTATTTCTCTTTGCCTGCCCAGGAAACAGGGTCATGGGAGAGGGTGTTAGGATCAGGGACCGGAACCTAACCCTGGGGACTAGGGTGCCACCTTCCTTCCCTGCTCACCAGGCTAACTTGGGGAACAGTGAAAACACTCAGGGATCTAAGTAACAACAAGGTCATTTAAATGGGCTATGCATGTACCTTATTATTATTATTATTTTCGTTATTGATTTTAGAGAGAGAGGAAGGGAAGGGAGAAAGAGAGAGAAACATTGATGAGAGAGAATATCGATTGGCTGCCTCCTGCATGCCCCCCACTCGGGATCAGGCCCACAACTTGGGCATGTGCCCTGAACAGGAATCGAACCGGCGTCATCTTTGTGCCTGGGTCGACGTTCAACCACTGAACCACACCAGCTGGGCAGCATGTACCTTATTTTTATATATTTCCTGAAAATCACTCTGTGGGTCAGAACTACTGTTAGCCCAGTTCCCAGGTGAGACGAGCCTGGGAAAGTTAGGTAAGTGGGTGACTGACGGGGTCGAAGGTTCGGTGCTCTTGACCAGGAGACTACACTGCACGTGCACAGGCAGAAGGGGGCCAGGGCCACCTGGTGTCCCTGCAGTGCCCAGAACTGAGCTGGACCTCAGTCCCCTTGGCCTCCTCCCCCCGTGGAGCCATCTGTCTGTTCTCTCCCTGGTCTCACACAAGTTCTCACCTTCCACTTTAAGGCGGTGACTTCGTAGATATCGTAAAAGTCCTCCAGGCTGTCACAGCAACATGAAAAGGCAAACGTGTCAGAAGGCTCCCACTGAGCTTCACTCTCACTCACCTGCCTGTGATCACCTTTAAGGGGTGAAGGTGGGAAGGAGGGAGGGGACGTCTGGGAGTCCCAGCACATCAGTGCCCAGGGACCCTCACTTGCAGGCATTTTGCTCTCCTTCCTCCAGGCACTATGAATACCTGGTCCACTTCATCTACACTGAGTGAGAGCTTCAACCCCTGGATTACCATGACTCTTATGTGGACAGGGACTGAGCCTCCATTAGCAGGGGACATCACGGAAAAAATGTGCTGCGAGTTCAGCCCAAATAGCTCGCTTGCTCTTGCCTCTGCGGCTGGGCGGCTTCTTTTCACATTGAGAAGAAGGGTTTGGGCGTGAGCAGTCCAGAAGAACAAGGCTGTCCCTGGAGGTTCCGGGACCAGTTCTCGGAGGCTGTGCCAGGGGTGTGTGTATGGGGGGGATGTGCACCCCCCCATCCCATGGATCTGCTCACATGCGACTACCCCCCCCCCTTAGCTCGAAGGTGAGCAGCTGAGTCAGTCCACTTCATGATCCAATATATTCCTTTTTCGTCAAGTCAGCTTGAATTAAATTTAGGTGGGACACTGGTCACTTGCAGAGAGAATCCTGATGACTACAGTCTACATGTATAAACATCTTGAAGAAAACTCAGGTCTCTAACAGGCTCTTTGCCCACCCACCTCCCAGTGCCTTGTCACGTCCCCAGCGCCCTCCTGCGACTACCTCATTGGGCCACAGCGCCCCCACCTGGCCTGTGCTCTTACCTGAGCAGAGCTGTGTTGCTCTGATTCAGGGCCTTGAAAGTGAGATAGCGCTCCCCGGCATTCATCCGGGGCTTGTAGAAGCGCAGCAGGCCTTCAAACTGCTTGTAGGAGATGCCGGCAGGCCTCTGGGGAGAGGGAGGACAGCAATGTCAGTACAGGAAATGAGAGCGCAGACTGCCCCTTCCCTTGGGGGCCACTGCTCCAGGTGCCAGCACAGCATGGATCCCAGGGTGCCTGGCTCCTTCTTTCCACCCAAAGGCAGGTCTCCTGCTTTCTAGTGCTGCTGGCCTGGCCATGCTGAGGGGCTGCCCAGGGCAAGAGAGGGGAAGCTGGACCACACCCCGCCTGGCCCAGCCCCCACTCCTCCCTACCCGCTGGCTGATGAGCAGGCGGTACGCATGCTGGATGGCGGTTCGCTTATGCAACAGCAAAGACTTGAACTTGCGCTTCTCGATGTCATTGAAGGTGTCGAACACCACGGCCAGAAGCTGTGAGGGAAGAGAGAGACCTGGCTCCCCTGCGTGGCGGGACCTCAAGGAGTCAGGAGTGTATCCTCTGCCTCCAGAGGGCGCTCTTCTGCACACCCCAGAACGGAGCTTGGGGTGACCTTCCTGTCTGACCCTCCTGGTGCAGGAGTTTGTCTCTAAGTCTCAGCAGAGGAAGGCCCATGCATGGCCACTTGTAAATTTTCTCTCTCCAGATGCGTGAAGACATTGTTATTACATTTCCCCAAGTACTTCCCTCCACCTACAGCTCGTCCCTGGCTGGGCAGTTTTATAAGGTGAGAAGAGATTTATCAGGTGAGAAGGAAGCAGGTAAGACAGCGTGCTGAGCTCTACACCCAGTTCAGCTCAGTTTGATGGCCCAGAAGGCTGTGTGTCCATCCTGTGTCCTCCTGAACTTGGGGCAGGGAGGATGCTGCTTCCCCCTCCGACTCTATACTCCCCGTCCTGGTGAGTCACAGCTGCATGCACCGGCTGCAGAAATCAGGGGAATGAGGAGGTGTGCCCGAGGGCACAACATTCTGGAACTGCCTTGTTCCAAGGTCAGCATATGAACAACACAGCCAGCATTACCAGAGGGCGATGGGAGGGCGGGAGCAGAATCTTGAAAGAAGTCTTTTGGAAGCACTTATTTTTCTTTCAAAAATATTTTGAAGGAAACTCTTGTCCTTTCGACCCCTTCAAATTGGCCCCCCATATTTTTCCCTTTAGGTCAAGAAAAAGTCAACAAACCTTTTCTGAAAAAGCCAGAGAGCAACTATTTTAGGCTCTGAAGGCCAGATGGTTTCTGTTGAAACAATGTGACCCTGCACTTGTAGCCTGAAATCAGTCACCGAGCATGTGGAAACAAATGGGCATGGCTTTGTGCCAATAAAACTTTATTTACAAATGCAGGCTTTGGCCAGCAAGCTGTGGTTCATAGGCCCCTACCCTGGATTTTCACAACAAATTAAAATAAATCAATTACACATAATACATTGTTATGGTTCTAAACTAACAACAATATATGAGAACTGTAATATGTATGAAGAGATATCCAACAGATTTCTTTTTGGTTCTGAGGAATTAAAAAATAAAATTTCCGCCCAGCCAGTGTGGCTCAGCGGTTAGAGCGTCAGCCTGCGGTCCGGAGAGGCCCGGGTTTGGTTCCCACTAAGGGCACGTACTTCGGTTGCAGTTTGTTCCCGGCCCTGGTTGGTCGTGCGGGTGGCAGCCACTCGATGTGTCCCTTCACGTCGATGTTTCTCTCTCTCTCTCCCTTCCTCTCTCTCCCTCCCACTCTATCTGTACAAAAAATGGAAAAATGTCCTCGGGTGAGGATAAAAACAAACAAACAAACAAAAAAATAAATAAAATAAAATTTCCGCCCAGCCAGTGTGGCTCAGTGGTTGAGCATCGATCGACCCATGCACCAAAAGGTCAGCAGTTTGATTCCTGGTCAGGACCCATGCCCAGGTTGTGGGCCAAATCCCCAGTGGGGGGCATGCAGGAGGCGGCCAATCGATGTTCTCTCTCACTGATGTTTCTATCTCTCTCTCCCTCTCCCTTCTTCTCTCTCTAAAAATCAATAAAGGAAAAAATAAATAAAATGTCCTTTTTAAGACTTCAAATTTTTAGATTTCACATGTCTACCCCAGAGAAAGTGTTTTCTAGTTCTGTACTGGGCCTAACTGTGATGACTGATGTGAGGATCCTCTTCAAAAGCACAAACCTAAGTACAAGACTTGATAAGAGCCTCTCTCGGAGAATTCTGGCATTGACGTGTGGTCTTGGCACTGGCCTAACGGTGACCAGCTGATGGCAGGAACACACCCGGTGGCCAGCTGAGCCTCCTTGAACGCCTGCAAAGTTCCCAGTGTGCACTGGGACTTCACATTCTCCTTAACAGAGTATGTCCTGTATTGGGATTTCTGATGGTTCGTGATCAGTGGAGTGGAAGCACCCAAGACGTTCCAGGATGTGGGCACGGTGGGACCGAGTGGTTAAGAGAGCTTGGATTTGGGCCACCTTGCCTGGACACCCCAAGCTGTGTGCAGCTGTGGGCAGGTCACTCTATCCACCTGACCCTCAGTTTCCTCGTCTGTAAGTTAAGATTCACGACAGGACCTCCAGGGTTTTTGTGGGAAATCACTGAATCCACTCTGCATGGTGCCTGGGTGAGGCTACTAAGTGCCAGCTTCTATAGTGACAGCATTTGCTGTGAGAAGAGGTCCCGGCCCAGCCTTGGCTTAAACACCAGCACAACCAGCAGCAATGGCGGGAATAGCCCAGGGTGGCCATCATCGCTGGCAACTGCACCACACGTGACTCGTCTCGGACCCCAACCCTGCCGATGGCAGTCCCTCCCTACTCCCACGGTGCCCAGCGCTGTGCAGGCTGCTCCAGCAGAGCACGCGACATGGTCACTCACCAGGTTCATGATGAAGTACAGCTCGATGGAGAGGTACACGATGAAGAAGACGCAGGACCAGGGGTTCCGGGAGTAGGAGGGCATCATCACGTCTGGGAAACTGCGTTTGCGGAGTGTCACCCACAGGGCCCCGTCTGCCTGCCTCCGTCTTCCCTAAGGACATTTCTCTTTTCTGCCTTCCCTGCCCCATCCCGCCTTCCCCGCTCTCAGTCCACGGGCTTCGAGTCACCAGGCCACTCCCACTCCTCACAGTGCCCCCACCACCTGTCTGGGCTGAGATGGGGAATATTCTGGGCTAAGAAGAGGAGAAGACCCTGCTACTAGCAGAGGGCAGGAGCCAAAGCAGAGCCCAAACTTACTTGGCCGTGGTCAGAAGGACGAACAGACTGACTATGCTGCTCTCCAGGGTGCTGAAGTACTGTTCGGGAAAGGAGGCAGAGGCTGCGTTGGCACCAGCCCGAGAGCACGCGCCAGTCTAGAACAGGCTGTGACGGGCCACCTGGAGCGCCCTGCCCTTCCCCGTCCCCATCCCACCAACTCTTCCTCTTCCCACGGAATCCCTGAGGGATGGCAGAGTGATGAGCAAACTGGAGTAAGGACTCTGCCCTCCTGAACTCCACACTTCTGGCGGACGTGGACATCTGACTGTGGGACTTTTCTCCCAGAGACTCGCATGTCTGCACAATTAGTGTAGCTCTCCTTAACTGTAACCTCCAAAGCTCCCAGGTCCCAAATCTTATCCTGGAAGCAGGAGTCTCAGGATGGGAAAACATGCCCCATGACATTCAAGGAAGGAAACGGCTCAAGGATGGGGACTTTCAGGGGCCCTGAGCTGTGATGAGAAGCCAGGCAGGGCCTCCCTTCCTGAGGGAGCTAGGGAGTCAGTTCAGCCACCTTGTCAGAGGGGAAAGGCCTCACATAAAGGAAGAAACAGACAAAACATGGTGATTACTTACAGGGTCTGAAGGATTAGGGGAGAACAAGTAGAAACCTAGAAGGTAGTGGAAAACAGATGGAAAAGAGAGTTAGAGTTCCCAAACCCAGATGTCAAAAGAATTGGACCAATAAACATAAATGAGAGCAGGGGCAGAGGGAGAGCAATAGGGAGTGGTGGAGACTGCGGCACTCTGGGGAACACGTGCTCTGTCTAAAGGGAGCAGGTGCTACCGAGCACTGGGTAAATGCAGCTATTCGGCAACGTGGCCTGAGCACCATCGAGTCTAGTATTAGAAAGGCTGAAAATTTGTTTTTGTATAAAAATCTAATTTTAAAATGCTGGCTCAACATTTTCAGACCACAACAAAAGTCATCCATAGGCTGGATTGGGAATCCAGACTGCTGGTTTGCAACCTCTGGTTTTGAGAACGTGATGGCCAAGTAATAGTTCCAAAGGGACTCCATTGTTCCCCTACAGCCAAGGGATCTGGGGTGGGGACAGCACTAACTTCCTCCCTTTCAGAAGGGCTATTCCCTTGTGTCCTTGAAATCTTGTGGGAAAAGTCAGAAAGTCTTCCCTCAGGGGAAGTCAGCCCCCTTGGAGCAGAAGAGTGGATGGAAGGGAGGTGGGAGAGGGACAGAGGCTCAGGACAGGTCAGTCACAGAGGCCGAGGGGCTGCTTTGGAGTCAGAGCACTGTGTTCTACTGTCTTTGTCACACCAGCACTAGGGAAGGGACCTCAGGCTTCCTCATCATGTTCCAGGGTCCCCCCTCTCTAAGCCCTGTCTAATATGTTTTTATTTTGTTTTTTTTATCCTCACCCAAGGACTTTTTTTTTTTTCATTTATCTTTAGATAGAGCGGGAGGGAGAAAAGAAGAGAGAGACACATCAACGTGAGAGAGTCACATCGACTGGTTGCCACCCACACAACCCCAACCAGGGCTGGGGACAAACTGCAACCGAGGTATGTGCCCGTAGCGGGAACCAAACCTGGGTCTCTCTGGTCCACAGGCCGACGCTCTAACCGCTGAGCCAAACCAGTCAGGGCTATATAAGTTTTTTGAATATGCAAATCAATAATAGAATTATATTATATGTAGAATTATATGTTGCTTAAGGAAACATAAAGCGAAACCATACAGACGTGCATGACAATGCCGAGCTTAGGGCACGGGTACCTCTGGGAGGAAAACAGATCATGACAGGCTACAGAGAGGGCTTCATTTTATTTCTAGTTCTTCATTCCCTGAGTTGGAGTCCCTGGGTGTTTATATCATTTGTAAAACATTTCTGAGTTTCCCAAACCGGCAAAGCAAGTTTTCTCCCACTGTGACTTTGCTCTTGGAGACCGGCTGGACCTGGGTTACAGGACTCACCAAGGATGGCGAAAATGATCATGAAGAAGAGCAGCAGCAGGAGGATGTCCATGAAGGGCGGCAGGGACTGGAAGATCTGCCGGAGGTTGCTGGGGAGGCAGAGGGGCCAGGCTGGGCAAGGCGCAGCCTGGGGCGGGCGGGGCCCGAGGAGCGCTGCCTGGGACTCCTCAGGGGAACCCCCTCTTATCGAGACCGGGGCCTGGTGCTCCGGACTCACAGAACACTAAATCCCACTGTGCCCGGCTGCTCGTGCCCACGCTCAGTGCTGTCCTGGAAGACTCCCACTCAGTGCGTGAGAGAGAGAATGGAGGCCGGTGTAGCACAGACATCCACCTCCTCCTGCCTACAGAGTCCAAGCGGACGAGTGCCCTGCAAGAGAGGGAGGGGGCGGCAGAAGGCCAAGTGCACGGCCTCGGGTGCAAAAGTCAGCTTCCACGAGAAGTGGGTGCATGAAGACATTCAGGGCCACCTGGTCCTAGGACACTTGTGTCCAGCTTTGAGGATGGGCACAGAGAATGAATGGCCAGCCCATTCTTATCAATAGTACTCCAGCCAACAGCTTTTCCGGAGGGAACCTTCAAAGCTGTTTGACTCTAGGCTGACGGTCTGGTTTGAGTGCTGTCCCTGGTCTCGGGGGAGGCACCGGGATAGCCTGCTGAGTCACCTGGACTTTTTGCCAAGTCGCCTGCTTTTGGCACCGCTGCTTCTGTGTTCAGGCAGATAATATGCTTAGAGAGAGGAGCCAGCCCAGACAGCTGTGAGCAAGGTGGGAAAGAGCCCTGGACCTGCAGCTGAAATACCACTTGCTCCCTGTGCGGGTCGAGTGGCAGAGGGAAGTGGGCATGCTTAGATTCCACCCATGTGCAGGGTGGATCTCATCGCTCCCTGACTCACTGGGTCCTGCTCCACTGGCCCAGAGGCCCAGGCCAGGCCGTGACAGTCTGTCTGAGCAGCTCTTCCCCCCGGCCTTACCGCCGGACCCCGCCGCAGTACCGACAGTCCACCAGGAAAATGCAGCGCAGCGCCCGGGTCACCCGCACGTGGGACGTCTGCCGTACCAGCACCACAATGGCCTCGATGAACTGCACCACCAGCACGCAGGTCTGAGGGCAGACAGGCACAGAGCGCCGTCAGCTCCTCCCCCAGAGCCCCTCCTGAATACTACGAACTCAGGGCTGGCTAGAGACTGCCCGCTCTGGGCTGGAGAGGCCAGTCCCTTCTCTCCAGCGCTCTCGGCTGGTGGCACAGATGTGTGGTCCCAGGAGAATGAACCCAAAGGGAATGCTCCCAGCTCTTCAGATGGTATTCACGGAACAAAACTACCACTCTGCCTGGCCACGTCTACCCACCCCCTGGTTTCGGCTCTCCTGACCTGCACCTTGAAGATCCCTGAGGTAGGTCGGCAGCGCACCTTGATCTCCGGTTCCTCGGGCACTTTTTCTCAACAAGTGTGCGTGCTTTTTACACGGTCAAGTGCCACTCGGACACATTGCTCCTTGTGCCTCTCTCTGTTGCACAGAGAGAATGTGTACAATGCTGACTACCGATCAGCCTGGGCTTGGCGGCCACACAGACTGGGTTTGAGCCCATTCTCTGCTGTCTGGCTGGATGTGAGCTAGGAATAGTAACGCATCTCCCACGAAGGTTACTGTGATAGTGATCAGCACACCCCAATCACCGATCATATTAGCTAGTGTCAGCATGAGTGTGACCTCTGTTGGGAGCACAGCGAGGGTGGGGACCCGGGGTTCCACTTCTGAGCACAGAGAGATTTGGAATTGAATGGCAGAGGTGGGCCTGAAGGTACACGGGAGAAAATGCTGTCAGGAGATGGACAGCTCACCTTGACCATGGTCCGTTTGTGCCGGATGAAGGTGTGGAGGCCCAGCCACCGCAACTTCATGCTGAGTTCAAAGACAACCACCATGAGGGCAAACAGCTCCAAGGTCGCATGGACCTACAACCAAAGGGGGTGGAGATAGGGCATCACCTGGCCCACCTGGCTGCCTGCCTTTCCCTGGAGGTTGGAAGCAGTGGGTGGGGCTGCTCTGAGGGGCGCTGCTCGCCTGGAGCCGAGGTGTGGCCAGCAAACAGCACCCTCCCTGGCACATCCGAGTGAGCAGAATCCCAGGGACTGAGGAAAGTGCATTCACTCCACAGGGGACCCCGGACAACACCAGGAGTCATTGCCCCGACCCTTTAACACAGGTCCTCATGTTGTGGTGACCCCCAACCATAAAATTATTCTCGTTGCTACTTCATCACTGTAGTTTTGCTACTGCTATGTCTTAGGCGACCCCTGTGAAAGGGGTTGCGACCCACAGGTTCAGAGCCGCTGCTCTAGGACCTCCTGGGGCCTACTTTAAATCCACGTGCACTGCCTGCCCTTCCAGGATGTTCCCGCTCCAGCGCGCTGGCCGAGCGAGGGCTGCTGGCACTTGCCCCCAGAGCACGGCGGCTCCGGCCACCTGGACACTCACGTAAATGCCGAGCCGGAGCGCGGGGACAGCGGGCGCCTCGCACAGCGACAGCAGGAGCAGGAGCAGGGCGGTGGACAGCTCCATCAGGTAGAAGAGGTGGTTGTGTGCGAAGAGGTAGGCCGCCAGCGCTTTGGCGTTCTTGGGGTGGGTGAAGAACTTGTCGTTATTCTCACCTTCCTGAAGAAACCAGAGCCAGGGGGGCGGGTGCGCCTCAGACACAGCCCCGAGGACGAGCAGCGCGCCGGGGAGCAAGGAGGGGCCTGGGCAGGTCAGAGAAGACTCAGGCCGGACACCAGGACGATGGCGATTCCACAAGCATTGCGGCCGCAAAACCGCGCGCCGGTCAGGCCTCCCCCTGGCCTGCTCATGAGCGTGCTGCGTCCTCAGAAGCTCGCGGAGGAATCGAAGAATTAAAATCCAGACAGCCCTGGCCGGTTTGGCTCAGCGGTTAGAGCGTCGGCCCGAGAACCAAAGAGTCTCGGGTTCGATTCCGCTCAAGGGTATGCATCTTGGGTGCGGGTCGTCCCGGCCCTGGTCAGGGTCGTGCAGGAGACAACCAGTCAATGTGCCTCTCACACGGATGTTTCTCTCTCCCCCCGCCCCCACCCTCATCCTCTTCCACTCTATCTGAAGATAAATGGAAAAGTATCCTCCAGTAAGGATTAAAAAGAAAAAGCCCAGAGCAAGTAGAGAAGCCGGCCCACGGGCCCTTCAGAGACAAGTTCTCACTCTCAGAAACACCTGCAGAATGTGAAAGCGCTGGGGGGAGACTCCGGGGTAAATACGCACAGGCTTCCCCTTCCTCCCGGAGACAGAGGATGCCCCAGCCCTTCCTCGCGGGGCTGCTGGGAAACACCGAGGCCAGCATCTGGTACCCACAGTGGGTGTTCCCATAGATGTTGGGTGGGAGGAGCCTTCTCGCCAGAGATCACTTCTCCAGGCCCCAGCCCAGCCCGGTGACTGTCCCGCAGCAAGGAAGTGGGGAGCTTTGGCCTTGACTGTGGTTTGCAGAGGGACTTTGAGCAAGTCACTTCCCTGAAGCTGGAAATGTCACCACCCTCGTTACCAAAGAATAAAGACAAACCACAGACTCGACAGGGGCAGGCCCACAAAGGGAACTAGCACCCTGGCCACCCAACAGAGAGCCAGCTGGCAAGCCTCGCTCCCCGGTCCTGTGATCCATGCAGGGCTGTGGTTTCACCACCGCCGCCATGGCCGGGGGAGACCGCGTTGGCCTGGGAAGCTTCTGGTTTGGATTATTAAAAAATGCAGTTCTTGGAAAATTGCTCCCCACAAACAGCCAGGAATGAAGGTCTGACTAGAGGAAACCACGGGCATGGGGGTTCGCTTTTAACGCTAGGACTCGGAAGTGCCACAGAGGAGATGGAGGGTGAGGACTCCACCCATGAGGACGGAGTGAAATATGACCCGTGTCACTGGGTTCTGCTCCCGACCCCAAGGAGAGCACTGGCCTTGTTCACGGAGATTAAGAAAAATAAGAAGGCAGGCCAGCTGTGCGTGACTTCTGGGCGTTCGCGCTCTGCTCCCTGGGGACAGAAGTCCACACAGAAAACAAGAACCACCGCGGAGGCACCACACCCGCTGAGCACAGGGCCCCAGAGGGTGGGAGAGTTAACAGATAAAATTTGGTAAGAGAAGAGACTGCGGGGACCAGGTATCCTCAAAGCAGCGAGGGGCCAATCGCCTAAGTATACCAGCAACCTGGTTACAATACAATGTGAAAAAAGCCTATGCTAAATGTTATTTAAAAAAAAATAAAAAAAATAAAAAAATAAAAAAGAAAGCAGTGCCCTGGCCAGGGTGGCTCATTTGTTTGGGCATTGTCCATGCACCGAAAGGTTGCCGGTTTGATTCCCGGTCAAGGCACATGCCTGGCTTCTGAGCTAGATGCCTGGTAGAGGGCGTGAAGGAGGCAGCCGAGCCATGTTCTGCTCGCACAAGGATGCTTCTTTCTCTCTCTCTCTCTCCCTCTCCCTTCCTCTCTCTCTAGAAATCAACAAAAAATATTTTTAAAAAATAGAAAGCAGGCCCTGGCCGGTTTTGCTCCGTGGTTAGAGCATCAGCCCGTGAGCCAGAGTCACGGGTTCGATTCCAGTCAAGGGCACGTACCTTGGTTGCGGTTCAGTCCCCGGCCCTGGTCATGGTCGTGCAGGAGGCAACCAGTCGATGTGTCTCTCTCACACTGATACTTCGCTCTCTCTCTCTTTCCCTCCCTCTCTCTCTTTCTCTCTCACCCCCTCTCACTCTGGCTGAAGATACTTGGAAAACTATCCTCGGGTAAAGATTTAAGAAAAGAATTAAAATGATAAAAAATAAAATAAAAACAAAAAGCAGGCTACATAACTATAGATACTGCATGACTAGAAGTATCTTAGAAAACACATAAAACCTATGTATTCGTCTTGAAATAAACAATGTTGACAGTGCCTGACTTAGGTGAAAGTTATTTTTCATCCCTGTTGTACCTAAACGTATTGTAATGAGCATGTATTGCTTTTATTTAAAAGCCTTATTTGTATTAAAAACAAAAACACCAACACCACCCAAGCATGAAATAGGAAACACGAAAGCAGCAGCGAGTTAAACAGAAAAGGAATAAAGCTCTCGAAGCTCCCCGTGCTGGGTCAGCAAACCCCTTTACGGACTTCTGTGAGTCTATGAAGAATTCCCTCCTGGGAACGGGCCTCTCGGTGAGCCTCTGCGGAGAGGGACTGTGGCTGGGACGGCCAAGTGTGCAGACTCGGGGAGCCTCGGGATCACGTGACAAGCTCATGTGCCTCGCCCTTCTGCCATGGGCACCGTCAGGTTGGCCCTGCTCGCCCCATCATCCAGGTGAGAAGCTCGTGCGCAGAGAACCAAAGCCGGAACTGACTTTCTGGGCATCCGACAGAGTCTCGGCTCCCCTACTCCACCAGCAGAGAAGGGCCAGGTCCTGACCCAGAGACACTCACCTGGAGGTAGATTGCCGCCTCTTGATAATTCATCTCCCAGTTGTGTCCGGTGGGGCTCGAAGGGAAAGTCTCACCCTCTGAGCTCAGGCTGGGGGCCTGGGAGTCGTGGAGAGCATAGCTGCCTCCATCTGCATTGGCAGAGGAAAGAGGTTCACTCACAACCCAGGCCCAGAGAATGAAGACACTGTCCCCCAGAAGAAAAGGCTGGCGGTCGCCTCAGATGCTCACACACGTGTGCCCTTATTTATAAGTCAATGCTCCACTCCATGTGCTAAGACAGCAAGAATTAGTACGGCTAGTTGAAAATATTTTTCTTTCTGTTGTTAAGTGAAGAAAGCAAGTGCAAAAGAACACATATATCTTTTGTGTAAAAAAGGGAGAAAACAGCCTGGCTGGCGTGGTTCAGTGGTTGAGTGTCGACCCATGCACCAAGAGGTTGCCAGTTCGATTCCCGGTCAGGACACATGCCCAGGTTGTGGGCCCGATCCCCAGTGAGGGGGCATGCAGGAGGCGGCCAATCGATGTTCTCTCTCATCGATGTTTCTATCTCTCCCTCTCCCTTCCTCTCTCTCTAATCAATAAAGAAAAATATATAGTTTTTTTTAAAAAAGGGAGGAAACAAGAAAACATACAGCTATCCACTGATCTTTGCAAAAACGGGAAAGATATATTAGAACTTAATGAAACCGGGCGCCTATAAGAGAGGTGGGGAACCGAGGAGGAATGTCACTCAAAGGGACTGATCTTTTTGTTTACTTTTGACTTTCGGAAGCATGTTGATATTCTACTTAGTCAAAAAATAAAAGTAACTGGATGTGTTCCTGGGTGCAGGGTCATCCTTTGCTTCTACAAGCTGATACCCACGCCCTTTTCCCGCTGCCCCATCTGCCTTTTGGAGAACATTCTTTGGCTCTGGCCGACTCCACCGCGGCCCCAGGCAGGTGACACAGGTGCAGTGACAGTCCCCTATCTCCCCTGGACAAAGCTGGGTTCAGGCATAGGTGCTGACCCAAGCCCGGCCAGTGAGGCTGACACGGGACTTTGCCTGCACCGGTTAGGAAGAAGGGGCTCTCTCCCCGTGGCTGCTGGCTCCCGGGGACCAGGGAGGCATGAGCCAAAGTGTGACTCGGAAGTAGGAGCAGCCACAGGCAGGCGGCTGGGCAGTGCTGCCATCTCCTGTGCCCGAGCCCCGTCCTCCGCGACCTTCACGCAGTGTGGAAGGAGCCGGTGACCAACAGTAGCCTAGGGGAGATAACAGTCGGCGCGGGGCGGGTGCGAGGAGCTGACACTAACGGCAGCGGACATTCGCATCCTTGCCCAGTACTGCCTGTTCCGCAGCCCTTTCCCCGTCTCCCAGGGGTCCGCCCAAACGTCAGCCCCTCAGAGGCTGCCTCTGGCTTCCCCCTGGGAAATCACATCACCTCACCCTCGCCTCCCTCACGCTGCTCCCTGCTTCCCCCTGGGGTTGGCACCCCACCCCTTGCAGTGCCTGCATCCATCGGTGGGCCTGCCCAGTGCCTGTTTCCCTGCCTGGAATGTCGGCCCCCGGAGAGCAGGGGGTTTTATCTTGTTCACTAAGATGTCTTGAGAGCCCAGAAGAGTGTCAGTCATAATGTAACAAGTGCTCAGCAAACATATCTAAAAGGGGAGCCCTTCAAGCCAAACAGAGAAGGACAAGTATCATATGATCTCACTTATTTGTGGAATATAATGAACATAACAGTCTGAGGAATGGGGTAGTCCCAGAGACGTGGAGGTGGGGTACAGACTGACAATCCCCAGAAGAGGGGGTGGTGGGGGAGAGATAAACCACAGAACTTATATGCATGTATGCATGAACAGTGGACATGGACAACAAACTGGGGACAGGGCGGGGAGGGAGGGGTGGGGGGAATCAGTGGGGGGAAAAGGAGAAACATCTGCAACAAAAACTAATTAATAAAAATAAAATAAATAAATAAAAGGGGAGCCCTTGCCCCCAAGATTCCAGAAGTACACTCCCACGGGACACCTGAAGGCCCGAGGGCACAGCAGGAGTAGGCCGGAGCGCAGTGGGGTGCCTGAGGTCCTTAAGAGGGGGCATGACATAATTTCTCTGTATTTATTTTCTTTCTTTCTTTGTTTTTTTAAATATATTTTAGTGATTTTTTAGAGAGAGAGGAAGGGAGAGAGAGAGAGAAATATCGACGAGCGAGAACATCTATCGGCTGCCTCCTGCACACCCCCTACTGGGGGTCGAACCCACAACCCGGGCATGTGCCCCGACCAGGACCTCCCAGTCCATGGGACGATGCTCAATCCACTCAGCCACACCAGCCACGCTGTATTTATTTTCTAAAGATCATTCTTTTAAGGACCTGCTGAAGAGCGACTATTTTGTGTAAGAGTACTTCAGAGCAGAACCTTTAAAAAAAAAGGAAGAAAAAAACATGACCGACTGCTGAGGGGAAGGATGGAGAATTCTCCCCTCCGGGGCGGACTTTGTTCTGAGCTTCTGACCATTCAGCCTGCACTTGCTCAGAACACAGATCTTGGCTTGCAGACTAGGTCCCCAAAGGCAAAGCTGATAGCTTGTTTGTGGCTCTCATGTGGGGAGAGGCTGCAAGGCCCTGGGCGACAAGGCAGACAGGGGCCGCTGAGGGGCCTTGCAAGAAAGCCAAGGTGATTTCCAAGAGCCCCCTTCATGCCAGGTCTGAGCAGCTGGGCAGCACATTTAGGGGTAGAGAAAGGGCGTGAATGGGCGGCAGGGAGCCATGGCCCCTCCCATTCCTCCCATCAGCAGCCTCAAGCGGGGTGGCAGCCTGACGGCCAAGTTCAGAAGTGCTCTGAATGCATTGCAAGACGGGGTGCGGGGGCACCGAGTGGGGTCCTCATTCCCTGCCCCTTTGCTGGTTCCCACTTCCTTGGCTGGAGAAGTGGCCAGAGAGGCGATGGACACGCTCCAACTCCCGAGTGCTTTTTGTTGCAGTTATGAGCAACACTGAAAGGCTCGGCAGTCCCCAAAGGGAAAGGACAATTATGGGCCATAAAAGAGAGGAAGGCAGGGGGCCCAAGGGGCCCATCAGAGGTGAGAGGGCCACCTGGCGGTGGCCTGTGGTTCAGCTGGGGTGGCATCCAGGGCAAAGGCTCACTGGGGAGATCCCAGGGGCTTCCTCGAAGCAGGAAGTGAGAGCTGTGAGGGGCTCCCTGTCCCTCTGGTCACCACTGGGCATGAAGTCCCAGGGGATGGTCGGTCCCCACGTCCCCGATGAGGCCCACTGGGTCTGTCCCGGGTCGTCTGCCTGGGGAGTCTCAGAGCCCCGTGACTATCAGCACCTACCTGCCCTGGTGACCTGCTGCCCTGCCCTGACCTACTCGTGCCCACCTCGGCCGAACCCGCACTTCCTGGGAGTAGGGGTCCCTGGGTAAATGACCGGTGCCCACATCTTTCAGAGCATCCCCTGCTCAAAAAGAATCCTGGCCACCAAAGCAGCAGGTGGGCCCTCACCCCAGGTCCAGCCCCGTTCTGTGTGCTGGCCCAGCTCACACTGGTGATTATTAGAGACCAAGTAAGAATCAGCATGTGCGACCTAGGACTTTGGCACCGTCCTTACCCAGGGCAGGGCGGGTTCTTCCAGAAGAGCTGGAAAGGCAAGGTGGCAGCACACCGGGAGGGCCCCGGCCGAGGAGACAGGATGCCCTCACCACCAGGTCATCAGAGAGCTGACCCTCCACCACCTTCTCCAGGAAGGTGACGGCTGGCCCCGGCCTTGGCATTGCTGCCTCGGCAGCTGGGCTGCAGACGGAGGGAAGAAGGGAAAACACGCAGCAGGCAGGAGGGTGGGAGAAGCCGTCTTCCTGGCTCTCAGGCAAACCAGTTTCTCCGCTTGAAAGAGGTTTCAGAGGGGCTGGAGGAGGCTGACCAGGGACACTCCTGGCAACGGGATGTTCCCATTCGGTGCCTCAGGGAAAGCTCCCTGGAGAGGAACATGTTGTTCTGCACTTTGGGTGCCCTGGCCAGAGAGCGCTCATGCGAAAAGCAGTCGACAGCCTTTTCAGACCCGAGACCTCAGTCCCCACAGATTTATGCAACATCTGCCCCTTAACTGCCCTCCCTGTGTGCTGGCAATCAGCCCGGGAGGTGAGCTAAAACCACTGGCAGGAGAAGGAACTGGGAGGGGAAAAACGCCCTGAACTGATAGGCATTAGAATACAAAACAACAACAGAAACTCTGCCTCCAAGTATGAGAGCAGTTCCCATCCGGAGGACAGGCCGACAAACCAGGATGACCTGTTTGCACAGATGGTAACGCTGATGTAACAGGGCCCAGACGCTCCCTGCAAAACAGCTGGCTGCTTTGCATGCAGCCTCTGAAACAGCCCTGCGGGGAATCCGCGGTTTCCGTTCGCTGGAGCACAGCGTGCAGCAGCACCCTGGTGGTGCTGGGTAAATAGAAACAGTTTCCATATGCCGGCCATAAAGTGGCACCGGGGAGGACAGGGAAAGAACAGGCGGAGGGAGGGCTTCGGTGACCCACCCCCCACCCAGCGAGTGCAGGATCTGCTGGGCAGGGTAAACCACGGGGCCTTCCTGAGGGACTTGGGGCGGGAGGCTGCTTTGGAGAAAAGGCCTGTGAGCTCCTTGCCCATGGGCGGCAGCTCTGATCAGAAAGAATGAAGGGCAATGATTGTTCTGGGCAGGTTTATACTGACGACCCGACCGCCATGCAATCCTCACTCCCTTTCATTCTCTATGTACACAACCTGGAGCATTCTCAAACACACACACACACATACAAACACACAACCTGCACATCGCTTCCAGACAAAAGATCACCCTGTTCACCCAAGTCCACTCCCAGCTGGACCCCTCCCCTCCCCCGGTTCATGATCTAATCCCCAGAGCCTCAGTTTCTTCATCCATTAACTGGGACCGGTGCCAACCGTGCTCTGGGCATGGCAGAAACAAATGCCAGTACCCACAAAGCACTTGGAGCCATCCGGAATCTGGTGCCCACCAGAATGCCAACGAGCCATTGCCCGACCGTTCGCCAGTTGTCGCTGAGAGCCCCACTCCATGAGAAAAAGCTTGAAGAGGGGAGGAAAATAAACCGGAGTGACACTGATGAGTTTTCCAGGCGTGGCGTCGCCACACCGCGTCCGTGCCGGCTGGCTCTGCAAGGGCCCCCAGATGAAAATCGGGCAAGAGACACTTTGCAAAGAAAGCAGAAAGCACATTTCCTCCTGCTCGGCCTTCTCCTGCTGGTGACTGGCTGCAAGGTGGTGCAGGAGGTAGACCCACCTTATCCGTGCACGTTAGGAAAGGCTGCAAACCCGGGCAGGGACCCGGGCCGATATACTGACCTCCAGAAAGGCGAGAACTGGCACAGGGCCCTCCCAGTTGAATAGCTGGACTCTAGCCTAAAACCCGTCCTGCCAAAAGCTTAAGCCAGCAGCAGAAAGGAAAGACGAAAAGCTCACTCAGGCCTGCCTGTCCCATGGGTCAAACACTAGGGAGGGGGAGGGGGAGGCCTGGTTTGGAACTGGCCAGGATAAATGCCCGGAGCCACCTCCAACTTTGCTTCCGGCCAGCTGACATGAATCTAAGTGGCCAGATCCAGAGGGATTCCTTGTCCAGGACATAAGGCTGGTCATAGAAGGGCCTTGAACTGGCTAGAAGGTTGAGCCGTAACGAAGGAGATGAACGGAAAGGCAGGAGGGGCTGGAAAATGAGCACCCCTTAGTGATCGGTGGTAGTGATCACTGCGCAGGCGTCCACCCCCACACTGGCCACACAGGAACCTCGCATCCTGAGGCTGCAAACCTGACCTTGAGAGCAACTCTCTGGGATTAAGAAATCAAGTGGTAATTTAAGGGAGAAAAGAAGAGAGGGTGAAGTTTACAAAGGCTGACTTTCCAGATACAAATAAAGAAGGTTTAATTTAAGGAGACATTCAGCACCTACTGTATACCAGGCATTGTGCTAGGTGTCAGGTTTTTTTTAAATGTTAGCCATGAATTCTGTCCTCATGGGGTTCACTATGAGGCGGCGAAAGAAGGAATGTAATTCCGGTGCATTAAAGTCATTTGTTGCCCTGGCTGATATGGCTCAGTGTTGAGTGTCATTCCGTGGAACACAAGGTTGCCGGTTCGATTCCAAGTTGGGGCATATGCTCAGGTTGTGGGTTTGGTCCCAGGTTGGGGTGTGTACCAGAGGCAGCTGATAGATGTTTCTCTCTCACATCGATGTTTCTCTCTCTTTCCCCTTCCCTTCCTCTCGGTCTAAGATCAATAAAAACATCATAAATAGCCCTGGCCAGTTTGGCTCAGCGGTTGGAGTGTCGGCCTGCGAACCAGGGAGTCCCGGGTTTGATTCCAGTCAAGGGCACGTACCTCGGTTGCGGTTCATCCCCAGCCCCGGTTGGGGTTGTGCGGGTGGCAACCAGTCGATGTGTCTCTCGCACATCGATGTTTCTCTCTCTCCCTCCCATTCAGTCTAAAGATAAATGTAAAAAAAAACACAAATATCCTCAAGTGAGGATTAAAATAATAATAATAATAACAAATAAATAAAGTAATTTGTTTGTTACAACAGCCTAGAAAAGGATGTGACAACAGCTACCCTCCGTGGGCGCGCTGGTGGAAAGGGGCCGGGAGTGATTCGGGGGGGATGTCTGCACAGGCTTCTGAAGGATGAAGGGGTGTCACGAGGTGGATGGGGTGGGGTGGAGGCACATTCCAGAGACAGGGAAGATCAGCACACAGCACAGAGAAGCAAACAACAGGGCTTGTTTGGGCAGCCAGAAGGTTCAGTAAGCCCGAAGCTTAGAGAGCCAGAGATAAGGCTGATGCTGCGGGAGTGATAACAAGAACTGCAGCTCACACTCAGCACGTACTGTGCACGAGAGTTCTGAGGGTCAAAAAGCCCTATGAACCGCACACTGGTAGCATCTCCAGTTTACAGAGAGGGGAACTAAGGCCCAGAGAGGCTGAGTGATTTGCCCAAGGTCACAGAGCAAGGGAGTGGCCAAGCTGGGGTACAAACCCAGGCAGCCCGAGCACCCACCCTCTTCCCCCCGCCTGCAGGAGCAGCAGGTGGCTGTAAGCCCTGTTAGGGAGACTGGACTTGAACCAACGGGTTCTAACAGCGGGGCATTTTGACCACGTGCACCAATCAGAAATACACAGCCAAAGTGGTCAGTCCTAGTCAACATCGTAATCCCATCTACAAACATCCTGCTCAGGCAAAATGCAAGTTCCTCTTCCCAGGGGAGCCATGGTGAGCTCACACTGACAGAGCAGTTAATCTAGGAGCCACTGAAGCCATTTCTATCGGCTCATCCTCCTCGCCACCCTTTGCGTGAAGAACCGAGTCTTGGCGCCCCCTGCAGCGCCCCTTTGACCCAGGCAGAGGGAGAAGAAGTGGTTTGCAGATGCCTGCTGGTAGTTTCGTGGTGAGGCAGAACCTGATTTCTCCCTTCTCTAGTCTGTGAAGTTCAAGGTCTAATTTGCAGTTGTGCTTCCTGTGCCCCTGGGTTTATTATGAAACAAAAGGCTTTCACTCCTACCAATCACTCATCACACAGTATTTACTGAGCATCTACCATGTGCAAAGGGCTTCAGATGCTTTGGAAAAAAAAATCTGTAAAGACTACGCACCTCTCAAAGGCCCTGTGCTTCACACACAGCCACACACACACACACACACGCAAACTCCACTTTGTTTACCCAGCGAACAGTGCAGGACCTGTGCGAACATCTGTCCGTGTTCACTGGGAAGCATCAGAAATGCTAATTGTGGAACACACAGGGACGGGGGCGGGATGGCAGAGGAGCAAACGGAGACGAAAGGCATTTGTCACTGCACACGGCACTCCCTGGGCCCCTGCACGGGTCAGCAGACCAGCCGTGCTAAAGGAAAGGCTGGCGGCCAGCCATGCTCTCCGTGCAGGCTACTGGTGTCAGCTGACGCTGTCCACGCGGCACAGATCAGAGGTCCACTCCAGCCCCTAGCTGGGAGCACTGGGGGAGGGGGGGCTGGACCCAGCTTGCGTGAACACTGGCCACGCCCCCACGTCTGCATCTGCCACAGCTAGAAGCTCTGCCCTTGGGGAAGTACAGTTGGCAGGAAGTCTACATCCTGTAGAGAGCTTGATGGCCGAGGCATGTCACGTCCCCAGGGGCCCGGGCTTGCCTGGCTGGTGCTGCTCCCGGAGGAGCTGGTGGGGGCCTGGCACTGGGCTCAGCCTCCTCTTCCTAGTCCTCAGTTTCCCCTTCCATGGAGTACAGAAGGCAGCCCAAAAGAGGCATCACCAATAAAGAAAAATATAAGAGGAACCAAGAAGCCATCTTCAAGAGTGGGCAGAAGACGAAGCTACCGGAGCTGACTTATCTCTGCAGTGCACCGATGGTGGTCAAGGAAGTGAATGACTGTTCCCCGGTTTGCCACAACCAGATCCTTAAGAAAATGCCAAAACCAGCTAGCACCCCTTCAGCAGAAGTCGATGTTCTACGGGAATTTCCCATTTAATCCTTACAGCATCTCTGAATGGAAGCATTCTTATCCCCATTTTACAGATGCAGAGACTGAGACTCAGGGAGAAACCGAAGCTCAGCTCCTCATTCAAGGTTCACGGCTACCGAGAGGTGGTGCTG